TGAAGGGTGCGATGAGAAAGCTTGCTGGTTATGTAAATGCTGACTCCAGCAATAAATGTTCATTTGCTGTTACTTAAATGGTTTACATAAAAATCCAGGAAGTATGCTGCACTTTATGTAAATTAAAATTTTCGCCCCCGCTTCCTAGGATCCCTTATCTCTGTTTACCGGATGAGATATCCGTGACTCCTGAGCTTAGTGATAAAATTGTCTAGTTTCATAATGGAACAATACTGTAGATAAACGTACACATAAAATAGGTGGAAACACAGCAAACTTTGACTTTTCCGTAAATAAAATACATTTGTTCAGATCACGCTTCGTTGAGCAACAAGCTTGTTTAATTCGCAAAACCATAAGAAGACATGAAAAAAGAAAAAAAAACCAACAGATTACTGCAGTATCATGTCGATACCAAACGACATAATCACGACAGCAGCAACAAACCGAAATATTTAATTAGTGGAATATGTATAAGATTTATGGTTAAACATTGTTTACATGTTTAATAGAAGTACAATATAACATATTTATACACATTGTTCACTGTTCGTTGTGTTTTGATTAGATACTTGATCAATTCAGTCTACCATGAAAACAAATACATGTCGGCCAAAAGAGGGACAGAGATAGTTCCCATAGATATGCTAATAGTGAGGATGCTGCTATACAGAAATGTAAATTTTACAAATAGAGTATTCATGATTTGTCTGTTGTATGTAAATTCATGATTTGTCTCTGTTGTATGTAAATTCATGATTTGTCTCTGTTGTATGTAGATTCATGATTTGTCTCTGCTGTATGTAAATTCATGATTTGTCTCTGTTGTATGTAAATTCATGATTTGCCTCTGTTGTATGTAAATTCATGATTTGTCTCTGTTGTATGTAAATTCATGATTTGTCTCTGTTGTATGTAAATTCATGATTTGCCTCTGTTGTATGTAAATTCATGATTTGTCTCTGAGAGTAAATTCATCATTTTCTCTCCTGCTTGTAAATTCATTATTTGTCTCTGCTGTATGTAAATTCATGATTTGCCTCTGTTGTATGTAAATTCATGATTTGTCTCTGTTGTATGTAAATTCATCATTTTCTCTCCTGCTTGTAAATTCATGATTTGTCTCTGTTGTATGTAAATTCATGATTTGTCTCTGTTGTATGTAAATTCATCATTTTCTCTCCTGCTTGTAAATTCATGATTTGTCTCTGCTGTATGTAAATTCATGATTTGTCTCTGCTGTATGTAAATTCATGATTTGCCTCTGTTGTATGTAAATTCATGATTTGTCTCTGCTGTATGTAAATTCATCATTTTCTCTCCTGCTTGTAAATTCATTATTTGTCTCTGCTGTATGTAAATTCATGATTTGCCTCTGTTGTATGTAAATTCATGATTTGCCTCTGTTGTATGTAAATTCATGATTTGTCTCTGTTGTATGTAAATTCATGATTTGTCTCTGTTGTATGTAAATTCATGATTTGTCTCTACTGTATGTAAATTCATCATTTTCTCTCCTGCTTGTAAATTCATTATTTGTCTCTGCTGCAAGTAATTCATGATTTGTCTCTGTTGTATGTAAATTCATGATTTGCCTCTGTTGTATGTAAATTCATGATTTGTCTCTGCTGTATGTAAATTCATCATTTTCTCTCCTGCTTGTAAATTCATTATTTGTCTCTGCTGCAAGTAATTCATGATTTGTCTCTGTTGTATGTAAATTCATGATTTGTCTCTGTTGTATGTAAATTCATGATTTGTCTCTGCTGTATGTAACTTCATGATTTGTCTCTGTTGTATGTAAATTCATGATTTGTCTCTTTTGTATGTAAATTCATGATTTGTCTCTGCTGTATGTAACTTCATGATTTGTCTCTGCTGTATGTAAATTTATAAAAAAAAAATGATTTGTCTCTGCTGTATGTAAATTCATCATTTTCTCTCCTGCTTGTAAATTCATTATTTGTCTCTGCTGCAAGTAATTCATGATTTGTCTCTGTTGTATGTAATATTATTTATTTTAGTTCTATTGTGTAATTTAAGTCTTTATATTAGCTCTGTTGTATGTAGTTTAAGTCTTTATTTTAACTCGATTTTATGCAGTTAAGCTCATCACTAGGGTTTACTCTAAGTAGTTAAACTCATTATTTTGGTTTACTCTATGTAGTTAAACTCATCACTTGGGTTTACTCTATGTAGTTAAACTCATCACTTGGGTTTACTCTATGTAGTTAAACTCATCACTTGGGTTTACTCTATGTGGTTAAACTCATCACTTGGGTTTACTCTATGTATATAAACTCATCACTAGGGTTTACTATATGTATATAAACTCATCACTTGGGTTTACTCTATGTATATAAACTCATCACTTGGGTTTACTCTATGTATATAAACTCATCACTTGGGTTTACTCTATGTATATAAACTCATCACTTGGGTTTACTCTATGTAGTTTAACTCATCACTAGGGTTTACTCTATGTATATAAACTCATCACTTGGGTTTACTCTATGTAGTTTAACTCATCACTTGGGTTTACTCTATGTAGTTTAACTCATCACTTGTGTTTACTCTATGTATATAAACTCATCACTTGGGTTTACTCTATGTATATAAACTCATCACTTGGGTTTACTCTATGTATATAAACTCATCACTTGGGTTTACTCTATGTAGTTTAACTCATCACTTGGGTTTACTCTATGTATATAAACTCATCACTTGGGTTTACTCTATGTATATAAACTCATCACTTGGGTTTACTCTATGTAGTTTAACTCATCACTTGGGTTTACTCTATGTATATAAACTCATCACTTGGGTTTACTCTATGTATATAAACTCATCACTTGGGTTTACTCTATGTATATAAACTCATCACTTGGGTTTACTCTATGTATATAAACTCATCACTTGGGTTTACTCTATGTATATAAACTCATCACTAGGGTTTACTCTATGTAGTTTAACTCATCACTTGGGTTTACTCTATGTATATAAACTCATCACTTGGGTTTACTCTATGTATATAAACTCATCACTTGGGTTTACTCTATGTATATAAACTCATCACGTGGGTTTACTCTTTGTGGTTAAACTCATTATTTGGCTCTATTGTATGTAGTTAAATGCAATATTTGGGTTTATTTTATATAATTAAATTCCTACTGTATGCTTTTCAGTGATAAGCCTATTATTTTCAGAAAGACACAGTTGCGTATCATATTCAAAAGATAAGATTTTGTGTGGTTAATAGGAAATTTTAATGTTAGAGTCAGGTCGTAAGGAACAGGTCAGCAACTGATCTGAGCGTTGAATTGATAACAAGACTATTTCTCGTTCCATCAACCAACCATAAACTATTTTGACAACAAGGATTACCACTATAAGGGGATGGTATCTTATAATTGATAGATTTCTTGCCCTACAGGACCATGATGGGCTGGTCACGAGACCAAAACAGGTCACATGATGCATTTTCAATTTTTAATTCTAATGAGAGTTTTCAAGAAGATGACTGCTCTGGTTTCGATAAAATATGGTAGAAATGATCTCAATGATACCTGAAAAAAGGCAGATGAATATCAGAATTTACACCAAGCAAATTTTTGGTTGACCCTTTGGCCTACCTAACGCACTCTTCCCCATCCCCAATGAACTCAGTTAACAATTTGTGGAGTATAAATTCTCATACCCACCTGTCTGAAATTATTCCTACCACATCCCATTTGTATAGCAATATATGAATGTGAGAACCGGTTATAAGTCTGTGATATGGAATACCATTTTATAATTCACCTCTAAAAAATATGGCGTTAATTCATTTAGAATCTAGCTTTTATCCTAAATGAGCATGTTAAACGCACCAAAAAGTAGGTTACTACTGATATAAAATGTGTGTTAACAACACTGCTCATTTAGGATAAAAGCTAGATTCTAAATGAATTAACGGCATATTTTTAGAGGTGAATTATAAAATGGTATCCCATACCATATAAGTGTCCAACTATGTTGGATATCGAAAAAATAAGTTACGACGCATTTAGTCGACGGTAAACTGGCGCATAGTATAACAGTGTTTATTAATGAACAACAGGTATTCGAGCAGTAGCTTAAAATGCACATTCTGTTGTGTTTAAACAACCTCATGTGAATGGTATGTGAACAACAAGTATTTGAACTGCACAATTTTTGAAATTTGATATGCCACTCTCAGACTCTCAGTGGGAATAGCGTGGTTACGCACTTAAAGTTAAAAAAAAAACAGAAGGAAGTCAAGTTTTTGTTTTACATTTTTTGGGATGGGCAGTAATAGGGACAAACGTTCTAGATTGCCCCTTCCCTATTTCAAACACCACAGCCAAGGTGAACCAAACTTTTTATGAATTGTTCATATCCTGATTGGAAAATGCAAAAAATCCAACAAAAGGAATAGGCACAAAAACATCCTTATGGACTTCCATAATTTACATGTCAGACACGGATGAAGTTAAATCGCTTATTAAACAGTAGCATGTTGTTGTAAACATAATGACCAGTATAAATAGACTTAAGAGAAAACTAAGCATATGTCCTGGGTTACGACCTTCGTTGTACACTTGCAGAGTCAGTGTAGAGGTTATCTAGGAATTACATTCATAGAATGCGTTCCAGTAGGTGGAGGTCATTCTAGACCTAGCTAAACGATCCTATCCTACATATAACCGTCTTATCTTTCTCATTTCTCGGGGCCCATTAGGACAACAATGATATATAAAAATGTTATATTTTTATTAAAAAAATAATCATGTGCAAAACAATAATTCATCATGTTTGTAATTGATATTTAAAATTAGCTAGAAGTCACCTAGTCACATATGGTACATATCCGATAGCCATATCCCTCTTGGCGCCTCTGGATGTAGTATGTAGATTTGACACGTGACCACACGGCTTGCCAAATATCTATATTACCTCGAACAAGTCAGGAAATTGTCAATTTTCGTTTCGGAAGAATGATGCGCCTAGTCGCTATCATTCTTACTTTAGTTGCCGCCAGTAGGGCGGCAACGTTTTCGAAGAGAGCTGCAGGAGGTGAGTAATTATGCATTAAGATATATCAGCAAAACCTACGCTGTCATAAAAAATTATCAATTGTGTTTTTGTTCACGAGATTAACCACAATTTGTAAAAAAAAAAAAAAAAAGACGATACAGAATTTTTTCTTTTAATTTTAATCTATTGAAATGAAAATTCCAATCTTTAAAAAGCAATACATATACTTTTGACTTTTTGATACTGATAACAAAATTGACAAATAGTCCCTTTTTTCCCCTTATCCAAAGGTAAGTAAATCTGTACGTTAAAAACAACGGACATGCGACCATATATTTTACAGTTCTTATTTGTTGAATAGCATTACTTTTCATTGCAAAAAACTAACCCAAACAAGATATGAGTTTTACAGTTAACCATTGATGGATGACTATGACGTCAACCGCGTCAATAGCACCCTGAAGATTGTGACGTCATTATCAAGACATCACAATAATTGGCAGATAGATTTTTTATTTTATTTATTTTACAGCTACTTATCAGAACCATTAATTGATTATTGGTATCTTAGACGCATACTCGTAGTAATTAAGTATACATACAATCACCTTTTTATTGATTCTTTATCAAATGAAATGTTGATTGATTTTCTAATTTTTGAAAAAAAAAACCACTTATTCATTCATTTTCTCCACTTGACAATTGTACATTACAATTACCTTTGATGATGGTTTTTATATTTACGATATGTGATACAAAATAGTATGCTTTACGCCTTTATCACAATAGTGTTACTTTTGATAATTGTATCTTGGTATATCAGCTGATATCTTTATTCACCTGACTGTTTATTTAATTTAAATTTATATAATTTGTATTCCTTCACTTCATTCATTCATTCGTTCATATGTTCTTTCCTTCGTTTGTGCTGTCGAACACTTGTTTTGTGATACGAACATAAGTTGATAACATAACACGAGGATGCATTCAATGACCCAACCAAATTAGCGTTCTGACGAATAGCTACATAACTATGCTTTAGATTTAGCTTTCATTAATTTAATTGCAGATGTGGAATATCGTAATTATAACTAAGATTGCATTTCGTTCTTGAAAGTGTTTGCAATCTTGATATTTGTTAAACTTAATAGGAAATAAGTATTAACAAGGGTGAGGTTAATTCCATTTACTTGTAATATCCATAGTCGTGTAAGGTGAAATCCATAACAGTTATAACCCTGTACATTCGAAAAAAAGTGAAGATTTAAGTTACAAATACAATTGTGATGAAAGATGAACAGATCGTGTTTGATTTTGTATAAAGTGGGGAAAAATACTACGGTATGTTCGGATGAAAGCTATTCAAGCAGCAATTCGACTTTTTGGTAATTGATTGTGAGGACTGTATGCACTTGTTTAATTAAGGTTACTTTGGTTGGTGTGAGTCAGATTCTAACATGTGCTAGTTTTATCAACTTATTTGTTGAGAACGAAAACATTTTCTATCATTTGTTACACATCATTTCATTGCTTTATAACCATCACTAGTGAAAATTAAGGATCTAAAATTGCCAGACATTACCTTGTCAACTTGTTAACATTTTCTAATGTTTATTACATATCGTTTCATTGCTTTATTACCATCATTAGTGAAAATTAATGATCTAAAATTGCCAGACATTACCTTGTCAACTTGTTAACATTTTCTAATGTTTATTACATATCGTTTCATTGCTTTATAACCATCATTAGTGAAAATTAAAGATATAAAATTGCCAGACATTACCTCGTTGGGATAACAAGCCTATCGTCATGAATATACATATATACTGGTTCGAACACTACCTCTACCATGATGAATGCTTCAAGATAAAAATATCGAAGCCATTGTAAAACAACTGGTGATTTCCGAAAATATATAATAACAGCGACATAACAGCAATAAGACTTGTCCTTATATATATTCTGGCCCAAACACTTAACTAGCAGTGATTAGGATGGGTGTAAATATATCTCATTGTTAATAAAATTATTACAAAGGTTTTGTTTAATTAACTTTATCTATGTTTGCTGTCATAGTTTACACTGTTAAAACATGCTGATGTAATGACGTGGACGAGAGTTAACTTAATTTATTCTATACATCTGAAGGTAAATGAATATCTTTCGTACTTCCTGCTTAAGCTATTTATTTCTGTATGAATAATCATGTAACTGTCTATATAGATGTATATATAACATTAAAGACGTGTCATATCACTAGGAATAGACCACTTCCTTTGGTATCACTCCCTTCTTCTGTCCCACTTCTCTCCTATGACCATGTGCTCTTTCCCACTTCTTAGATAAGGTGATTTTGCCTTCCATTTCTTTGTGAAGGCGTCATTCCGAATAATAAATCAACATATGTTATCAAAGAATTATATAAACATGCCATTAGTGCATGCGTTATAATATATCATAAAACATATGTTATCATAGAATTATATAAACATGCCATTAGTGCATGCTGTATAATAAATCTCCAACATATGTTATCATAGAATTATATTAGCTGCTCTCTGTATTTACGTAATTGGGTTTCCACCGCTATTTTATTTAATTGATAGAAACAATCCCCATTTCAAACATCGCGATGAAAAGATATGTAAATACATTTGGAAATTTAAACTCAAAAACCAAACTATAGCTGTTCCAATACATAAAATATAACCACCCTAACAAATAAAACGCGATATATCCATTTCCTTTTACCTTGTCTATGTATATAGTTTGAAAAGGAAGTTTTCCTCACTTTCATTTATATGCATTCGTATTATAACCATACCTGACGGGTAATATTGTATATTAGTGTGCTTATTGGTAACTACAACTTTTATATCTCAGCTTTGTCCAACTCCCTTTAATATTGCCTAGATTGTTGTGACTTATTGAGCAATTCGCTTGAAAATAGGTCTCAAACATACTTCATATTTTAACTTCTCTAAAGAATAAACAATATTACATTATGGTGTTTTTTCACTGTGTTCTATCCCAGATTGATATATAAATTTTCATGTGTTCTTTACTGCTCATTATAGTAACGCCAATCAGATATGGCACATGCAGAAGATTTTGTATTGGTGTAATTAATGAAAACTGATGAATCGTGTCGGTACTGTTTTAGAAAACGTATTTTTATTAAGTTGTTGCTTTTAGAAGGAAACTTGAGCTGTTGTATATAAAAGTCAACCAAAATATGTTTTAATAAAGGACCTGAAATATACACTACTTTTTTATAAAAAAAATTGTCTGTTGAAAATATGAGCACGAAATATATGTCTAATTTATTTTGACTGAATTGAATCTGCTGGTTATTGTCTTTGTATAGGTTTATAAAAATGGTCAGTCTTTTTTATACCCCATATAGTGCAATTGCTATTGGGTCACATTCAGAAATTTCATTGTGTACAATATTTCATTTTCATGAATTCATTATTTTCAATCCACAGAAAAATAATTGGAATCCGAAACGCTGACCCCCTGATTATTGATGATGTATCTACTTTCGATATGTTATGCTGTCTTTATCTCCACAGGATGGATGTGGTCATAGTGTCGGTTTTTTGTACTTAAGAAATGATATATTTGTATTCGTTTTATTTTCCAGGTTGTGAAACTCAAGCTGATGTTACATTCGTGCTTGATTCGTCCGACGTCGTCGGAAAAGACAATTTCGACAAGGAGTTGGGGTTTATAGCCGACACAGTGTCGCAAATGGACACGTCACCCGGTAAAACTAAAGTAAGTATAGTGACGTACAGCTCCGGGGTGTACAACCAGTTCTTCTTGAAGGAGAACCCGACCAGAAATGAGATTATGCACATCCCATTTAGGGGTGGACGAACTCATACGGCGGATGCTATTCGTTATGTCACCCAAACATCATTCAACCCAGTTCATGGGGCGCGAAATAATGTGCCTCATATAGCTGTTTTGGTGACGAATAGTCCGTCTTCGTCCAAGCAAATCACTAAGATTGAAGCTCAGTCGGCGAAGGATAATAACATCATCATGTACTCAGTTGGCGTCGGCAGTGGCGTCGACAAGGACGAGTTACAAGCCGTCGCCAGTGATCCCGACTCTCGTTACTTCATACAAACACAGAATTATGGTGCTCTCGGAACGGTCTCTGGATCTCTAGCCACCAAACTCTGCAATGGTAAGTAGGATATTTTATAAAGATCTTCAAACATTAAAATATTTCTGGTGATATTTCACGAATGCCATTAATGTTCTATGAAGGCGTTGCCTATAATTATCATAGAAAACACGCACATGAAAATTGTGATGAGAACGTAAATATGTTCTAACATTTGCTACACCTCATTTCGCTGCTTTATACCCATCATTAGTGAAAATCAATAATCTACAACTTTCACATGATATGCCAGTTTCTGTATTGTAGAATATGCCCTTTACAGTTTGACAAAGGACCTTGATTGTATTCATGTAAACAGTATTCCAATAAAATCACAAAATATCTATCAATTCATCATAGTCGTGTCCATACAACATTTTCATATTTCATTTAAATATTGATCCACTTATAATATGACCACAAAACTGCCAACTTCGATATCACGCATAAGTCATATTTCAACCTGCCTCAATCATTCATGTTTTTCACCATTCAAAATATACTGAAAATGTTGTCCTATTTCAATCAAATACACCCCTATACAAAATGGCTTGTTTGAAATTAAGTTCAATCACCAAAGAGATTCGTTTATATTTACACATGATGAAGCACGTTAACTAATTGTATTTGTTGATTGCTTTTAAATTCTTCCTGTTTGATATAATCTACTTTGGTATGCTCGTACACAATAGAAAATGAAATTTGAGGTTTGTCGTAGCCTGTTTTAATTCATACACATGTAGTTGGCGCCATTCTAAGATTATCTGATGTATGAAAATTACGAAATTTGTTTGATTATATGGCTGCTGTACCTCCCTGTCTAGATTTTGACTTTCTTTTGATCACTTTGGATGTCCCTTTCTCGCCTCCAAGGCTTCAAAATCAAGGCCTTTATAATCACTGACTAGTCCTAGAAGGATGAAACAGCTGTATGATATAGAATCACTGACTAGTCCTAGAAGGATGAAACAGCTGTATGATATAGAATCACTGACTAGTCCTAGAAGGATGAAACAGCTGTATGATATAGAATCACTGACTAGTCCTAGAAGGATGAAACAGCTGTATGATATAGAATCACTGACTAGTCCTAGAAGGATGAAACAGCTGTATGATATAGAATCACTGACTAGTCCTAGAAGGATGAAACAGCTATATGATATAGAATCACTGACTAGTCCTAGAAGGATGAAACAGCAATATGATGCAATTCAATTCATTGTTTGGCTTTACTCTATCTCACTCTAAATTATGAAAAGGTACTATTCACTTTTGTGTCTTCACTGTATCACAAATTTGCGAATAACTTCGGATTTTGTTCAAATCTTTTATTTCGACGACATTAAGCATGAAGAGCAACAATAATATAACAGTGCAACATTATCCTGATCTCGTATGATATCAAATCTTCAGTATTAGTCGATAAAACTTGACAAATATATCATAAGGAAAAGCATACGTATCATGAAAAACATGTGCTGAAAAAAACGACAGTCGAGATTGTCCTTAGTCCAGTCCTCTCACTGGTTTTGAGACAGTTAATATACAATCAGTTAATGCGTAACTATTCAAATAATTCTTCATGGTATTCCAAATTACGTTATGGTATTTTTTTATTCATCAAAATAATTTTGTGTCGGTTTTCAGAGCTCCCAATTACAACAGCTGCTTTACCAGCACCGACAAGTAAGTAAAGTGTTGTGACTATATCATAGTGTACAAATAAAAAGAAAAAAAATAATACCAATATACAGAAGACATTCTACCTGTAGATTTTTTTTATACATTCCGGAAATATACTAAAGAAAAAAATCTCACAATATGACTTCAGATTATCTAATATATATTAAAACATATATTTTTGTACGTAAAATACTGTTAAAGTATATTTAAAACGTTAACAATTTAACACGTCATCCTGTTGGGACATATCAAATGCGCTCCAACAACACAGAAATGAACAATTCATAAATTTTGTTCTTACCTTTATCGTGTCAAAGAATTACACAAAATCAAAATTACAATTAATAAATAGAATAATGATGTTTTATGTAACAAATTTTGTATATATGTTTTGGCGGGTGTCGTCAAAAGACACTCATCCTTCTGGAACACTAGGTTTTAGTTTCCATGTGCTCGTTTCATTGTTTTTGAGTTCTAATTAAGATCCTGTTGACATGTCGGCAATTTCTTTGTTATCAAAGTGAATCACTGACAGTGCATCACTGACTCGTAAAGGGTAATATAGACAATGCATGTTAATGAAAATGAAATGAGAATGTTAACATTGACAAATAATTAATATTATTACAAATTTGGAAAATGATGCTTCGTTTTCACTGCAAATGTAAAGCATTATGTTAAATATCAATCATGTGTCTAAAAACATTTACATTAAATTAAGTATAAGGCGAAAATACTGTATTTGTTGTACATCAATATACTTCTTTGTTATTAATACTCTACAGGAAGCACATTTTGTTGTCATTTCTTAATCAGGTTGTCTACACAAAGCAGACCTGGCATTTCTGATCGACTCATCAACGAGTGTTGGGCCGGGAAATTTCCAGAAAATGGAAAACTTCCTAAAGCAGTCCATCTCCAAATTGGACCTCGGTCCCGACAAAGTACATGTTGGTGTGATGCAGTACAGTAGCTACCCAAATATGGCGTTTCCTTTAAACATGTACACTGATCGAATAGACGCTCTCAAAGCCGTGGAAAACATCAATTATATGTCTGGAGGTACTAACACAGCGGACGCCATTAAATACATGCGCGAACAGATGTTCTCATTGAACAGTGGCGCACGTGGAAATGTTCCTCGTATTGCCATCGTAGTAACTGATGGTGGTTCTATCAACAGTGCGTCCACAACATACCAAGCTGATCAGGCAAGACAAACCAATAATATTGGCCTTATCGCCGTTGGAGTGGGAAACAACGTCAACAAAAATGAACTTGATAATATTGCTAACAGTCCGGCATCACAAAACGTTATCACAGTTGGCAGTTATGACCAGCTGGACCAGATCGTTGACCAGCTGTTGGCCAAGACATGCTCAAGTAAGTCGATCATGATGCTTGATATTTTTTGTGAACATAATACCAGTATTTAAAATTTTTTTTAAATATTTTCTCGGACGTCATGGAATCATTTAAATATGTAACCAGTAAAACTATTGTGATTGAAACATTCAAACATTAATTGAGCTATCATTTTATTTGTAGTTAGTCCTACCGTGAAACCTATGGTTACAGCTGCTCCAGGTAAGTTTAACTGATCACGTCAGGAACAATATAATCAGTAATCGCTGTAAGAGAGGAAGTAAACCTCTTATCATCATTGCTTCTATCAGCTGCCATTTCTCAAACACAGTTTATCATTAATTTTTTTTTCTGATTCGCATCACATGAAACATAAATTCATGTTTCTCAAAAAGATTGTGACCAGAAAACGGTCGTAACAATTGCAGAAGATTTTTTTTTTCGTTAAGAAAATAAAATCCATAAATCCATGTCGAGACAACAGCATTTTAAAATTCAGAATCCAAGCACGCCAGAGTTCAATAACTTCCTTTGGGAAATAATTGTGTTTCTGATTCGTAGTTCACTGATGTAAGTAATGTGATGCGACTTATTTCAAGGTCAAGCATATTTCATGTACCTTGGTAAATTGATAAGAAGTGACGCATAATCAAGAACTATGTAGGAGAGAGATAAACACACAAAACACATAGATAACGAGAAGCGTTCTGAGCATGGCATTGCTGGTAAGAATTAAGTCATACGTTAGAACATGCTTAGAAATACATTGTCTTCAGTAACGTATCTTTGGAGATGACAATGAACACGATGAAATCCATTATGGATAACAAAACAGTAAGCATTGATTAATGTAAATCTAATCTAATACTGCTTTTCGTATTGAGTGTCACTTAAAGACAATTTATTGTAATATCGAAGTACTTTCCATGGCTTACAAAGACATTTTAGTCCATGGGTTGTTTAAAAACAATTATTTGGAGTCTTGTTGGCTTTGTTGTATAGTTTGTCCTTACTATATATACCTATAAATGAAATCCTTATTTTCATTTTCGACAGGTGGTACCCTCCCACCAGATACATGCGTTGATAAAGAATCCAATTGTGCAGGCTACGGCAAGAAAGTGTGTACTGATTACGCACCCTGGGCCCAGGACCACTGCGCTCGCTTCTGCGGCGTTTGTCAACGTATGTGCCTCATGAATTCTGAAAAGTTCGAACTTATTCACATAATATGATCAAAATTTGAAGTTTAGAAACACAAAGCAAACCTACGGTTAGACAAATGTATTGTTATATTTTCATGAGACTTTTTATTGCAGTATGTATTGCAACGCCAATGTTGCAGTAAGCTTTGTTGAGAGTTAAACCAATGTATTGTAGCATGTTAAGTTGGGAGTAAAAACAGCGCATTGCTGAATTTTTTGCGAGTCAAAACGATGTATTGCAGTATGGTTTGTAGGGAGTCAAATCGCCGTTGCAGTATGGTTTGTAGGGAGTCAAAACAGGGCATTGCAGTATGGATTGTAGGGAGTCAAATCAGGGCATTGCAGTATGGTTTGTAGGGAGTCAAAACAGGACATTTGTTTTTGAAAAATCTATTGTAGTGTGTGCTTCAGTATACGGAATAGATTTTAATTTACCTTTGTTAAACTCGTGTATCTGCGAATTTATTTGTGTCACAAAAGATACCATTTTGTTTGTCCTAACGATATGCATTATGGACGCATTTGATCAAAGAAGTAGAAATATGTCAGTGTTATTAATTTTCGCGTTAAAGTGGTTCCTGTTGATCTTATAAGCACACACACGCCGTTGATGGTATAGCGATTTGTCTTTACACCCTATAAGAATACTGATTGTTCTGTTGTGAAATTCATGGATGTGCAGCCAAATTTCAGTCATTGGAATGAAAGGCTGTGAGATAATGTTTGCAAAGTTAGGTATTAAATATTCATCTTTATAAAGGAAATTTAAAAGTAGTATAAGATTAAACTCGCCTCGATTAGCCCTAAAATATTGAAAGAAGTGCATTTTAGGATGTTGTTTACATTCTCCCTCCAAAAAGGATCCTCAGTAGAGTATTATATTTAGCAAATGTAAAAACGTGTTTTATATTGAATACGAAGGCCAGATTGAAATACAACCAATAATGTGTAAACTGCTGTTAAAATAATCACGCATGGATTAAACTCTGGACGCACGTGATTGACTGACACACAGCGCAGATTTCCTTGTGACGTCAGAATTAGATTACTGAAAAAGTCACACAGCGCAGATTTCCTTGTGATGTCAGAATGGAGACTATATAGAGCCGAGAGGACATCAATTTCAGCATCGGAAAGGACGTTTTCGTAATGAATTTCAGACTCATATTCAATTTATGAAATGAGTCTTAGATTTGTTTAATTCTTAATGGACTAAAACGAAAAGTTATAGACTTGTTCCATAGATTACGTTATATAGAAATTCGTTGAAGAAACAATATATAATTTCGCAGATAGTTGCAATGAATAGCTGTACCCATTGTTTTTATTGCAACCACATCTTCGACACGATGACAGTTGACCCATGGTACTTTCTGTGTGTATGGTCCCTGTTTCCTGAGGTTTCATACATATTTTCTTTCTGTATCAGTTCAATTTCTTTTTATATGTGTCTCTGTTTTATTAGCTATGTACACGACCCCTGCCGCTTGTCAAGACTCCCTGGCAACCTGTTCATCCTACGGACTTTCTGCCTGTACACAGTTCCCAGAATGGGCTAATGCGAACTGCCAGCTTTTCTGTGGATTATGTACAGGTAAGTAATCATGCCATAAAGACTGGGCAAATGAAACGTACGACAAGTACATTTTGTATATATGATACATTTAATTGGATAATGGCTCCACTGAGTATTGTGTTCCAAAGAAAACTTTTCAAATACATTATCATCTTCGTAGCTTAAAGAATAATTTCAAGTAAGTTGCCTAGTACAATTTTAGTAGTGTTATTTTAACTAACTTGTGATGTATAATTGTAATAGTGAGAGTTACTTGATCATTTTGTAATATAAGTATTCGTGCGTACAACGTAAGTATGTTAGATCCTATTCCACTAGCCACATATATACAATAATCGCAATACCAAAATACATATCGACTTATAATTGTTTCATTTCAGGAACTTTGAGTTCCAGTGGATTCTGTAAGTATATAGTACAATTTTTTCATTGTTCCTTAGCATGCAATTCTATAAAATATAAAAGATGTTGTAATTTCGTATGATATTGTACAAGATACGTATGACAGGATGCCATAAATGTGAACGAATCCTGATAAAATCACCCAAGAAATTTTCAATCATCACTTTTCCCCAGTAACATATAGAGGGAGTTACTGTCCCTCTGTCTTGTCATAGGGAGCGTTCTAATCTGTGTTGCCTTTTCATATTTACGCGGGATGTGTTTATATATAACTTGGAAGTTTTAAAGAATACTTTATCGCAGTTCTCTAGTTAAATACTGCACTTGTAAATATGGAGATAGGTGCTTGTAACAATTTGCATTACCTCCCCTGAAGAACATCTCTAAATTTTCCATTTGTTACGGAGCAGCAGCAGCCCGCCATTTTGTGGTGTAGAGAATTGTACGTTTTTTTCGTATCTTATCAAATAAGTGAAAGATAACACGTTTACATAAAATTTCAGTACAAATCCTCTTCAAATGTACCATTTTAATCGGAGAGGAGAAAATAAAGCGGCATCTATTTCGTTTAACTGTTCAAGTATATGTCTTGCTGTTGTTCAAAGAGTTCGACATTTCTTTTATAACAGATGGTAAATGTTCCTACAAGGGCCAGTCATATCAAACCGGTGCCAAGTGGTCCGACGCCTGTGACTATGATTGTATCTGTGAGGATGGAAACACTGGTCGTTATAAGTGCTTCAACAAGTAAATTCATTTTATGAACTGAATATTTATACACGCTCTTGTTGCCAAATTTCTTGAGACTAGTACATGGGGCGTAGTTACAGAGGAAACGCTTTGATAATGGAATTAAATTAAATGTGACAATTTCACTTGTACGTCACTTAAGAGAGGAACGAATTTATGATTTGGCATGTATCATTCCAAATATAGCGCCATTTTATGGTAGATTATAGAAAGTAACCATTTATGTTCAAACAATTGACTTTATTTTCATTGTCTTGATGTTATAAACAATTGCAGTACAATCTTCAAAAATACAAGTTTATCTGTTCTCTTTACTTGTATATAAAAGTGCGAAATTAAGTTGAATCATAATAATGGTAGAATTGTTTTGATTGGGCTTCTATGAAGGAATAAAATAAATGAGATTTCAATTCATTAATTGCTCATTAAACATTTATAGTGTTAATCTAAATTTCATGACCAGTTGAATCCTTATTCTTGTGAAATCAAAGATATTAAAGGTGATCTTTGTCATGTTGTGCAGCAGAGCATGTACAACTATGAAAAAGAGTGCATTTTCTGGTCTGTCCAGCATTGAGGGCACAATGTTCATGGCTACATTTAGTCATTTTAATCTTTTTGTTTATAAAAGGCCTGGCATCAAGTTTGGAATCATTTTACTCCAATATGCACTACTTATGAATAAAAGAATTGGTTATGAAAAGGAAACTTGTAAGTGGACTTATTAAGCTGAAGAACAACATATTTGAATGTTATAGTTTAGATGTTTGGCTCAAGTTGGAAATTAACTTTTGATTGGAATGGCATTTTTGTTTCACAATGTTTAGTTACTTTTGTTTTAACATGTATATCTTGTTTCGTTTAACATGTATTCATTTTTATTCAGATGCCCATTGTACCATGGTCTGCCTAAAGATTGCACTCTGATTAAAAAGGATGGAGAATGCTGTTTACAACCTGTATGTAACTTCCATCAAACAATACAGAAATTTGAAAGCACAGGAAAAGGACAGACAGCATCAGGAATAAGTAAATAAACATATTAGTTTAGACTGATTTCCGTAAAAGCATTCAAGTTGGTAATGAACAGCTTTGTTTCTAACATTGACACGATCAAACATATAACAGAGGAATAATGTTCTGCCAGAAAGGACTTTCATAGAAGACATAAACTAATCACAGCAGATAATTCTAGAGACTAAATAGACTCGTATCTTCAGATGTTAGGAAATTGTAAAAATATAAAGATGACAAGCCATTGGAATGTATACTCCTACATCAGAATGCATACAATTGAGGTATCTTATGAAACATACTATCGGCTGTAATGTGAGAAAAATCATTCATGTTGTTTTGGGATGGAGGATTAGGGCTGTCATAGCAGGAGTTTCTATGTCTGTAGTGCAACAAAGAAACCCTGACTCTTCATTAACTCGTAACACATGATGACAAGTTTTAAATCAAGACATGAATATATGGTGTATATTTGTATTCAGAGGTCTGTGTCGCCAGTGGTAAACAGTATTTCCAAGGTCAGACGTGGGAGGATGGCTGTTCAAAACAATGTGTGTGTGCTAATGCTACAGAGGGACTTTACACCTGTGATGCCATGTAAGCTTAGATTTTTTTATTTTCTGTATTAAATTTTTGTATATCTTAATGGCTTGCAGAAGACACTGAAAAGTCACTCTTCAGAATAAGCTTTGACTCTTTGAGTTTGACAGGACCTGTCTACCTAAAACGTGTTATGAATCAATTGACTCAAAATTTTCAAGAAAATCTTTATTCTATTTCAGAAATTTAAGATACAACTATCAGGAATCCATGTTCTCAACAATGATTATTAAATGTAGGAATAGAAAAATTAAAAAGGGCTTTATATTTGATAAGTTGCTTGAAAAATTGAAAATTTTTTTTTTTACCATTACATGTAATTTTATTATTCTTTTATGGGTTAATCATGTAATCATAATACAACCCCCAGTATTCATTTTTGTATTACTCTGTTTTGGAAGTTTCATTTTTAGTGTTATGCTATGACAATTTTATGCCCCCGCCATTTATGGCATTCATGTCTTACAGACATTTTCTAGTGTCAAGAAATGTTGTTGTTATATTGTTGCACATTATACATAATATATATATATAGCAGCTTAAATCAGTACAGTTTTGATGAATATACTGGTCAATCATTTTTTATCATAACATACTAAAATTGCCAGATGTGAACACTTGTTAAATGGTTTTTGCTTTTCTTTCTAGATGCCCATCCTATAACAACATTCCATCTAACTGCCATCTGGACCAGAAACCTGGTGATTGTTGTCAGAAACCAATCTGCGAGTATGACCAACAGCATGGAAGTTTCACTGGAGTTGGCACAGTCAGTGGACAAGGACTAGGTTAGTTTTAGGCGTTGGCAACAGGTTTCATGTTGATTGGGAAAAATGAGATATTGGCCTGGTAATAGGACACTGTGATATGTGTTGACAATCTTACAGATTTCTTTTGAAATAATAGTGATATTAAACATTAAAAAGTTATAAACAGAAGTTTCATACAATTTTATTTTCTTGAACAACAACTAAAAGAATAATGCCCCTATTGATGACCAAGAATTGATCACTTTTCCCCCATTACTGCCCAATGTATGGGCGAATGCTTGCTTTTCAGATTACTGACATTTCGGCAATATGCATTTTTCAAAAAACACTTTCCTAAAGACTAGCTTTTAAAAACTCCAATTACATTTATATGTATGTGTATAATTTATATAAAATATTCCTTCATTTCCCTGTATATATTAGATTTCAATTGTCCAAGATTTTGTACCTGACAAAAACAGCCTGCAGAAGAAAGGAGATTCCAAAATACTTTCTTTGAACAAAAACAGCAACTGCACTTAGATTGATTGGTGAAATGTAAGGGAACATAGGAAAATGGTATACCAGAAGGAATCATAACTTTTTTTATTGTTTTGAAATGATTTTCTACATTTTAACTTCATCTCTTGTCAGGAGCCAACCCAACAACTCCACTACCTTGTATTGATCGTATAAATACATGCGCTCAGTATGGAAAAGATGTTTGTACCAATTTCCGAGACTGGTCCACGGACAACTGCAGGAAGTTCTGTGGTATTTGTGGTGAGTGTTTGGCTTTGTTAGCTTATTTCTACAGGTCTTTGTAAGTTTTGAAAATGATACTTGATATAAATGTAGAAAAAAATTTAAATGTTTCATATTGTAACCAGTTACATAGAAAACTTTTGTTTTTGTTTTTCTTTCATAAAAGGAACAATTTTTAGACTGTCATTGCAATTAAACTTAAAGATATAAATCAATTATAACATTTGTCCCTTTCAATCAAAATAATTTCATATTATTAGATTAGTACTTCAGAACTTCATTTTGGAATTAGATATCGATCTGTAAAGTATGATACCGATCTTTGGTTCAAAATTACTAGAAATAAGTCATTATCTTCATCTGATTGTTTTGATCTTATTTATGGCTGCTATGAAAACTTTCAATAGTATCTAGTATGTTGTCGATACTTGTTTGATGATGTTGCACAGACTAAAATGATTGAATTCTTCATCTCTAGGTGGAGAGCCAACCCCTAATTCACAAGGTAATGATGACTCTTGGTAACTTTACATCAGTCTTTCTAGCTATAAATCAATACAAGAAACTACTTCATGAATAGAAACAACAAAGAAAGTATGAACATGGCTACAAAATCATAGTTCAAAGTCAAAATCATTAAAACTCCTGAAGAATTAACAAGGAGAATAAGACCAGGTGTTCCAGAAGAGTACCTGGTAAGCTTTTTCTATTTCATCATTGACACCTACTATGTAAATCTTGGTCAAACCTACTTACTAATGTCATGTTCCCAAATGAGAACACTGTTAACAGCAATATAACCCACAGGTATAATAATGAGCATCAAACGAGACCTACTTCATATCGCATAAGGAAGTTGAATATTTCCGTATGAAATCATTAGGACGACTGTGAATCTTCCCCCTCCTCACCTGTGTTTCTCAAAACCCTGTGTTGAGAGTTTCTATCATTTGCATCTTGCTCGAAAATCACAGCATTGAGAAGAAACCCTTAAAATCAAATTAATTGTTACATGTCACAGTCTAAAAATTTATGCATTATTAAAGCTATTCTACTGTCAGTTTTGTGGAAGTGATTGTTATTGCACTGGGTAACAAGTCCTACCTCCTAGCTAAAATTGATACCAATTAAATCTTATCATTGAAAGAATAGTAAACTGATCTGAATTCCATTACTTGTAACATCTTAACATATGGTATGTCTAAGTTCTTCAGCAAAAGAAATAATTTCATTGATAATTAAAAACTGACACCATGAATAATTAGCAAAAAGGTCAACAGATGTCATTCTTTGTATTCATATGTAAACAATTGTCATATATATATTTATGAAAACCAATTTTATGTGCAATATGAAAGATATTCAATATTTTACAGACAAATGTGTATATCATGGTCAGTCCTATGGACAGGGCCAGTCTTGGACCATTGGTTGTGACACACAGTGTACTTGTGAGAATGCTGTGTATGGCTACTACAGATGTGACAACACGTTAGTAAAATTCGCACAAAACATCATGTTAATGACTTCTATTTGTCATACAAGACTTCCATATTATTTGGATAAGAACTTGATATTGTTAATAAGCTAACCAGAAATAATTTTATTAAATGTTAAAATGTTTGTCATATTAGGAGGTGGCAAAGGATTTTTATTTTACACTTTTGTGATACACAAACATCACAGAAATAAAATGCTCCCGAACATTTGCAGGTTTTACCATACGCCAGTAATTTGTGGGGAAGGAATGGGAAGCTTAGTCTAGAAATGGACCATCTATAAGGGATAGGATGTATCAAGTGAATAATGTTGATTTGTAATTAATTTCCAGTAAGTCAGGCTAGATGAATGGGATCATTTTTCTAAATGAAATTAAAGTAAAAACTTCAATTGTTGAATATTGTTACGATGTGTAAATGTGAAACAGATAGGGTACAATTGAATAAAAGAAGCTACATTATAAATTGTTATTTTCACAGTTGTCCAAAATACAACAATCTACCTGCCGGCTGTTACGAGAGCAAACATAACACAGACTGTTGCACCACTGTTCGATGTGACTCTGGCAACTTCATAGGTTCTACCACTGATCCCAACTCCATTGGGAGTGGAGGTCTGATTCATGTCCTTAACCCAACTGGTGGTCAGCAAGTTGTGTCACCTACCCAGCCATCTGGAGCTACTGTAGCACCTGGAGCTGGAGGCACAGGATTTGTCGCCCCAACTCTAAGTATGTAAATACTTGTACTCAGGTCTGGCGTTTGTGGGTTTTTTTTCAGCTTAATGAAAATTATTGAATGTCTTCTAGATGTTTATATATAATTAATGAAGCTTTAAAATGCTGCAGCTGAAGTTGCAGAGTTAACAGATGAACTAATTTCCTGACTGAAGAATTTCTTATTTCCTGCAATGTTTACCGTATTGTGTATCACAGATTGATCAGATTTCACATTCAAGTCTCTCTTTTTGATGATGGTGGGCTATTGACACCAAAAGTCTGTTGCCCATCCATGAAAATAAACACTTATTTTTATCAGTATTTCTTAAGTACTATTGGCTTGATCTTTCTGAAATTTCATATGTCGCTTTTCCTTGTTCCCTAGATGTACTCTGCTTTATTATCTGTTATTACTTTTTCTTGAGGACAAAATAGATCTTTATAAAATTTCATGTGAAGGTTCCCCATTGTCCATAGTTGTACCCTTATGATTTTGAGACTGATGTAAAGATAGCTGACTTGCTGCCATCTTTGATTTGACAGTTGAAGACTATTTTTGATGTTCATTTCTTAGAGGAATTTTCAAATTACATATAATTAAGAGCAGAACCATCAGAAGAGAAAATAGGGAAAAGATTTAACTTTCAAAGAAAAATAAATGTTAAACAATGCATCTCGTGTTCAATAAAAGCCCTAGGATGCTGATGTGTTGTTTTGAAGCTCTTTCTAGCTTGAATATTTATCTAAATGAAAGCAAACATGAAAAATTGTTGGGGGCTATAAGCTGTGTTGAAAATTCTTAAATTTGTTTTTCAAATTCCTTGTTCTTGTGGTCGTAAAAAATGTTTCTATATATAATTATTTCAATGTAAATGTTTATTTGGTCTAAATATCTAATTGATTTCATACCAATACAGAGGGCTGCCTGTTCAAAGGTCAGTTGTATGTACAGGACCAGACTTGGGAGGATGGCTGCAGCTATTCTTGTCAGTGTACAGACAGCACAAAGGGAGTCTATTCCTGCAGGCCTAAGTATGATAATTTTGACACTTAGAAAATATTCCAAACCATAAACTCTTGTTACAATGTTACAAGTCTTAATACCTATTCTGAAACTTTTCAGATTTATGAAATTCTAGGTTATCTGAAAGATGGTCTTTATTACAGGATATGACTTAAAATTTTAAACTTTTGTGATAATATTTTAAGATTTTTAACTTTTGTCTTTTACCTTTTAGTTTATTTGATGTTATTTTCTTTTGGATCACTGTGTCTTTCACTGTTTGATGGCCCCAATGACCATTTATGTGTTGATGGGCTGATAAGAATGTAATAATGATAATAATCATTGTTGGTAATGTCTGAGAGAATGTTGAAATAGATTATCCCATCATTCAAATCAACATCACATATGGATATGTTATTCCATTACCATATCTCAAAGATCTTCAGGCTACTGGCTTATATCGCTCTGGCCCCTTTTCATTTATTTGTAAAAGAATTAATATTGAACATTCTACATGTTTAAGGTGTCCGATGTACCAGAATCTTCCATCGTCATGCCACATGGAGACTGATGCCAATGACCCATGTTGCCAGGCACCCAGGTGTCGATATGACCCTATAACAGGAAGTACTTTTATACCTATCCCATCATTCCAGCCAGCGGTACAATACCATGGATTGGTGAGACCACCAACTGTTGGAGAATTGTACAACCAAAATGAATACACTGGGAGTGTTCTGATCTTCGGGACTAACCTCACACCTGCCCCACCCACAGAAAGAGCAAACATCACTGGAGGAATAGGTAAGTTCATTGTTAATGAAAGATAAATTTCTACAAGTCTAGAGTTCAGAGCCTGCCGTTCTTTTCTTGTATTTTAAGAAGTGTATACCTTATCTTTAACTTATGTGTAGATTCTGTTTGATATTTTGTAGGTCACTGTGTGTATCGGGGTACACTATATAGTCAAGGTCAGACCTGGGAGGATGGTTGTGACTATAACTGTGTGTGTGAAGACTCTAGGAGTGGACTGTACAGATGTATTGAAAAGTGAGTCGCAGGTTTTACCATGTTTAATGACTTAGGAGTGGTGTAGAGTTAACACTTCTCTACTGGTATGTGATTGTTGTCTAGTGCATTAAGCTTGTACAATATCTTAATTTCCCAACTACACTTTGTTGCAATATATTTGGTTTTAATTGTTAAGTTTGATAGATACATTAATGATGTATTGCATTATGGTACATTAACTTAAGAACTCTTTACAACAATAAGTATGTTCTCTTTAATTGAATTACTTTTGTTAAGAAACAGAGTAATTTTAATTCACTCTGTTATAGCTTTGAAATCAGTATTACGATAGACAAGATCAATAGACATACATGCATATAAGAAAGGGACGCATACAAAATTGGTGTTATCAGTAGTAAACATAAGATAATATATACATTATATCCCGTTACAGACAACTATAAGGTTTATTTACGCTATATATAATGCTAAATTATTGGATAGATTCTTAACTGAGAAACTTATCACACATTATTTTGCATCAATTTATGTAATTCAACTTTCAAGTGTTGTCTTGACAACTGACTGCATGGTGTTGATTTTCATATGTTAACAAGCAAACTGGTACATCTTTTTATACTTTTGCACTCATGGTTCAAGTTAACATGTGTTATTCCTATTTACATGTAGAAGATTTAAAATCGTTTATTTCCCAATACAATTATTCTTTAACGCATTTCCTTATTAACTCTTTGTATAGATGCAACCACTTCGGAAATCTGCCACAACCATACTGCTACCTCAAACAAGATCCGTCCAATCCTTGTTGTAAAATTCCATATTGTAACTTTCCAATCAATTATGTAACCAACACTGGATACATCAGTACAGCGAAACCTCCGTCTGGTAAGTTAACACAAGTTCTTTTTCGATGTCCTCTAAGCTTCAGCATGCTATACTTGCTAGAGAAGTATGCTGTCAAATTTCTCTGTGTGTTTCTGTGTTGTAGTAGGATGGGAACCCACCACATGATTAAATAAAGTTCACTCTATAAATTGACAAAGTTGAGGCAAATGTCTCAATATCGATTAAAGAAGCTGTCTGAATTAGAAACACCAGCATTTTTGTAAGTTTAATATGGAGATAAATAACAATATAATATCCTCATACGTGTCCACTTATCTGAAAATCCAGAGGAGATTGCACATGTTCAAAATTTCAAGAATATAATAAACATTTTGACGAAGACAATCTAAATAGAAAGTTTGAGTCAAAAACCTGAAGTCTCCCTCCTAGAATAGGGAGGGTTTGGCAATATGCATCCCAATTCATATTGCAAGCAAACATTGCTGGACTTCACTTAAGAAATTGAAAGTTTGAAATTCTTTCCTTCTTACAAATTAGATGTAGGGAAAAGATAAAATAGAAATGACACAACATTTCATTTGTAGGAATACTGATTTTAAAGTGATCCCTTAGGTACATCACTTCTAAATATAGAAATCTCTGATGTTATCAGTATTGAGAGAAAAAAAGTGTCTAAACTGGAGGAGGATAGTAGCATCTCCTTGTCATAATTTCCAACAACAGTAGCATCATGTTGTTAGTGATGTTGTGTTGAGTATTATTTACGAATGAATTATATATTGATAGGACTAATATGTTTATGTGAACCTGTGGTTTTCGTCATACATGCATTTGTATCTGTTACAAATGATTAACAATTGAAGTAGATCCAATGCCATTCCAAAGTTTGTAGGTGGTCACTGGGTTGCTGCACTCTAAGTATGGATACCAAACTGTATGCTCGGCAATTAGATAAATAGATAAATATTACACAGTCCAAAGAAACATGTCAATTCTATTAATAAATGTGACTATTGCTTATAGATCACTGTGAATACAAGAATACCATCTACAAACAAGGCCAATCCTGGTTTGATGGCTGTGATTACAAATGTACCTGTGATGATGCTCTCTCAGGAGCCTACAGATGCCTCACAAGGTAAGTATTTGACTCTAAGGGTCAGAATCTTTCTCCAGTTTCTCACTCTAAAGACCAGTATCTCCCACTAAAGGTAATTATTGCTGTAAAGGTTAGTGTCTAACTCTAAAGTTAAATATTTCTTTAAAGGTTAGTGTCTCAATCTAAAGGTGAGTATTTCTCTAAAGGTTAGCGTCTCACTCTGAAGGTTAGTATTTCTCTAAAGGTTAGTGTCTCAATCTAAAGGTGAGTATTTCTCTAAAGGTTAGCGTCTCAATCTAAAGGTGAGTATTTCTCTAAAGGTTAGTGTCTCACTATAAAGGTTAGTATTTCTCTAAAGGTTAGTGTCTCACACTAAAGGTTAGTGTCTCACTCTAAAAGTCAGTATTTCTCTAAAAGTTAGGGTTTCACTCTTAAGGTCAATATTTCTCGAAGGTTAGTGTCTACTCTAAAAGGTCACTATCTCAGATTAAAGGCCAGTTTCTTTCAAAAGGTCTGTGTCTTACTCTTATGGTCAGGGTTTCGCTCTTAAAGTCAGTATCTGGCTCTCAAGGTCATTATTTCTACATACCAGTCAATGTCTCATTCTAGTGTCTCACTTTAAAGGTCACACTTGTGTCACACTTAAGGTCAGTATATCACTCCCAAAGTCATTATCTCTCCAAATTGGTGTTACTTGCTTGAGGTTAGTGTCACACTCCCAAGACTAGTTTTCCACTACTAAGTTGATTGTCATTTCCAAGATCAATCTCTCACTTTCAATGTAAGCATGGAACTTCAGACGTCATCAGTTCATTTTTTTGTGTCTTGTTCCAGTGGTGGTTGTATCACTAACAAGATTATTTCCATTTCCATTCCAAAGTACTTATCCTTAAGCATGCATGATCATCTTGGTTAAGATATGATAAGTTGTGTTTGTACTTATATAAAAATCCACTTCTTTACAAATTGACATGTATTTTTCAGATGTCCTACGTTCAACTCTATCAATGCCAGCTGTACAATGGTACCAGATCCCAACGACCCTTACTGCTGCAGAATTCCAAGCTGTCCAGCACAAAACACAACTGGCACTGCCACACAGATCCCCACCCCAGCACCTACAGGCTACTATTCAGGCTATCAGGGTGCCAGCATTGGTCAGTCTATGGTATTTTTGTATGTGTAATTAACAATGACTGCTGACATTAGCAAATTAGTTGAAATAGACTAATCATGCACCTCTTATTGATAAAGGAATCTGTCATTACTCTCTCTGCATCTGTCCCTCTATGCATCCCTTAGCTCCTGGGTTCCATAGCAAAAGATTGAAATGAGATGAATCACTCAACAGATCTAGTTCATTTTCATACTAAAGAGATATAATAAAAAAATCATAAAAAGTATGTTTTTGTGTTCATGAGTCAAATAGAATTATCTATGACTGATTTTAAAAGAGTGATTTCTCATTAATACCTCAATGAATTAAAACATTTATGAAGAATTTCATTAAATCAAGTTCTTACTTGACTACAATTTGGGATGGGAGTGTTTATATGAACACTTTCTCACTTTGTTTGCATTTTTCATGATTTCAGTGATAATTCTATATTTAAAACTTTTGTATGAGGCCACCCTCAAGAAGACCAGTAGATGGTTTCTTAATCTTTTAGCTTGTCTATTAATCGTAGTGGCTGAATTGATGTGGAACAATGAGGCAGTAATTGCTGCCTTTTGCACAGCTGACAATTTCTTGTATTTGACCAAACATTTACTCTTTTCACATGTAGTTTATCAACATTTTCTTATTAGATTTACCAAAGCAGATTCTGTCAAATTCTATTACAAATATCACCATTGCCTTCTCATGTCTTTAGCTGGGAAAACTTAATGGTCAAAGTGACTTCTTGAAGACCCCTCAGGAAAAGAGTGTTTAAATTTTGTTCAGCTTACAGCAAAGTCCGAATTGAGCAGAAAACTGTACAGCTTGTGCATTTTTCTTAAATGCTGTGATGTAACATAACATCATGTTAGCTTAACTTGTTTATATCGTCACAAATTGAAATTTTAAAACTATTATTACTGAACTACATTGGATTAAATGAAAAAAAATGTTCCATCAGTAACTTTCGATTTTGCTAACAAATTTTCATGTTATGTGAATACTGCCAATTTTCTGACAAGATGATTTGCTCTGGATCCAGTTAATTCGAAAAACATCTCTTAAGACAGGAGTTACTGGGTACTACTTTAATAGAAGAACACCTTTTCCAGGTTACTTTTATTCTTTTGGTTTCAGTAATTAAAATTTACCGTGATTCTGGATGTTTTTATTTGCAGGAAAATGTATATACAAAGGAGATAGTTATGTTCAGGGTGATACCTGGTCAGATGGCTGCGATTATGATTGTACATGTGTGGAAGCAGGCAAGGGACATTATGAGTGTACTGACAAGTATGTTCTAGAATACTCTCTATGGTTTTAAATTGTCTTGAGAATTTAACAAAAATTGTAAATATCCAATACCGACAGAGCCTCTTATGAATATATGGTTAGTAAGGCTTGTCATCATAAGTTATCTTAAATTCAAGGAGACAGATTTCCCAACTGTCTGTTTGAATGAATAAAAGTCTACATATTTTGCGAACTAAATTCAATGCTAAATGGCTTTATAGCCATTCTGTTTAGGTGTCTTTTATATTAAGATGCTGCTTTCAAATACAGAAATCACATAGTGATGTTTTGCAAGCTTAGCTGCATATATTGCATTGTCTTGTTTTTTCAGGTGCCCCCAATACCCGGGTCTGCCTTCTAACTGTCGTCTGATCTCTGACTTTACAAAACCTTGCTGTAAGAGGCCAGTGTGTGATGGCCAGACAGGGTCAGTAGTCACTGGTGTCAATCCTGTCATTGGTGGAACTACAGCGGCACCAAACCCAATACCAACACTAGCACCCAATGCTCGTAAGTCAACTGCATTTAAAGGAGTCATTGGCATGTTTTAAGAGTCTTTATTTTGTCGTAGAGGACATTTACACTGGGGGTCAAGGCCTAGGATACGGACAAAGTATGTTTATACGCCCTTGAATTAAGGGTGATATATAATGGCGTTGTCAGTTTATAGATTAATCTGCACTTCCATCTGTTGTAAACATTTTTTTTGTCTATACATTTTTCTATGGTTTCGGTTTCTCACTTGAAAACATTTTATTTTTATGCTCCTACCATTTTATGTTGGGGTGTATGGTGTTAACAATGTGTGTCTCCTATCATACACATTACACCATAGACATCAATAACAGTTATTATCCAGGCTACATATTGTGTTAACAATGCTCATCACTGCTGTCAGGCCCATTACACCATAGACATCAATAACAAATGTCATCCAGGCTACATATTGTGTTAACAATGCTCATCACTGCTGTCAGGCCAATTACACCATAGACATCAATAACAAATGTCATCCAGGCTACATATTGTGTTAACAATGCTCATCACTGCTGTCAGGCCCATTACACCATAGACATCAATAACAAATGTCATCCAGGCTACATATTGTGTTAACCATGCCAGTGTATCCTGTCAGTCCTGTTGCACCATAGACATCAATAACAACTGACATCCAGGCTACATATTGTTTTAACAATGCCTGTCTCTCCTGTCAGACTCATTTTCTCATTGTTTAAACCTTCAGGTACACCTTATTTTCATGACAATGCTTTGCTTTTCAACTGAAGATGAATCATTTTTGAAGGAGTTTGCCTTTTGATTTTTGGAGAATTTTAATCTTTAAATGTGGTTGATTATTGATTTAAAAGCATTGTGATTTGACAAATTTTTTTATGTCAATTTTAAGGTGCATTTTAAGATTTTTATGCATTTTAATGAAATAGTGTTTGTTCCTTTGAATTGGGAAGGGCTGTTTTGCTTAGCCTCATGAATGACGCGTTTGAAAAAATTGGTGTAAACAGTTGCTTGTGAACACTGATATACATACTCTAGTTGTCATGTGAAACCTAAAGATTTATTTGAAAATCAATTTAAAACATGTTCGATTACCAATAAGTAATGATATTTCATTACAGAATTCTGTGTTTATGAGAATGCTCAGTACGTCCAAGGTCAGGAATGGGAGGTTGGCTGTCAGTTCAGGTGTAGATGTGACGATGCCAGTAGGGGAGTCTATGTCTGTAATGAAAGGTAAACATGTAACAGATGAAACAGCCACTGGACCTCTAGTCCAAACACCATGTCTATTAAACACCTGAGTTCTAGGCAATGCACAAGCTCCAATCTCATGTCTGATATAAAACTGTGCAAGCATTTGTGATGTCTGACACTTTCCATTGATTCTACATCGTGTTTTTCTCAGCAGCAAAATTTTGACAATGATATATACTTACACTATTGAATATTTTAAATTGATTTTTTATGCACAAACTTTTCTTTAATATTGCCAAAAGTTTTTAGGAATGACATTGCAGTTTCTCAATTAGAGACTTTAATTACATAACGGTCATAGTTGGTGTTGTTTGGGTTCATTATTAATATCATTATTTTGCACAGAATATGAAAGACTATAATCAACAGAAATGTTTCTAACATTGATTTACCACCAAAATATCTTGTAAATGTATTTAATATATATAATTGACCACTAGATAATTGTTTATCACGTTAATGGAAAAGATCTTGTTCTGGCCTTATTTCCTCTTCGATTTGGCCTGATTCACCTTATAAGGTCACTATAACCTTGGCAATGAGCGTTTTTTCATGGATCATGCAAGTAACTTGCTTGAGTCCCATTTTCTATATCATTTGATTCTGGTGACTATATTGAACATTGATGCACATTGGGATATCTGTGTAAAGTCAGATCACTGTGACCTTGTCTTTGGACCTTGATCAAAGAAACGCCTTATTCGAGATATTTGTTCAAGTTAAACCACAATGGTAATCCGATCCATTCAGATAATGTTTCAGTGTTCAGTTTTGGTAACTTCATTTGTAATATAACTATCCTGCAGTAATCTCAGCTTATCAAAACATTTCTCCTTACCCAGGGAGTTGGCTTATTGCAGGACATAGAAATAGCATTGGTACTATGAGTTGGCTTATTACCAGAGATATATAATATCATTGATACTCTTGTAAGGTTTGACTTATTTCCTTATCAATAAGATAATCTGCTTGCATAATGAAAAAATATAATAGTTTTAATGCTGACTACATTGCAAGACAATAACAAACATGAGCATTAGAATATTTCACATTACAAGGGTTCTAATGGGGTAATGGTTCCAACATCAAACTTACGTTCCATATCAACATATCAAATATAGGTCACTGTGATTTTGATTTGTATTTCAATAACTTTCGTATGAGTACTTGGTAGTGTTGAAATAGATCCTAAGGCAGGACAATATCATTGTTTTAAAATATTTTTCTAAATATCTATAGGTGCCCACAATATAACAACTTGGGCAGTGAATGTAGTTTGGTGGCAGACGTTAATGATGCCTGTTGCCTTGCACCACGGTGTATATTCCCACCATTGACTGGTAATGCCACAGGAGGCCTCACTCCAGATCAGATCCCTACTGCCGCTCCAGGAGTCATCAGTGGAAGCATTAATATACCAACACCAGCACCTGTCCCCGGGGGTTCTGCAGTGGCCCCACCTCTTCTTAGTAAGTCATCATTACTGTATGTCTGATAAAGTGCAATAGATTTGCATGGTGTGAAAAGATGAAACTTATTTCTTCTCTTGCATTTTCTTGCTAAACAAAAGTGTATAATATATGCAAGCATTAAGATAAAGAGGATTTGTAGACAATTTATGACATTTCCAGCGTGGTGCGAGTACAAAGGAGCACGGTATGGTCAAGGCGAGAAGTGGTATGATGGCTGCGACTACCAATGTGAATGTGTGACAGCATCAACAGGCAAATTCAAATGTGTTGAAAGGTAAGTGTGCTGTAGAACATACATGTAGGATCTTAAATGAGTTTTCTCTTAAATTCTATGAAACTAGTCTTAGTACTTTTTATTTTTTTGAACGTTGGTGAGCAATGAAAAACATCTTGACAAGTTTCCTAAAGTCTCATAAGAAATGAAAACAAACAAAAATAATCACATAACATTTGACAGATATAGAGTTAAAAAGTGAAGTATCAGAGGGAGGCAGCCATTTTGTCCTCCCACTCACATTTTATGACCTTATGTCATTGTTTATATTAATCAATTTCTGCCTTTTGCAACCAATGAAAAAGCATTCCAGGGTATACTACACTAGTGATATATACTTTTATTCTTTAAACAGATCTTAATGAGTTATCTGAATGAATGACTTTGTTTTCAGTGGTTAAAATGCATATACACGATGCACAGGTGCAACCAATGTATGTACGTGTGTACAATTGTCGGTCTTTTGTTGACAAGTTGATGTTTACTAGGTATTGTGTAAATGTTTACAAAAAAAACCTCATTATTAGTTTTGTTTGTGTTTTATTTTGAATATTTCTGGTTTTGTAATATTCATAATTTATTTTTTGTTTGTGCATCAGGGGATATTAGGTTAGTTGGTCTAATGTTCTGAAATTTCTTGTCTTTTTTCACTTAGGTGTCGAAGATATTTGAATCTTCCTGCACAGTGCCGTCTAGTGAAGGATCCTGCAAACCCTTGTTGTAAGACTCCAGAATGTGACTTTCAGGGTGTGACTCAAGGCATCACTAACTTCCCAACCCCTCCTGTTGGCCCGACTTTAGGACCCCCAGGTCCAGGAGTTGGTCCTACTCTTGCACCTGGCCCAGGTTCCTTGCCAACTCCAGCACCAACACCATTAGGTAACAATATGTATTCACTTGATTTGGTGGATGCCTAACATACATTGCCCAAATACTTTGGTAAAAATTGGAAGAAATTTCTGTTCCTTTCTTACTTAATCTGGCGATATGAGCTTATGTAGCATGGCGTTGTGTCCATCATAAATCTCTATATTTTTTTTTCTCATTTCTTTAAGTCATAAATGGCTCTAAATTTTCCCATAAGCATCATTTTGAGAAGGGTATCTAATTTTGTATAAATGATGAATGTGGCTCCCTCTCCCCCTCTTCCTTTCCCAACTGTCAAAACTTCCCAAACCTGAGGGGCAATGCTCAAAAAAGAGAATTTTGCAAGTTCTTAAAAATCCTTCATCTTCAGTAAGAATGTTTGGAAATGTCCAACTTTGGTCAGAAGCATTGTTAATGAGGAAGACTCAACTTTGTATAAACAGTGAGTCTGACTTCGGATTCCTCGGGGGCCGAGGGATGGACCTCAATAGAGGAAGTAAAGAAATAGAAGTCCTATTTAAGTTTGGATAAAGGCATTTAGACAAAATTTGGTCAGAAGCATTTTTTGGGAAGAGAAGCCATAAAAGCCAGTATTGAATAAAATAGAATAGACAATTTTACAGGTAATCCAATTATATTTTTTAGATACATGTGTGTACAAGGGGAAAAACTACAACCAAGGCCAACAGTGGTATGATGGCTGTGACTTTGTATGTTATTGTGAAGATGGATCAGCTGGTGTCTACAGGTGTAGCGAGAGGTAATTATCAAACATTTTTCCCCTGTATGTTACTTCTAAATGAATGCTCTCTTTATGATGTGTAGTGAAAGGTAATTTTTGAACTGTCATTTGTGTTTCTCACAATGCAGATTGATAATCCTGGGAGCCAAAAAACAAGCCAATTTCTGCAAATTTTTACCATTTTAAAAATAAGAATGAAATTATTATCTAATATATAAAAAAAAGGAATGGTCAGATTTGAGGGTTGCCTGGTCATTTTCTTTCCTTGGAATGATGAGAATAATATTTCTTTCCTGCAGTATGAGTCATCAGTTAATATAACTTTTTTGTGTTTCAGATGTGCTGCCTTCCCAAAACTACCTGCCAGTTGCAAACTTGTGCCTGATCCTCAGGATCCTTTCTGCTGTGAGGTACCTGAGTGTTCCTTCACTCCTTCAAATGGCACATATTCTGGCTACGGCTACCCAACTGCTGCTCCTGGTGTGATTACTGGAGGTAGTGTTGTGAATCCTACACCGAGACCCAACGGCGTGCCCACAGCTCAGCCCATCCCTGGTGTGTCTACAGTAGCCCCATCGTTAGGACCTACATTCAAAGGTAATCATATTTAAATCAGATGTTATACTTTATCTCTTCCTTTTATTTTTATACGCTGCCAGAGGCGGTCAGATTTTGGCGTCATCTTCTTCGTCTGTCCGTCCGTATGTCCGTACGTCCATTTCTTGTGAACGCAACTCCTCCTAAACTGATCATCAGATTTTCACGAAACTTACTCAATGTCACTAATACAATGGTTTGATGTGCAGGAAGGGGCCATTTTACGGTTCATTTATTTTGTAAGATTTATGCCATTTTATCTTGATCTTTATATTTTGTGGCAGCGTATATTGTGTCCACAGCAATCTTGTTGTTACCATGTTTATGTAAGAATTACATTTCCAACATATTTCCAATATACTCATTTCTCCTCAATATACTCTGTATTTTTGTGCTTTTCGAAGGGAATAGTCAATGCTTTGTCCGGCTGTCTGTCTGTCCATCCGTCATTAATTTTTTGTGGCATATCACAAAAAATATAATAGGTATCAATATGAAACTTCATAGGTAGATATATCTTGATATGGAGAAGTGCAGTGTATGTGTTCTTGATTCTGAAATATTATCACAATCAGTTAAAACATGAGGGTGCATGATGCAGGCAATCTCATTTTGATCTGTCCTATCATTATGTTAGAATAATAATGTTACAAAATTATATATCAATAATGTTTATATACCTGCAGATGTATGTGTGTATAAAGGCCAGCAGTATACACAGGGCCAGAAGTGGGAAGATGGCTGTGACTACAACTGTGAATGTGCTGATGCCAAGACAGGATTCTACCAGTGTTCTGAACGGTAAAATGTATAAATTATCCTAGCCTTAAAAACAGTTACACAGCCATACCACTTCATGTAAACTAGGTGTAAGGGTACCAGTGTTCTGAACGGTAAAATGTATGAATTATCCTAGCCTTAAAAACGGTTACACAGCCATACCACTTCATGTAAACTAGGAGTAAGGTACGTTCTTTAATTCTCACCATATTCATGATGTCTTGAAACCTCAAAACAAAGTGCCCCTGTATCCTTCATAACAGCTTTGATCGTATATATTGAGGGAATATTTGTCTAATAAATTATAAGTGTCAAATCTGGAATAATGATAATTTGCTTTATATGTTACAAGTTTATTTACTTTTACTTAAGTTCTTAAAAAAAACTTAACATAATAATTCAAAGTCAGCTAGTTTATGCCAGGTTGTTCACACTGACATCCCAATGGTGGACTTGGATCCTACTTCTGATTTCTGAGGCAGGATTAATGAGAAAAACAGAATTCAACTTTTCAATCTATATAATAAATATCAATATACCGATATTATAAGCTTCACAGTCGTAAATCATCTTTTTTTTAATGAAGTAAATGCTAACATCCATGTGCTTTGAACAGCATCATGCGCAAAAAACCAACCCCCCAAAAATTTTTTTTGGTAGAGACGACAAAATTTTAATCGAGTACCAGAACACTACCACAAAATTTGAATTGAGTACCAGAAAAAGTTGAATCGTTTTGGTTGCTTGTGTCTTTTTTAGTGGAAACTGTATTGACTGTATCAGTTCATTCCAAAGCAAATGTTCCATTTTAAGGACTATGCTGTTATAATTGGATGACATTTTCAGTTTAATTGAAATTAGATTATGCATGAAGCAGACAATGCTCTGTAATACCATCATAAGTACAAGTGGATTTAAGGTGAATGCTTTTAAACAAGAATGTGCACTATTGTATTGATTCAGTATGAGGTGTCTCATTTAATAGTCCCCCCATTAGAAATGGGGAGATGGGTTATAGTTAGGGACTACGGTAAAACTCACTTGTGTTTAACACCCTTGGAAGAAATATGTCAGATGAGTCGAATGTGTTGTTTGGTCCTGTTTTTCCCCCATCTTTATCTTAGTGAATTGAACAAGGATGATTTGAATACTGAGGAATTAAATACTGTGTTTGTGTCCAATATGTTTTGTGGTCCATCCTTTGTAATTTCTACCAATATTTCCTGTTTGTGTCAAACCTTTAGGTGTCATCATGTCTGAGGTAAAATTTCTTGGCTTTGGTACAAATGACGTAGTGTGTGATCAGTCTGCTGTGTTAACTATTGTAGGTTTCTTGTATTGATTGGACATTAATCTGGCGTTTATACAGGTGCACATTTGTTGCTTGAATTTATAAGGAATTAGGCCACCAAAATTAAAATACATCAACTGTAGTCTTTTCGTTGTAAATCTACTGTGTTCTGTTTTCTTTTTTATGTTTTTTATGTGCATGGTTTGTGTATAATTTTGCAAAAGTGACGTCAATGCAGCTTTTGCCTTTCATAACCTAACTCAATGCTATTGATGTTACATCAATGTAGATTAATCAAGAGTAAATATTAATTGAGATTTATTTAAAAGAAATTGTTAACAAGATAAAGGGATTTTAAGTATGAGTACAATTTTTGTGTTGCTTTGTCTATCAATTTCACTAAGTTACGTGTTTGAGAGTTGGTTAGTATTCCAGTGTGTGTACTGCAATGACAATTTTGGTTCTATGTATATTTATACCGATAACTTTTTATTTGATTAAAGGAGATAATTATCATATAAATAAAAATAAGATCAATCTTAATTGCACGATGTCTCTGTTCATAAAAACTGGCTATGTCAAACCATCAGATAAGTCGAATATTTCATTTGGTCCCATCGACTTCAATTTATCTGTGTGGTACTGCCTATTGTTGAGGCAGTGTGTCATCGTAAGTAGGTCACTCCGACCTGCATCAGAGAAAACGTTTGTCAGTGCTCTTTCTTTTACCCTACTTATCACTTGAAAGTCTTACTTTGGGTATTGGTTTACCTTGGTTAGGCAGTGTAGCCTTGGCATATAATTTCAAATTTGATAAGGGACCGTAATTGTTGAAATCTGTTGAGTTGCCTTGTGTATGAAATTATTCTCATTAGAAATAAATGACCAGACCTTTTCCATCACCAACAAATCATTTAAAATCTGGAGTGAATTGAATAAATGTTTTTAGTTCTTGTTTTCTTTCATTCAAGTTACAAGTACCTTAAGAACAGGAAATTGTTTTTGTAGATGCTCAAGGTTTGTGAACCTGCCCGCTGGATGTACTCTACAGAGGGACTACCTGAACCCATGTTGTATGAAACCATATTGTGTCCTCAAACCCACACCTAAACCTGCAGTTACTCCATCCTTAGGACCTGGTCAGACTCCATCACCCCAGCCCAACACATCACCTAATCAAGTGTGTATATATAACGGTGTGCCATTCACGCAGGGACAGTCCTGGTCGGATGGGTGCGAGCTGAAGTGTGTATGTGAAAATGCCACTACAGGATACTTCAGATGTAATGACAGGTGAGTCTCCCAGCAGTACAGAGGCAATTTCAAGGCAACCATGTCCCAAAACATAAGGAAGCTTTCCTAATATAGTTAAGTGTTGTTTGTACTCAGGATATTATTCCTCATATATTTGTTCATAGAATTTCTATTGATATTGATAGGAACAAATAATTTTCATTACTCAGGGAAACAAATGAAATGAATTTTCATCTTGGCACCTTTTTTCACTTCAATTCAAATTTTTATGCTTTTGGTTTATGAATCTCAAAAGAATAATGAAAACAACCCTTGCTTACAGGTGTCCCCACTACGATTTGACTCCAGGCTGTACAATGATCACTGACCCACGGGACTCGTGTTGTGTAAGACCATATTGTGACCCTAGAATTACACCCACGCCTGCTCCGGCCATCCCAACTGCCCCAGGAATCCCCGGACAGACCTACACTCCTCTGCCTGGACAGACCTATGCACCTGGCCTGTACCCAACACTACCTGGAGGAATAACCCTTATGCCTGGCATGATGATTACTCCTGCACCTGGACAGACATATGCTCCTGGTTTGTACCCAACCCTTCCAGGTGGTGCCACTCTAGTACCACCATTAGCCAACACTCCCTATCCAGGCTATACATCTGCACCAATACCTACTGCTCCCGGAGTACCAGGACAGTTGTATACACCTGCCCCAGGGAAAACATATGCACCATATCTGTATCCAACAGTTTCAGGTGGACAGCCGCTTGTACCTGGAATGGTTCTCACTCCACAGCCGGGCCAGACCTATGCTCCTGGTTTGTACCCTACCCTTCCAGGTGGTGCCACTCTAGTACCACCATTAGCCAACACACCACGTCCAGGTTACACCTTTGCTCCTGTTCCCACTGCTCCAGGTGTACCAGGACAGACCTACACTCCTTCTCCAGGTAAAACTTACAGACCAGACCTATATCCAACAGTACCAGGGGGTGAGACACTGATGCCAGGAATGATGTTAACCCCTAAACCAGGCCAGGTATATATTCCAGGCTACTATCCAACTCTTCCCGGAGGTGTAACACTTGTTCCTCCCTTGGCTTACACACCACCTTCTACATACACAGTTGCTCCTCAAATACCAACAGCACCTGGAATAATTGGACAGACATACACCCCATCACCAGGTAAAACATATGCCCCAGGACTCTACCCAACTGTACCAGGAGGACAAACCCTTGTACCTGGTATGATGCTCACCCCACAACCAGGAAAGACTTATGCTCCTGGACTCTATCCAACACTTCCTGGAGGAAAGACCCTAATACCACCACTTATGTACACACCTTTCCCAGGATATACCTATGCTCCACCAATACCAACTGCCCCTGGAATCCCAGGACAAACATACACACCTTCACCAGGAAAGACCTTTGCCCCAGGACTCTACCCAACTGTACCAGGTGGACAAACCCTTGTTCCAGGCATGATGTTGACTCCTGCTCCTGGTCAGACCTACCCTCCACAACTGTACCCAACATTACCAGGTGGTGCTACCTTAGTGCCACCATTTGCTGGATACACATTTGCACCAATTCCCACGGCACCAGGTATTCCAGGGCAGACATACACACCTTCTCCAGGACAAACATATGCACCAGGACTTTACCCGACTGTACCAGGTGGACAGACGCTTGTGCCCGGCATGATGCTGACTCCACAACCAGGGAAGACATACGCTCCAGGACTCTATCCTACGCTTCCTGGTGGAGCAACTCTGGTACCACCAATGGCATACACACCATATCCAGGATATACAAACAGTCCACCAATTCCCACTGCTCCTGGTGTTCCAGGACAGATATACACACCATCACCAGGTAAAACGTATGCCCCAGGACTCTACCCAACTGTACCAGGAGGACAAACTCTTGTACCTGGTATGATGCTTACCCCACAACCAGGGAAGACCTATGCTCCTGGACTCTATCCAACACTTCCTGGAGGAAAGACCCTAATACCACCACTTATGTACACACCTTTCCCAGGATATACCTATGCTCCACCAATACCAACTGCCCCTGGAATCCCAGGACAAACATACACACCTTCACCAGGAAAGACCTTTGCCCCAGGACTCTACCCAACTGTTCCAGGTGGACAAACCCTTGTTCCAGGCATGATGTTGACTCCTGCTCCTGGTCAGACCTACCCTCCACAACTGTACCCAACATTACCAGGTGGTGCTACCTTAGTGCCACCATTTGCTGGATACACATTTGCACCAATTCCCACAGCACCAGGTATTCCAGGTCAGACATACACACCTTCTCCAGGACAAACATATGCACCAGGGCTTTACCCGACTGTACCAGGTGGACAGACGCTTGTGCCTGGCATGATGCTGACTCCACAACCAGGGAAGACATACGCTCCAGGACTCTATCCTACGCTTCCTGGTGGAGCAACTCTGGTACCACCAATGGCATACACACCATATCCAGGATATATAAACAGTCTACCAATTCCCACTGCTCCTGGTGTTCCAGGACAGACATACACACCATCACCAGGTAAAACGTATGCCCCAGGACTCTACCCAACTGTACCAGGAGGACAAACTCTTGTACCTGGTATGATGCTTACCCCACAACCAGGGAAGACCTATGCTCCTGGACTCTATCCAACACTTCCTGGAGGAAAGACCCTAATACCACCACTTATGTACACACCTTTCCCAGGATATACCTATGCTCCACCAATACCAACTGCCCCTGGAATCCCAGGACAAACATACACACCTTCACCAGGAAAGACCTTTGCCCCAGGACTCTACCCAACTGTTCCAGGTGGACAAACCCTTGTTCCAGGCATGATGTTGACTCCTGCTCCTGGTCAGACCTACCCTCCACAACTGTACCCCACATTACCAGGTGGTGCTACCTTAGTACCACCATTTGCTGGATACACATTTGCACCAATTCCCACGGCACCAGGTGTTCCAGGTCAGACATACACACCTTCTCCAGGACAAACATATGCACCAGGACTTTACCCGACTGTACCAGGTGGACAGACGCTTGTGCCTGGCATGATGCTTACACCACAGCCAGGCTTGACATATGCTCCTGGACTCTATCCTACGCTTCCTGGTGGAGCAACTCTGGTACCACCAATGGCATACACACCATATCCAGGATATACAAACAGTCCACCAATTCCCACTGCTCCTGGTGTTCCAGGACAGACATACACACCATCACCAGGTAAAACATATGCCCCAGGACTCTACCCAACTGTACCAGGAGGACAAACCCTTGTACCTGGTATGATGCTTACACCACAGCCTGGCCAGACCTATGCTCCTGGACTCTATCCAACACTTCCTGGTGGAATTACTCTTGTTCCTCCATTTGCTAACACTCCATACCCTGTTTTCACTGTTGCTCCTCAAATACCAACAGCACCTGGAATAATTGGACAGACATACACCCCATCACCAGGTAAAACATATGCCCCAGGACTCTACCCAACTGTACCAGGAGGACAAACCCTTGTACCTGGTATGATGCTCACCCCACAACCAGGGAAGACTTATGCTCCTGGACTCTATCCAACACTTCCTGGAGGAAAGACCCTAATACCACCACTTATGTACACACCTTTCCCAGGATATACCTATGCTCCACCAATACCAACTGCCCCTGGAATCCCAGGACAAACATACACACCTTCACCAGGAAAGACCTTTGCCCCAGGACTCTACCCAACTGTTCCAGGTGGACAAACCCTTGTTCCAGGCATGATGTTGACTCCTGCTCCTGGTCAGACCTACCCTCCACAACTGTACCCAACATTACCAGGTGGTGCTACCTTAGTGCCACCATTTGCTGGATACACATTTGCACCAATTCCCACGGCACCAGGTATTCCAGGTCAGACATACACACCTTCTCCAGGACAAACATATGCACCAGGGCTTTACCCGACTGTACCAGGTGGACAGACGCTTGTGCCCGGCATGATGCTAACCCCACAACCAGGGAAGACATATGCCCCAGGATTGTATCCCACACTGCCTGGTGGAGCAACTCTGGTACCACCATTGATCAATACTCCATACCCTGGTTTTACATATCCTACGCCCATTCCCACTGCTCCAGGTATACCGGGACAAACATACACTCCGTCTCCAGGAAATACTTACAGACCAGACCTATATCCAACAGTACCAGGGGGACAAACTCTTGTACCTGGGATGATTCTTACTCCACTGCCGGGCCAGACCTATGCTCCTGGTTTGTACCCAACCCTTCCAGGTGGAGCCACTCTAGTACCACCATTAGCCAACACGCCACGTCCAGGTTACACCTTTGCTCCTGTTCCCACTGCTCCAGGTGTACCAGGACAGACCTATACACCTTCTCCAGGAAAAACTTACAGACCAGACCTATATCCAACAGTACCAGGGGGTGAGACACTGATGCCAGGAATGATGCTTACCCCTAAACCAGGCGAGGTCTATATTCCAGGTTTGTACCCGACCTTACCAGGAGGTATCACCCTTGTGCCACCTATGATTTACACTCCTTATCCAGGATACACGAACAAACCCCCAATACCTACTGCTCCTGGAATTCCTGGCCAGACATATACTCCATCTCCTGGGAAAACGTATGCTCCTGGTCTTTACCCAACTGCTCCGGGCGGTCAGACTTTAGTCCCTGGCATGATGCTGACCCCTAAACCAGGACAGACTTATGCTCCTGGGTTATATCCAACTCTGCCTGGAGGACAGACTTTGATTCCTCCTCGGATATACACACCTTATCCTGGATTCACATATGCTCCACCAATCCCAACTGCTCCAGGGGTACCTGGACAGACCTACACACCTGCTCCAGGTCTGACGTATGCACCTTATTTGTACCCAACAATTCCAGGCGGACAAACTCTTGTACCAGGCATGATCCTGACTCCACTTCCTGGCAAGACCTACGCACCTGGTTTTTACCCAACATTACCAGGTGGTGCTACCTTAGTACCACCATTTGCTGGATACACATTTGCACCAATTCCCACGGCACCAGGTGTTCCAGGTCAGACATACACACCTTCTCCAGGACAAACATATGCACCAGGACTTTACCCGACTGTACCAGGTGGACAGACGCTTGTGCCTGGCATGATGCTCACCCCACAACCAGGGAAGACATACGCTCCAGGACTCTATCCTACGCTTCCTGGTGGAGCAACTCTGGTACCACCATTGGCATACACACCATATCCAGGATATACATTTAGTCCACCAATTCCCACTGCTCCTGGTGTTCCAGGACAGACATACACACCATCACCAGGTAAAACATATTCCCCATGGCTTTACCCAACTGTACCAGGAGGACAAACCCTTGTACCTGGTATGATGCTCACCCCACAGCCGGGCCAGACCTACGCTCCTGGACTCTATCCAACGCTTCCTGGAGGTGCTACGTTGATTCCACCTTTTAAAACAACACCTATTCCTACTGCTCCAGGTGTGCCAGGCCAAACCTACACTCCTGCTCCAGGACAGACCTATAGCCCAGGACTCTACCCCACCTTACCAGGGGGCATCACACTTGTCCCAGGCATGATGCTTACACCACAACCAGGAAAGACATTCCCTCCAGGAATTTTGCCAACTCTACCAGGAGGAGTAACATTAGTGCCTCCTTTGGCATATACACCTTACCCTGGTTACACTTTTGCTCCACCAATTCCTACTGCACCAGGTATCCCTGGTCAAACTTACACACCTTCTCCAGGACAAACATATGCTCCAGGGCTCTATCCGACCATACCAGGTGGACAAACCCTTGTACCTGGCATGATGCTCACCCCACAGCCGGGTCAGACCTACGCTCCTGGACTTTATCCCACCTTACCTGGTGGCGCAACTCTAGTGCCTCCATATGCACCTACGCCGTATCCAGGGTTCACTTATTTCCCACCTATACCAACAGCTCCAGGAATACCAGGACAGACCTACACGCCTTCCCCAGGCAAGACCTTTGCACCTTATCTATATCCAACAGTACCTGGTGGTGAGACACTGATGCCGGGAATGATGTTGACGCCAGAACCAGGTGTAATGTACCAGCCTGGCCTCTACCCAACACTTCCTGGTGGTGCAACACTTGTACCTCCTCTAGCTAGCACTCCATACCCTAAATACACCTATGCTCCACCTATACCTACTGCTCCTGGAATAATTGGACAGACATACACCCCATCACCAGGAAAAACATATGCCCCAGGACTCTACCCAACTGTACCAGGAGGACAAACCCTTGTACCTGGTATGATGCTTACGCCAAAGCCGGGCCAGACCTATGCTCCTGGACTCTATCCAACACTTCCTGGAGGAAAGACCCTAATACCACCACTTATGTACACACCTTTCCCAGGATATACCTATGCTCCACCAATACCAACTGCCCCTGGAATCCCAGGACAAACATACACACCTTCACCAGGAAAGACCTATGGACCTGCAGGATTCTACCCAACTCTTCCAGGCGGACAATGGCTTGTTCCAGGCATGATCTTGACTCCTGCTCCTGGTCAGACCTACCCTCCTAACCTGTACCCAACATTACCAGGTGGTGCTACCTTAGTACCACCATTTGCTGGATACACATTTGCACCAATTCCCACGGCACCAGGTGTTCCAGGTCAGATTTACACACCTTCTCCAGGACAAACATATGCACCATATCTTTATCCAACAGTACCAGGTGGTATACCACTTGTACCCGGCATGATGCTGACTCCACAACCAGGGAAAACGTATGCCCCAGGACTATACCCAACACTCCCTGGTGGTGCAACTCTTGTACCACCTATGGCACAAACTCCATACCCAGGATATACATATCCTGCACCAATACCTACTGCTCCAGGAGTACCAGGACAGTTGTATACACCTGCCCCAGGGAAAACATATGCACCATATCTGTATCCAACAGTATCAGGTGGACAGTTGCTTGTACCTGGGATGATTCTTACTCCACTGCCGGGCCAGACCTATGGTCCTGGTTTGTATCCAACCCTTCCAGGTGGTGCCACTCTAGTACCACCATTAGCCAACACGCCCTATCCAGGCTACACCAATGCTCCGATTCCCACTGCTCCAGGTATACCAGGACATACCTACACTCCTTCTCCAGGTAAAACTTATGCACCATACTTGTATCCAACAATATCAGGTGGTGAGACCCTTATGCCAGGAATGATTCTGACCCCACAACCTGGTGTTATGTATCAGCCAGGCATGTACCCAACTCTTCCAGGAGGTTTCACACTGGTACCTCCCCTGGCTAACACTCCATATCCAGGATACACAAATGTACCACCGACACCTGTCGTCACCCCATCGCCTTATCCTGTACCCACTGCTGTTCCTGGTATCTTTGAAGGCAAAGGAGTAAACGGACAAGGAAGTAAGTCAGAGAATTTATAAAGAATTTGTTCAGTTGGTTGATATCAACAGGCAGAGATCTGGGCTAAGGCTGGTCTACTTCAGCCCGGCTAAAAACTGAAATGCCAAATTTCATTTTACAATTTTTTAATCAATGAATGTAAATGAGAAAGTTGTGCACAAGTCAAAGGAAATTGAAAAAGATTATTATAAAAAAATATTAAAAAATAAGTTGGATATATATATTTTTTTCAGAGGTGTGTATGTATGGAGGTGTAGCATACCATCAGGGAGAGAAATGGCAGGATGGCTGTGCTTACAATTGTGAATGTATTGATGAGTCTATTGGCAGATACAGGTGTAAAGAAAAGTGAGTTTTTATTTCTGGTTCATCTATCGTATGACAAAGGCAATTTATCAGGATAACTCCAGGCAAGTAATTGGGGCCACATTGTAGACCTTGTACTCATGTTGAAATTGCTTTGACAGGTGTCCTTTGTTCCTCAATGTACCAAGCTACTGTCGCCTCGTGGTGGACCCTAATGATGCCTGCTGTAAGGTTCCTCAGTGTGTGGAGCCCACTCTGCGCCCCACCCCTGCTCCTGAACAGGTCCCTGGTGTATCTCCCACCCCACATACTGGACCACAGACCATTGCACCAACGCTGAAAGGTAGGAGTAGACTAACTATGGCTATAAGGTTATATGACACATGTGTTTATCCATCATCACTATCAAGATCACCTTAAGTCAAGAAAAAATTTAAGGGATGAAGTACACAATTACGTTTAAGAGAAACTATTATAATCTTTTAAAACGCTGAACGGTTATCTATCTGAGTATATTCAAATATAAAGATTGAATTCACAGTGTTGCTGTGAAATATAATTTCAAACAACATGCTGGATTAAGCATTATTGCTTTCATTTCTGAATCTCCATGATGCTTAATAAATTGGCTAGATACATTATCTATGACATCATGACGAGTGATTATGTGACATGATTGATGGGAGATCACCATGTAGTCTATACAATTTTTAACAATATCATTTAGTTTAGGTTTGAAAGTTCTGATAAGATTTATTTCCTTTCAACAGATTTCATTATTTGACTATGGTCAAATGGTGTAACTTATCACAACCTGTTGTAGGAAACATTATAACGTTTTAGAAACAGTTACTATGGCTACACAATCCTTGCTTCTGATAGGTCAAAATTTAGATATTGTCTGATTTTTTAAAAAATTGACATGTAGGGATATAATCACTGTATGTGTTGTATTGCCATGACAAGTATGCTAAGGAAAATGGTGACCTCTGATTGGTTCAAATTTATATATTGCCCAATTTTGACCAAATTTGTCTATAGGGACATTTGGGGATTCCAAACATCACCATATATGTTTTTTTTCATAACAACTATGCTAAGGCAAATTGTCTCCTTTTATTTGTTAAAATAAAGATGTTTGATTTTTACCTAATTTTGTATATTGAGGAATTAGGGAATTCTAAAAACTGTTTTTGTCATTTTTTTCATTCATCAAAATTGGAATATAATGGTTTTTGGATCTGTGGAAAGGGGTATTACACGTTCTCAAGATGACAATTCTATTCTTCATGTTTGCAGAGACATGTGTGTTTAATGGGAAGTCCTATACTCAGGGTCAGCAGTGGTATGATGGCTGTGACAGAACATGTGTGTGTGAAGATGCTCATATGGGCTACTACCGCTGTGACGATAGGTAAAATAATCAAGCAGACCAGATCAAAGAGTATTTTCATTTCTTGCTCAGCTACATACATTGATGCTATAATAGTGATATGAAAAATTTGATAGGAGATTTTATCATTGTATAATTAAAGTTTTGTACCATCAAAGGAGAAAAGTCTGTGGTAAAATGTACAACAATATGACAATATATGATCAAGTAGTAACTTGACATTGAGTAACCAGACTTATTCTTTTGACAGGTGTGCCAAGTTCCCAAATCTTCCCAATACATGTACGCTGACAGCTGACCCGAAGGATCCTCAGTGTTGCAAGGTGCCCCAATGTATCCCTATTCCAGGAGTGAATGGAAACACCATTAACCCATCAGCACAACCAATCATTGTGACCGGTGTTCCTGGAGTTATCACAGGGGTTGGTGGTACACCTGTACCACATCCCTATGTGACCCCCATTCTACCACCGGGACAAACACCACCCACCCGCATCACTCCTTTACCTAAAAGTATGACATCTTTGATCAGTTATACATATCATGCATTGATAATGGACATACAATACCCCACTCCATCCCAACAAAGTTACACGGGTTTACAGGAATCACCCTTAGATGTATTATACACTACTCCATCCCAACAAAGTTACACGGGTTTACAGGAATCACCCTTAGATGTAATATACACTACTCCATCCCAACAAAGTTACACGGTTTTACAGGAATCACCCTTAGATGTATTATACACTACTCCATCCCAACAAAGTTACAAGGGTTTACAGGAATCACCCTTAGATGTATTATACACTACTCCATCCCAACAAAGTTACACGGTTTTACAGCAATCACCCTTAGATGTATTATACACTACTCCATCCCAACAAAGTTACAAGGGTTTACAGGAATCACCCTTAGATGTATTATACACTACTCCATCCCAACAAAGTTACACAGGTTTACAGGAATCACCCTTAGATGTATTATACACTACTCCATTCCAACAAAGTTACACAGGTTTACAGGAATCACCCTTAGATGTATTATACACTACTCCATTCCAACAAAGTTACACGGGTTTACAGGAATCACCCTTAGATGTATTATACACTACTCCATCCCAACAAAGTTACACAGGTTTACAGGAATCACCCTTAGATGTATTATACACTACTCCATTCCAACAAAGTTACACAGGTTTACAGGAATCACCCTTAGATGTATTATACACTACTCCATTCCAACAAAGTTACACAGGTTTACAGGAATCACCCTTAGATGTATTATACACTACTCCATCCCAACAAAGTTACACGGGTTTACAGGAATCACCCTTAGATGTATTTACACTACTCCATCCCAACAAAGTTACAAGGGTTTACAGGAATCACCCTTAGATGTATTATACATTACTCCATCCCAACAAAGTTACACGGGTTTACAGGAATCACCCTTAGATGTATTATACATTACTCCATCCCAACAAAGTTACACGGGTTTACAGGAATCACCCTTAGATGTATTATACACTACTCCATCCCAACAAAGTTACAAGGGTTTACAGGAATCACCCTTAGATGTATTATACATTACTCCATCCCAACAAAGTTACAAGGGTTTACAGGAATCACCCTTAGACGTAATATACACTACTCCATCCCAACAAAGTTACAAGGGTTTACAGGAATCACCCTTAGACGTAATATACACTACTCCATCCCAACAAAGTTACAAGGGTTTACAGGAATCACCCTTAGATGTATTATACATTACTCCATCCCAACAAAGTTACAAGGGTTTACAGGAATCACCCTTAGATGTATTATACACTACTCCATCCCAACAAAGTTACACGGGTTTACAGGAATCACCCTTAGATGTATTATACACTACTCCATCCCAACAAAGTTACACGGTTTTACAGGAATCACCCTTAGATGTATTATACACTACTCCATCCCAACAAAGTTACACGGTTTTACAGGAATCACCCTTAGATGTATTATACACTACTCCATCCCAACAAAGTTACACGGTTTTACAGGAATCACCCTTAGATGTATTATACACTACTCCATCCCAACAAAGTTACACGGTTTTACAGGAATCACCCTTAGATGTATTTACACTACTCCATCCCAACAAAGTTACAAGGGTTTACAGGAATCACCCTTAGATGTATTATACATTACTCCATCCCAACAAAGTTACAAGGGTTTACAGGAATCACCCTTAGACGTAATATACACTTCTCCATCCCAACAAAGTTACATGGGGTTTACAGGAATTACCCTGTTTAGACAACTTCTAAACTGCAACGTCAATTCAGACAAAATTGATGTTCAGATGTACATCTCAACTTACACAAGCAGTTGGTACCTTTATTATGATATGTAACTATTTACTTGAGGGTCATATAATGTAGTTAAGTTGGTTGTTATCTTAATAGCTGTTTGTAGATTTTAACATTACGAAAAATCCTTGCTGAAATATTTTTAGGGTTAAAATCTGAATCTTAAGTTTTTTCTTTGAGACTTGTTCACATTTATAGTATTTTAACCTAAAGTTGTGATGTCCTGTGTGTTAGTATGTTAGTTTTTAATTTTATTTGGAGAATATGATACAATTATCTATCTTTTGAATTTTGTTTTAGTTGATCATGGACAAATTTTGGAATATATTGCACTTTAAGATGATTTTATCAAAAAAAAATAATTGAGCAGAAAAAAGTTTAGTGTTCTGTCACGATGCTATTGTAAATATTGCAGACGAGTGTATTTACAAGGGTCAAGCTTATCACCAAGGTCAGAAATGGCAGGACGGCTGTGATTACAATTGTGAATGTGTTGATGGAAAGATGGGCAAATACCAGTGTACACAGAGGTAGGGCTCCTTTCTACAGTCTGGAGTATGACCAGAGTGTGACTATAACTAATAGTTTAATGATGGTACTCTCGTAGTGAAAAGTGACTGTCATGATAGTGACTAAGTGACATGTTAAAGTCACACAGATTTAAGTCTTGTTTGAATGAGTCATTGCTGCCTCTGTTGCATCAGTGACATATTGGTTTCATTGTTTTTATCAATATATTATCGGATTGCTTTCTTGTTGACAATATCATCATTTAATCAATACAAGATAACAAACCTTTTTGGTGCTTAAACACTTACATTTGAGGGTGTTAAAAAATAATGCTACATTTTAAGGATTGAGTTTATATGATAGTATTGTGATATTTCCATGTTAATAGTTTATAATAGATACTCCAAATGTCAACCTTAAGTCAAGTTAAATGTACTTTTTTGAGGATATTAATGATTGAGGGGAACCACCTTTGTATTCATGAGATACATTTGATAAAATTTGAGTCTAAACTTTGAATTAAAGTGAAAAATATAGTACTTAAAAGTATAAGATAAGCATATGTTGTACATATCAGGTGCTCGACCTTCCCCGTCATTCCACCACAATGTCAGCTACAGAGGGACACCAAGGACTACTGTTGTTTTGTTCCACATTGTGACTTCAACCAGACTGTGCCAACTTCAGCACCACAATTTTCTCCTGTTCCTGGGGCTTCCAATATACCATCCACTGGTGAGTATTGCCCCAACCCTTCTCTTCCTCTGAGGATTTCCAAACAGCATTTCACAATTATATAAAACTTTAAAAGTTTGAGTTGCTTGAAAATGTTTCTTCCTTTTTGAAAACTTTGTTGAAGACAAACATTTCTTCCTGATGTTTATTTAATCTATCAAGCACAAAAAATGCATTAAATCATGGACAAGAATTAATAAAAAGAAAAAAAAAACAGTTATGTTTTTTTCATGGTTAGGGGCATATAGTGTTACTCTTGGTTGTCATTCTGTAATCATGCCATTTCTGTTCATTTACTCTCTAACAGAAAAAGATCTGTTATATGTTGTTGTATATTGAAAATATGCAGGTCAAGTTCTGATTTGGTTATGGTGAAGTTATTGTTTCTAGAGTCTTGACCTTTAACTTTGAAAAAGTTTAAGTAAAAGTTTCACAGAAATGATAAAACCTTAATTGAAGAACTTTGTCTGTGGAAATCTATAATACCTCATAACAAAGCCAATTACACAAAAAATATACATGCAATTTTCTAGCTTTGTACTAATTAACTTTTTACCTTGATAACAAGTAAGATAGATATGGACTGCATTGAATGAGTGATAGACTTACCCTGTCCAAAACAAGTCCATAAACAAGAATTTGATAACTAAAATCCTTTGTTGATAATTTATCTTGATACCTTGTATCGACCTTACCTAGAGGCAATAATTGTTTAAAGGTTACAAATAAAAGTGTATTATAAATTGCCTTTCTTTCTGTTAACATTTTAAAATATAGCTCATTGTTATCAATTTCAGCATTCTGTGTGTACAATGGCCTCCCATTCAAACAGGGACAGGTCTGGGAGGAAGGGTGCTCTAAGCAATGTCGCTGTGACAATGCTGTCACCAATTATTATTCCTGTTTTGACAGGTAGGTGGTGCCTTTTACATACTGGTTCTAAAGTATGCTGACGTTTTATTAATGGTTTATAGAATTGAGATGCATTTTTAGACCTGACCACTGCATTTCAATGCATCTGTGATTGAACCGACTTCTGATAAGATTGGTTTGGTTTCTTTAATTTTCATATCCTGATTCCATGTCATAATATATAGCCAATGAGATGTCATATTAATGAAAAAATTAGAATATTTTTTTTCAATTTTTTATTTTATTTTTTTTGATACAGCTAATTTTTCAAATAGTCCTAGAAGATAAGACTCGGGTAACATTAAAATTGAAATTTTGATAAAGTTATCTAGTTCTGGATCTTATCATATCATCCAAGCCCTTAGTTATGCATTGTAACTCTTATGAAATTCAAAACAATAAATAAGATAAGACAAATATCCAGAATGTAATAAATTTTAACCTCAATACCTGAGCAAGAGATGTTACTGACACAATCCTGACTGACAATGAAACCTCCTTTTGTTCCATGTCAATCCCTGGTTAATAGCACAGATAGATTTGGAAACCTAATAATTGATACAAAGTCTGAAATATTTCCTACAGGTGCCCATCCTTCAGCAACCTTGACCCCAGCTGTATCATGAAGACAAATCCCAATGATCCTTGCTGCCAGATTCCAGAATGTCTGAATTCTCCAACACTTGCCCCCAACATGCAGCCAACCCTGATGCCTGGTGCCACACCCAACCCTAACCCCTATCCAGTTCCAACTTTGCCACCTGGAAAAATCACTGGGTCTGGTCCACAAGTAAACCCCAACACAGGCTTGCCACAGATTGTGGGTAAGTTGTCTAAAACTTGTCACTTTTCATTATATACATTTTCTGTTGAACCATCTATCTGGAGTGTTTATTTATATTGAACCATCTGTCTAGAGTGTTTATTTATGTGGATAAACCATCTATCTGAAGTGTTTATTGATGTGGATGAACCATCTATCTGGAGTGTTTATTTATGTGGATGAACCATCTATCTGAAGTGTTTATTTATGTGGATAAACCATCTATCTGAAGTGTTTATTTATGTGGATGAACCATCTATCTAGAGTGTTTATTTATGTGGATAAACCATCTATCTGGAGTGTTTATTTATGTGGATGAACCATCTATCTAGAGTGTTTATTTATGTGGATAAACCATCTATCTGGAGTGTTTATTTATGTGGATGAACCATCTATCTAGAGTGTTTATTTATGTGGATGAACCATCTATCTGGAGTGTTTATTTATGTGGATGAACCATCTATCTGGAGTGTTTATTTATGTGGATGAACCATCTATCTAGAGTGTTTATTTATGTGGATGAACCATCTATCTAAAGTGTTTATTTATGTGGATGAACCATCTATCTGGAGTGTTTATTTATGTGGATGAACCATCTATCTAGAGTGTTTATTTATGTGGATGAACCATCTATCTGGAGTGTTTAATTCTGTATGTAGGTTTCTGTGAATACAAGGGTGTACAATACCACAAAGGCGACACCTGGGATGACGGCTGTAACTACAAGTGTAAATGTATTGAGGAGTCAACTGGCACATTCACCTGTAATGAAAGGTAGGTAGTTATTGTCCTCTAGTAGAAGTCAGGCAAAGTATTAATTGTCGTGTTAGCTCTTCAGTTTGGAGTAATCATGAGCTTATGTTAGTCCCTTGGCTCAGTTTCACACTCCAAAACCCGAAAGTTTTTTGAAAGGCTTCTAAGATCTAAGAATGATGTTATGGCAATTTAATGCTGATTTGTTTTTAATTTTGTAAAATTGACTATGTTTTGGACTGAACTTTGTCTTACAACAGAACTAACTTTTAAAGGGACTAAATTTAGGTTAGATTTCCATATCACAACAGATAAAAAGTGTTACACCATCTAAAAGTGTGTGTAGAGTTGTGCACTTTGTGTTGATTAGAAAACTTTGAAGTTTGCACAATGATTTTATTGAGAAACTTAAAAAATTGAAATAGTAACCTATGCCTAATTGATATTATCGTTTGGAGGTTGTAAACAATGTTATTGCACATGCACGGGATTCAGGAACAAAACAATTTTGCCCTGCTTTGACCTTATAATTAAATGTATGAGTGGACACAACTCTTGCGACTCATTTCTATGGCCCTTATAACAATACTGGAGTGTGATTGGTACTTCTGTAGATCTGGCACATTTTAAGTATAACCATTTATTCTCTTTCCATGTGACTGTTGTTTACAGCTACCTTGACAAGAATGACCTTCCATGTTAACCTTTTTTAGAGACAAACCAATATTCACATAGGAGGTGTAGATTGATTTAATGCATTATTTTCGATAAAGGTTTTCTTAATAGAAAAGTAACATAACAGCTATGATGGCTTAATAGATATAATTCACTATAATGGCACTAGGAGCAAAATGGCATAGTCCATTTTCATTCGGCCATCGATTGGTCATTTGAGCGGTCAGCTGTGGTCAAAATTTGGCCAAATTGTAGATATTGTCTGATTTTTGTGAAAATTGGTATATATGTATTAGATGGCAATCGGAGCAAAAAGGCATAGTCCATTTGACACCTTTTCCCCTTTATGTTTAAATGGACCATTGAGAAGTACTTAACATTGAAATTAGCAGACACAAAATAAACTCTTTGTCATACTGAGGTAAGGACACTTCTCTTTATACCAAACTTAAAGCATCACCATTTCCTCTCTTCTGATGTTTTAAAAATCTATGTTCTCATTTCAATTAAAAATTGGTGTAGGCCATGTTTGGCATGACTGCAGGTCTGATTATTGTGATCATTTACTGCTGAAGGGGTCGCTTGGGGGACATTTGTAATGGTCCCCATTACAATTAGTACTTGCTTGATATTGATTTTGGTTTGTTTTATTTAATTGTGTTTTTATACTTTAACTTAAACATCACTCTCATCTTCTCTATCTGTATAGGTCACGTTGGAATCTGTGACATTGTCAGTATCATCTGGTAGATTTATGAACTTTGAAATTAATCAACTTTGGCATCAGCATTTGAGTCCTTCTCTCATTAGTCATTGTCAGGTTTCACTATCATATGACATGTTCAAAATTGTGTTCATTACAGGATAAGATCAAAGATATATATGAGAAAAATCATTGTCTCACCAGGTTTGTAGCTTCAAAATTTAATACATCAAATATGTTATTTTTATTTACAAGAATTATAAACACATGCACCATTTAGAAACATATTTTACTGATGGTCAAGCTAACAATTGACCAACATTAAGTATTCCACTGAAAGCAGACTGTACTCTGCTCTCTGCAATCAGACAATGAATGATGACAGACACAACATCAGTTGTTGATTGGCAAAAGGAAATAGCATTAAACAAACCAAAAGGTAAAAGACAAATGTTAAAAATCTTAAATAGGTATGTTTACACAAAAGATTAAAATGCTACGTCAAAGTCTATTAAATAGGCCAACATCTTTCAGGTAATGCAGAATTTTACAAATCTCCACAGTTTCAAAAAGGGATTTTAGACATGTGATGTTATGAGAAAAATGTTCTTGAGTAGACAGAAGGTCAATGCAGTCCAATAAAAAATGTTTAACGGTGATGCAGTGTCGAATTCATATTATGGTAATGTCTATTGGATTATGCAGTACTTCAGCATTTTGCATTGGCTGCTTTCAGTGGGCCTGACAATCTTAGATTACACTTGTATTAGAAGTTGTCAATCTTTGCAAAAAGAAAAAATCAGGCGCAATGGTAAAAATAACTTCAGTTGCTTCTGTACCAACACAAAAAAGGAAATGGAGATATTTTTAGATGTTGTTTATGTACTTCTTTCTGCATTGTCATTTGGTTATCAAAGTCATTGTGAAATCAATTTTTTTCCAGATGTCCAAGATTTGCCAAGTTACCGGCCAATTGTTTCATGGCAACAGATCCAAAGGATACATGTTGTAAGATTCCATCTTGTCCTCCTACTGCTGCTCCTGGTTTGTCGCCCACACCAGCACCAGGCCACACTCTGTCTCCGACTCAAAGTCCTTTCGCTTCCCCCACACCTGCGCCTCAAAGCAAAGGTAAGAAAATCACTGGCTACCAACTTAATTAAAAACTGCTCCATCACACCATAGGGTGCCAATTGGGGCCATTCTGTAGCTATTTGTGGATTTACATGTGAGGATTCTTGGACCGTATATACAGCACAATCATACAACTGATTGTAACTTAAGATGTGCAGTCTTCAAATCACATGTCATTTATAAAACAAGAGGAAAATAATAGACAAACCATAAAATATTTGTTTTCAACTAAATACTTAAATTTATGAGAGTATTTGTTCTGATTTCTTGTATTGTCAGTAAAATGATGTTTTGCATATTTTTTGACATTTCAGAAGTGTGTATATATCAGGGTCACCCATACACCCAGGGTCAGAAGTGGTTTGATGGATGTGACAAGAAATGTACTTGTGAGAATGCCAAGATTGGATACTACTCATGTTCAGACAGGTAAAAGTATAGTATTGTGTAGGATTTCCTATCATGTTAGACAGTAAATCTTGGTTTTTGTTTTTGTTTTTATAAATCAGAGGTGGTTTGATAGATGTGGAAAAAGTGGTGTTTGGCAAAATCTTTTATTAATGGACAATGTATACATCTCTGTCTTATGATGTTAAAATACATGCAAGGTCTCCAACCAAAGGTCAGAACCAGTATTGACCATTGACAATGATATGACATGGATCTGTTTACTGAACTATATGTTACAGGTGTCCAAGCTATACCAACCTGACTCCTACATGTATAATGGTTCCTGACCCCAATGATCCTGACTGCTGTACAGCTCCTCAGTGTGACAATACCAACACCACCAACCCCACTGGTGTATATGGTTCAATTGAAGGAAGCGGGCGTCCTCCAACTCCTGCACCATTCTTGGCACCAACACTTGCACCAGGGGCATCTCCAGACCCCAACGCACCATCACCAACACCCATGCCAAGTAAGTTTTTTTGACTGGCATTACCTTATTCTCTCATTTAAGCTTAAATCTCATTGGTACATCAATTTTATTACATATGTACTATATAGTATTTGAAAATCTAAATCTTCTGATGTATTTTGTAGATCTTTTCTTCTCATTTATCACTGAATTGTTTGTAACAACTTTTTCAATATGAAATTGTCAACACAAGTTTTGACATTTTGACATCTATCTAACTGTATTTCTGACTGCTCCGTTTCTATGTCAGATCAGATAAACATAATATCTACAATATTCTACTCTTTTATCCGTTATGTGACTGTATTGGACTTGTCTGATTGGTCTTCACAGAGGTTTGTGTCTACAAGGGTACACAGTACACTCAAGGGCAGAAATGGCAAGATGGTTGTTCATACAATTGCGAGTGTATGAATGCTGATGCTGGAAGATTCATTTGTACCGACAGATGTGCACGCTACCCCAACTTGCCCCTCTCTTGCAGACTGGAGTTTGACCCCATGGACCCCTGTTGTGAGAAACCAAATTGTTCACCCAATCCTGCACCAACCCTTCGACCAGGCCAGACCACACCAAGTCCAAGTAATGTTTTATTTTGTGACGTTTTAAAACAGAAAAAACTATGTTTTCTTTCATATGTTAAATTTCTTGAAACTTGACTAACATTATAAGTAAAACCAAATATAGGAAAGATGAAGGTTTACCTTTCAACAAAATTGGAAAATATTAAAAACAAAACTTTTATACTTAAATTATCATCAAGGTTAAGTGGAAGTAGTAAATAGGACAATTTATTTGGGAGACTTATTCAATTTGAATCCCTGTTTTAGTAAAGGAATATTGTCTTTCATTTCAGATGACTTCTGTGTGTATAATGGAATCCCTTACAAACAGGGTCAGACATGGCAGGTTGGCTGTAAGGAGGTCTGTCGATGTGATGATGCCAAGACAGGCCGTATCAACTGTGATGACAGGTAAATTTCTCCAAATACTTTGATGAATCTACATGGTATTGTATTTAAACCATTATATTTTCATGTACAATTTACATATGTAAGTTTCTCAATCAAAACACTTTTGCAAAAAATTTAGCAAAAGTTATTTGCTGTCGAGAAACACATAGTAAACAATGATACAGAATAGTAGGATAAAGCCAGATTCACATAAGGCTATAGATATATTTGGCGTTTTGTTGAAAGTTAGTGGCTGAGAAAGTTGGTTTATGGTAACTTTGACTTGATGTCGGTCGTCTCATATACTCACGGATTTGTTTTGCCTGGTAGTTACTTCTGCCGGATTAGAAATTTCATTTTAACTCTAATGTTATTATTTAGTATAATCTCCGTGATTACAATTGCCTTTTTTTGTGCAGTGTGTGTTGTTCATTGGTAAACAACTAATATTTTACTACAGATTCTCCATAAGTCTTAAAGAAGTTTTAATGAAATTTTGCAGAGACCTCTCTTAGTCAAAGGTGAACCACTTGTGAATTATATGGCCCCAATCCCAGGGGACAGGGCCAAAAAAGGTCAAATTGGTTGAAATTTCAAAAATCTTTCAAATTTTGGATATGGTAAAATCAAATACTCTTCTTGGAAGGTTAGATCTCAAGGTACTATGCCAGAATTGTAAATTTTGTGAACCCAGGGTCTCACATATATTCTCTGAGAAGGGCAATGTTTACCACAGGTCACAAACAAAAAACATATTTTGAGCATACATTGTTTACTTTCCAAAAATTTCTTAACATGGTATGGTAGTTAAATTACGCACATTTGACATTTTGAACTACACGTGGGCATTGAATTGACTCTGTATACAAATTTAATGTTGTTAGCTGTAGATAGTCTCTTTCCAACACTCCTTAACCATTGTAATATCAAATTTATTGAGTGGCTTACTCCTCGCACATTTTTGTGGTGCAGATGTCCATCCTTCCCAGTGCTGACCAGTACCTGTTCACTGGTGACTGACCCTAATGACGACTGTTGCCAGGTACCAAAGTGTGTCAACACTAACACCACCAATCCTGACCAGGTCATCATTGGTGTTCCTGGCACCATCACTAATGGAGGACATGGAACGCTTCCTATTCCTAACTCTGGCACACGAAGTTAGCTATTATCATTTTTCTCTATAATTTGTTCTGAATTAGATGTTGTTACATTTTAACATTGCTTTCCTTCCATATATTCAACATCTATCAAAATGTACCAGAATGGAATTTTCTGTGAAAAAAACTTTAAAAATCTCCTTACTGACTTTCTACCACTTTAGATGGCTGTGTATACAAGGGAAAATACTACACTCAGGGTCAGCAATGGGATGATGGTTGTGCTTACCACTGTTCCTGTGATGACGGCTCCTCTGGATTATACAGATGTACAGAGAAGTATGTTAAAATAATTACTTCTGTAAATATATGATATCTATTGACAGTGAATACTATTTTTTTTTTTTTTTTTAAACCAAATTGTAAGAAGTATTCAATGATGAATTTAATCACATTTCCAATCTAAGACTCCAAATTTGCTACTATCAGTTATGGGATATCCTTGTTTGTAATTTAAATAATAATTTGCGTAGAAGGTAAAGGTATGAAAGTGTGTTAAGGATAAAATGAAATAGCATAGATTTTTTGTGTCTGGTTCATTTCTTTATTGGCATTGTCTTGAGGGGAAGAGTGAAATAGTGATTTCTAATGGAACAATTGACTGAAATCATGAAAAATTCCATATTATAGTCAGAACTGATCCTGAGATTGTCTTCTATAAGTCTATAAACTATTAACTACACATCAGTCACACATTAATGGGGTCTTGTAAGAGTATGGTTATAGACATGATGCTCCTTTACAGGTGTCCACGATATGCCCAGATTCCGTCCTACTGTACCATGATTCAAGATCCAGCTAACCAGTGTTGTGAGAAACCTTACTGTACACCTTTGAAGACTCCTTCACCTCAGCCATCTCTAGCTCCTGGCCAAACTCCACCAACTGTATCGCCCCTATCACCACCTCAACTGAGCAGTAAGTAGCATAGCAATCTTGACCCTATCACATCGACTTTCTCTGGTTTAAACATGAACTTTTCAAGTTAAGAAGTACAAATAACTACCTGGTTCACAGATCACTAAAACTAAAAAAAACAATTTTGGTTGAGCGATATGAATGTAATTTTATTTGAAACTTTCAGATTCTGGATGTAATTACAATGGTCAGATGTTCAAGCAAGGACAGCTGTGGTATGATGGCTGTAGCAAGATCTGTTTGTGTGAAAATGGAGCAACCAACTTCTATCGTTGTCAGGACAGGTAGTAAATATTACAGTTGATCTCTTTTTGAACAATGTGCTACTTTCAAACTAACATATTGTTTCATTCTGTAGACCATGAGAGAATATCCTTGTTATTTAAAAAAAAAAACGTGTTTCTCAATAGAAAACTGTTTTTTCAGGTAATTCTACATGATGGTTTAAATTTATTGTGCACAAGAAGAGAAAATGGTTCACTTCTACTTCATCTAACAGTTAAATGTTATGTATTTTAATCAGATGTGCCAAGTTCAACACAATAGGGGCTGGTTGTACCATGGTGCCAGATTCCAGAGATCCTGCATGTTGTAAGGTCCCCAGCTGTCCTCTTGTTACTCCAAGTGTGACTCCTACCCCAGGGATCTACACTCCTGTCCCCTCACCCCCAGGTGTAATCACTGGGTATGGAAAAGTGCCTACCCTAGCTCCTAAACCTACACCTTCACCACAACCCGGAGTATCCACCCTTGCACCAGTGGCTGTCACACCTGTACCAGGTATGTACTTCCCCTTTATCAGCCATTGTATCCATACTGATATCAATCAAGGTATGATGGTAAAATAAATTTATAAGGTGGTACCAAAGTAACTCCTTAACTGGCAAAAAATAATAATTGAAGTTTTGTTATGAATGTGGTATTTAAATACATCTGGTTGTGTTTTAGGTTGCCTGTACAAAGGACAGATTTATGGAAAGGGTATTAAGTGGGATGATGGCTGTAACTACAAATGCGAATGTCTGGACGATATGACGGGACGTTATCAGTGTTCTCAGCGTTGTCAGAGATACAACAACATACCTAAGGATAAATGTGTTCTGATTGAGGATCCCAACGACAAGTGCTGTGAAGTTCCTTATTGTGACTTCCTCAACCCTACACCATTCCCCAATGGAGCACCAACACCTCAGCCAATAATGGCACCAAGTCCAAACCCTGGTGTGTCCCCTACACCAAAACCTAATGTACAGCCAACCCTGGGTCCAAATGGAGCTACTCCAGTCAACCCCTTCCTGGTCCCCGTCTACTATCCTACCAAATCTCCAAGTATCACACCTTCACCAAACGGCACAAATCCTGGACTCATCCCTCAACAGAAAGGTAGGTCTTTATCCATGAAACATCAAACTTGACAGCATTGGTATTTCTTAATAGATAATTGTCATAAAATTCATTCATTAATTTTATAAAAAGTTTTACAAACATGAAAATAACATAATATATAAACATAAGATATAAGAGAGCACTTGAAATAATCTTCAATGAAAACATTTTCATTGATACTGATGTACTGTTGTACTACAGGCTTCTGTGAATACAAGGGTGTGTACTACACTCAGGGACAGACCTGGACTGATGGCTGCCAGAAAGTTTGTCGTTGTGAGGCTCCTGAGAGAGGATACTTCCAGTGTTCATCCAGGTAGGTATTACTAAACCTCAACATTCATATGAGTGGAATACTCATGCTCATCAATCATATGATTCAGTGATTTTTCTTCTGTACTACAGCTTTGTTCTTGATGATGTTTTAGATGTCCCAGATACAGCAACCTGAGCAGCTCTTGTGTGCTGAAGACCAACCCAGCTGACCCCTGCTGTCTGGCACCCGATTGTAACCAGTACCCTACACCTCGCCCTGACCTACCACCTGTTCCAGGGGCATCGCCAACCACACCCATACCAATCTATGTACCATCTGCTGTCACTGGAAGCTTCGTAGGCTCTGCCCAAACACCAAGTGGAATTACAGGAGGAGGAATCAGTGCGTTTGTTAAGATTTTGATAAAATTTTACACAGCAATTTTTATCCTGGAAGAATATCTGAGTGGATGACAAACTTAACTATTTCATTTTCAAAGTCAGTATTTTGATTTATTTCAAAGTTATTGGAAATAAATTAATGAGAGTAAAGCTGTCTAAGGACTTAAATTTGATGTTAATTTTGCAGATTTCTGTGTGTACAAGGGTAAAGTGTACGGTCAAGGAATGACATGGGATGATGGCTGTAACTACAAGTGTACTTGTGAGGATGCCAGCCGTGGTCTGTACAAGTGTAACGACAAGTAAGTACTTTGTAAATATGAAGATGCCAGAGATAGTTTATAAAGTATGCATTAACAGGATAGTAAAGTGACAAAAATATGCAGTCAAGGTACAAAAAGAGTTATTTGTGCATAAGCAAAAATGAGACCGTTGTAGAAATAAAATCTTTATCATGCCAAATACTAGAATACAACTAAACATTGTTATTTTAGTGATTAGATTAAACATATAGCAAACAGAATATAGAAATGTTTGTAGTGTAGATATGTGACAATTCTTTGAATTTACTTGAAATTTACACAGCATGCAGGCTTGCATATCTATTGACTGTTTGAATGCTACAGATGTCCACAGTACTATCAGCTGCCCTGGCAGTGCCACTACGAGAAGGATCCAAAGGACTCATGTTGTCAAATAGCCAAATGTGACTTCAACCTGAGCCCAACTCCTGCTCCTTCAACTCCAGCTCCGATCACCATGGCCCCAACTCCTCATGGTTGGACAGGCCCTACTGTCAAACCTTTGGGTAAGACCAAATAAAAGAGATGAAAGTCGGAGTTTTCCTTTAGATATGTTTTACATTATATAGCCCATCACTAGTCTTTCTCTCCTTAAACTATATTTGTTATCACTGATACTTGAAAAAAAACTTGATGAATCACTTTTTAATTTCATGTGTAAGTTTCCTCTACTGCTTAGTTGTGTGCTGTAAGTTAAGGAATATATCGTGAAAATAAATGGCGGTCCTGGGTTTTGAAATTTAGTTTATTATCACTCTTTTTTTTTTTGAGAAGTACAAAAAGGACCATCCGTAAGATATAAATGCAGGATCCTCTTAACCTTAATTGTGCCTTGTCCACTTTGGGACTGATCAGAAAAGTGAAATATTCGATAGTCTTTACTTATTTGTTAAATGACCAATCAGGATAAACGAAATGGCTGCCAGGTGGGTAACTCTAATTTTGACATTGACATTTTCATCTGTACTCAAATTACACATGGATTCTTGCCTTAAAAAGGAACATTTAAAGCTGGTTACCCTAATTCCCTCAGATTAACGTAGTGCTTTAGTTATTACTCTTTATGTCTTTATTTCAGTTCTGTAGGATTTTCACTCTAGATTTGATAACAACTGTTTTTTCATTATACTATTTGAGTACAATATTCAGCTAAATTCATGTGTAGAATTTTGACCCATTGACCATTTTCCCATTTTTGCAGACAGGCAAATGATTTTTCTTGTCTCTAAGTTTGTGTATAGGAATAGATATTTTATGACAATAACCAAGGCTTTGATGACTTAATGGTGGTATTGGTTTATATCATAAAGGTGATTGAAAATACTTTTTAAAAACATCCTATAGGTGTAATGTGTGTTGTATATCTGGCAATTCGTTCACGCCGACAAATAGCTTCTTACATTTCTGGCATTAACTGAGTTGAACCTGTAGGCCACAAATAGCAAAATTCAGTTATACATTTCTCAGCTTGTCAAATTAATATATTAGTCCTTGTTAATGAAAACTGAGAGAACTCACAAGTTAAAAGGAACAGATAACTCTTATAATTGATTGTCTTCAAACACATATACCGCTTTGTGCTTCAGATGTATGTTTGTACATTGACAACACAACCTACAGCAAGGGTCAGACATGGGATGTTGGCTGTGACTTCCACTGTGTATGTGTCGATCCCAGCCAGAATAAGTTCAGCTGTAGTGCAAGGTAAGGCACTGTTTTTTTATCACATGTTTTGTAAGTCAAGGAGCTCCAATTGTCACCTAAATACTATAAAATTTGTTTAAAAGAGAGATTCTATTTTTCGCTATTTTGAGGATGTATTGAAAATGCTAAAAATATATACAATGATAAAATAAGCAGTCAATTTCCTGATTTCCACACAAAGTGTGTTATTTTTATTTCAAAATTTTGATAAAGCCCTGAAAATTTGAATCAAAGGAGCAACTTATACAGCAAGCTTCATCAACTGACAGTATTCCATAGGTCATCATCCTGGGTTTCCAGAGTATGTTAGGCGTAATGTTAGATTAAGAAAATTCTTCAATTTGATAGAAAGTCCAGGTCTGACATAATGTATAGATCAGTGTGCTATTTCTGCATCAAAGATTTTCAGAGTAATTGGGCAGAGTGGTGTTGTGCTGGGTTGTGTAAAACTTTTGATCTTACTCTCAGATATATAGATACTTTAAGACTGCAAAAGATTCATTTCTGGATAATCTTTGTTAGATGCCAGGTATTTGCTAGCCTGCCTTCTGTGTGTTCCCTCGTACCTGATCCCAGTGACAAGTGTTGCGAGAAGGTAAGCTGTGGTTCATACACACCAGTTACTGTGATCAATGGCACAGCTACACCCCCACCAAACTCCCTCAATGTGTTACCTGTAGGCACTCATGACGTATTTGCTGGCTCAAGTTGGGGACCAGGGTCAGGAACGCATCCAGTCACAGGCAAACGTGGTAAGAATGCTCATATTATAAGGAATTATCAGAAGGCAAAATAGTGAAATCCAGAAGTGTTGACTAATATATGTAATGCTGAGAGTTCATAAAGTGTTATATTATGTTGGCTGAAACCTGCTTATACCTGTTGCACAGCAATTAACTTTGCCAATATATGAATGAATGACAGGAAACTTGATGTAATTTTGCATATGCAACTAAGAATCAATGTAAAATGCATTGATCAAGTCAGTAGAGTTAATTCTGTCAAAGTTATTTGTTTTTATCAAGAGAAATATTTTTCTGCATTAGCTAAAGTTAGGTTGGCACTCTGAATTTCTTATAATGCTGAAATGACTGTTATAACAATGTGTTGCTATGATATCACCCTCCAATAATTGAAGTGTCTTGTCGCTCCAGATAAGTGTATATACAATGGACAGGCTTACTCCCAGGGTCAGTCTTGGAATGATGGCTGTCAGTATGTGTGTACTTGTGAGGATGCGGAGAAGGGTGTATACAGATGTTTGTCTAAGTAAGTCTTGTAAACACACGCAATAGTAAATAATTCATAATTAGATTCATGAGTTTGCTAAATTCGTGTGGAATTTGTTTTATGAAAATAATGATTGAAAAGTTTCCATTCCGTATAGTTTTAACACTACTACCAGGTAACATTTTTCACTGTTTCAATTTGTGCTCACAGTGTTTTCTGAAGTGAATCAAAACTTTTCTACACCTTTTGTACCTGACCAGTGATTTGTAGTAAAGATGATGATTCCAGACAAGCTTGTTATGTTCTCTGTGAGCTGAGGATGTAATGCTGATAAACTTGATATTTCTGCCTTCAAAAGAAAACCTTTCTCCTTTTCTTTGACAGGTGTCCAGCCTATCCTCAGGTCCCAAGCTATTGCCACAAAGTGACTGTCCCTGGACAGTGCTGTCCATCTCTGTCATGTGATGTACCAGGCTTCGGAAACTACAACCCTGTTCCTCAGTTAGTTCCTGTTGTGGCCCCTACTCCACAACCAGGCGTGTCACCTACTCCCAGGCCATCAGGTCTGCCTCCTGTCATCCATGTGGTCCCCAGTACCTCTCTTGGTAATACCACTGGTGGCTTTGCTCCTCTGCCTGGAGGTGGCTATCCTATTAATAACAACCAGATCTCTGGTGTCACAAGTGAGTATTCCCTATTTTTCTTGTTTTCGCACACATAGTTCAGCTTTACAGGTGCTTGCAGACTTTGTTTATGTGTGTCTGCATCATTATTCCAATAAGAAAATATTGGAAATATTTAGTTTCAAATACCATGGGTGAAGTTTTAAAACAAGAAGTTGAGTTTAGCTTTTATTTCATGCTGAGTCAATATTTTACATGGAGGAGAAGAAGAAAGATAATAATTATAAATTGATTGAAAGGTTTTGCATTGCCCATTTTCATTCCAGCATATTAAATGTAATTATATTCAAATGTTTTTTCAGATGATGAGCTGAATTCCAGAATTCCTTTTTACAGAAACATGTTGTTCATTACGCAAATGTCATAAAATTTTTTATTTGTTTGCCTTGATAGGCCAATGTATTTACAAGAATAAACTCTACAATCAAGGAGAGAAGTGGGATGATGACTGTGACTATACTTGTGAGTGTATTGATGGACGTACAGGATATTACGAATGTAAACCGAAGTAAGTCTGCCAAATATTCTCCTCAAACAATGCATACTGAATATTGTTCCCAAAAAGAAAGCTTACAAAGTTTTTAGGAGTAAGACAAAAGTAAGATCATAAAAAAACTTGGAATCTTTCTGGATATAAGTGTGAAGGGATCTTTAAAATGTGGGAGAAAACTTTGAGGGGTGGAGTGAGTGGGGGATTGAAAAATTTGGTGAGCCTATTATGTACAGTCACACTTAAATACACACTGTATATTAGGTAGAAGTTCTAACGACTGCTGAGCAGTATGATAAAAAGTCTGGTATATATGCCCCCTGCTTGCATATGTCAGGTTGTATGGTATGCAATAATCACTGCGTGCATCTGTGATTATGTTGTGTTCAAGATATCTTGTTATCACTTTAACAGATTTGGTTCATATTCACACCATGGCGTCATACTACCAAAGTCTGCTCCTGAATCAGTTTTGGTGGTCATTGGTCACTCTTGACCACTTTTGAAGTGAAAAGCTTATGTACAGAATTGATATTGAACCCCTTACTTCCTAATCCAGGGGTGTAGGCTACATCTTTGTGAATCCCTGCTCACCTTTTATCACTGAAGTAACCTAAATTTCATCAGTCTTTATCAGAGGTCAGCTTGGACAATACCTGTGGTTAATCGCTGTTTCAGGTCTAGGTTATCTTTATTAGTTATAGAAATATTTCAAACGTGGATATTTCAGAGCATGGACATTTATGTATGTCTTACAAACATCTTCTAACTTACAAGACTTGTTGGGAAAGGGGAGATGGCAATTAGCCCTCTGCTCACACATTTTGCTTAAATCAACACCTGATTTATATTATGAACCTTTCACCTTATATGATCATTTTATGATGTCATCCTTCATTTAAATCCTTCTGACAGATGCCCAGCGTACCCTGATCTGCCAGCTACATGCTTCCTGATTAAGGCTTCAGGGAGTTGTTGTCGTGTTCCACAATGTACCTATTATGGCATGGTGGTTGACCCTGTTGCTCACCCAGACATAGGCATCCCTGTTGTGGGACAGTATTCCGGTGGTTTTACTGGCTTCAAACCCGGAATTAACTTCACACAGACTTTCCCATCATTCTCCAACTTGAGAAGTATGCATGGCTTCATAACTATTTTTTACAGGATCATAGAACCTTATATTGACCTCATTAAGTGAATATACATTTTTGTTTTTTATTTTTGTTAAACTTGGCCCATTCATGATGTAATCTTGCAGAATCTGATTATCCAGGAAATCTAGTTTTCTGTTGAAAAAAAACCCCATAAAAACTACAATGTAGATGCACAAAAATTTGTTCTATTGACCCATCAAGTTTGAATGCTTAATGTTGTTTGTTTGCAGATGTTTGTGTCTATAAGGGAGTAACCTACAAGCAGAATGATAAGTGGGATGATGGCTGTGACTTCTCCTGTATCTGTGACGATGCTAGTACTGGTCATTATCAGTGTAATACCAAGTACGTGTAACACACTGTAACTCCTATTTTGCATATATTTTTATCCTTTAAGATGTCTTCCGCCATTGCAGCATACATGCCTTGTTGTTGTTGTTGTGAAACACATGAGTTGCTGTTTTTGATCATTTGTAGGTTGACATGTAGATTTTATGTTCCTGCTCTTCAATGGCCAAATAACGCTTTTTGCTGAAACAAGATTTTTTTGTATTTTTACACCAACTGATGAAATCTGGGTGTGGCAAAATAAACCTTATACTGTAGATTGCAGAAAGAAAACAGTAATGTAATAATGGTATCGGCACCTGTCATAAATTATCCTCTAATTAAAGCAGGCACTACCAACCATGTGCTGGGAAAACATCATGTACAAAGCACTATCCCCTAAACCGCTTCTGGTAGCCACTACCAAATTTGCATTAAGTATGGATATTGTGGTTAATAACCGAAATTTTTCACACACACATGCACACACACACTCACACACTCACACACACCCCACCCCACCCCACAAATACAAAGCACACACACACACAACACCACCCCATAATCAATGAAAATAAAAAAAATCCTCCTGAAAATGAATGATTTCATAGTATGTGATATAAACAGTTAGACGTTTCTTCAGAAAGATAAATGCCATCTTTATCAATCGGGTGAAGATGATGGAGATAAATGAAGTTGTTTATTCATTTTCAAAGGCCTAGTTAGTAAATAACTTAAATAATTTACGCTCAATATCTTTGTTTTTTAATAACTGATGTTTGTCTGGATGAATAAACGATTCCATCTGTAATTTAAATTATCTCCCAATTTCTTTATCTATTCAAAGATAATATATCATAAATGTTGGGCATTAAAAGACAAGGCAGAACAATATCAATGTGTTGATACAACTTTTTTTCTCTTTATCAGTTTTAATTTAGCTTTGCTTTATATGATAAAATTTCAGTTAATTTAACACTAATTCAATTTTCTATTTTGAAAATGATATAATTCTCTTTAAAACGTTTTTTTCAGATGTCCAACTTTTGCCAAGTTACCATCCTACTGTACTTTGGTTTCACAACCAGGCGACTGTTGTAAGAAGGTTCAGTGTGACCCTGGTCTACTTCTGATATCTACGACCACACCTGTTACTCTTACACCTACCCCCTATCCCCCAACACCTACACCTGATCCAAAAGGACCCCACTGTTCTGATGCCATTGACAACTGTGCTACTTATGGAAGGAATGCCTGCTCTCAGTATGACAGCTGGGCCATGCGTAACTGCCAGGCATATTGTGGTCTATGTAGTGAGTATTTATCAAACATCTAGCCTTATTGTTATGCCCCCGCCATTTATGGCATTCATGTCTTACAGACATTTTCTAGTTTTACATATGAGTTGATTATCATTCCCTATGAAATATGTTTGCGAGAAATATATACGGCTCCATTCATCGGTTTTGATGTTGTTCCTTGTATCTGAGGAGTGTTTCTGGGCAACATCAAAACTGTTCAGCTGATCTCAACAATTTTTCTTTGCACTTATCAAGTTAGTTCCCTGCTTGATCCTTTTGTTATTAAATAGTTTTGTGATGTATTGCTCCCTATCATCAGATATGGAACAGTAAGGCCAGTATGTCTGTTTGGATTTTCTTACCAATAGTTTGGTGTGGTTTAATTAGTTTAATTTTGCATCAAATTGAATTGAATTAGATAACCGTGGTAATGCATTTTGCTTTGATAGTAATAAAGTGATATGTTCTTAACCATTTTTTTTTTTACTTAAGGTGTTTCTACAATAACACCATGTAGAGACCAACTGCCAAACTGTCATGAATTTGGCTACTCCCAATGTTCTGGTATCTACACTGTCTGGGCCAAGGACAACTGTGCTGATTATTGCGGCCTATGTCCCGGAGGTTTGTATAAATTAAACTGAAGCAAGTGTCACATAAATGTTCAATTGCTTTGATTATAGAAATGTTGCCTCTATATTAGGTTTTAATTAATTAAAAGAAAAATGTGATTTCTTCGTGTGATATAAAACTATGCATAGAGTTAATTGTCTGAATTAGTCTATGAAAAATAAATACATTTGAAAAATGCTAGAACTTGTCATAGTTTATGCTGCTTTATAGGCAATAGAATAATTGAATTTGAAACATTTCCCAGTTCATTATATGAAATGAAACCATTAAACCAATCCATTCAATTTTGAGACTTTGAGTGAAAGGAATTGAAATACCTTGAATTACTAAAAGATAAACACAGTTAAGATAGCTATATTCTTTATTGTCAAAAATAATTTATAGATGTATCAAATATGATTGTTTAAAGCTACACACTTCCCAACAACTACTGTCACTACCACTACTGGTTTACCCTGTGTGGATGTCCTTCCAAACTGTCAAGACTTTGTTGCTGCCAACTTCTGTAGTGATCCAGCCTACCGCAACTGGTCACTGACTAACTGTGCTTACACTTGTGGCTTGTGTAATGGTATGTATAGACTTCCGTTTTGAATTATTATGTTGGTAGAATGAACAAAACTTATTAAACAATGTCTGCATGATTAGAAATTAAGAAATAAATTAAGGATACTTTAATTAATTTCTAGTTTTGCCCCACAGCTATGAAGGAGTGAAAGTAAGACTATGATATAACTTTTCAAATTGCAGTGGCATTAATTTGTTAAGTTTGTTTCGTTTGTTAAGTTCTCATTCTCAGAAAGAACTAACACAACCACATTTGGTGTACATCGTCATATCAAATGATTAGCGACTTGCATTAAGAAGAAGTTACCACTGTGATTTTTTTGTGGATTTTGAGAAATAGCTGGAAAATCATCGCCTATTTTTAGATTCTCAAAACTGCAAATACCTTCAACATAAAATGTGTTATGGTTCCTTCAACTTGAATTATGTATGATCTAGATTTGACAGGATAAATTAATCAAGTTATAGATGTTACAGATGTGGAATTCTTAATATGACCAAGTTGGTATAAAAAAAAAAGATGTTGATGTATTAAGAGAATCTTCTACTTCATAACTTTCATATTTTCTAATATTTTCCACTTTTTCAATAAATTGAGTTCTAGGATGAAAGAAAATTGACTGATTGTAGACGACATATTTGTAAATAGAATTTTAGATCTTAAGAAAATGATATTTCCTCACTATTCAAAATTATTTGTTTTTTTATTTCATTATTTTGATAACTGAAAACTTCATTTCAAATTAAATTCCTTCATTTTTTACAGGTAATGCTCACGGACCAACTTCGACTGTTGGATCAAGTATGTATTTCATATACTTCAATTTGTTTAATGATTTTATCTCTGAAAGTTTCTCTGTTTAATTAAGTTCCATAGGAAGCTTTGATGGGTCGGTTTCAATATTCTGAAATAAGTAGTGAAACTGCGCTGTTGGAATCTCTGTTTTCACTAGTCTAAAAGTGAAAGGAAGGGAAGTAACTCGGATCAGAATTGAGTCTATGGCTTTGCCCAAAATAGCTCTTTGACTTGATAATATTTCTATAAATGGGACATTTTTGGTATCGCTCTAACTTTGGTTTTTAAGGTCAAGGTCACTGTCAAAAGATTGTATTTATGTTGTTGCTGCGTTGATACTTTGGTGGAAGATACATTGATATTTTTTTGTGAAATTCTTTCACCATAATATAAGTGGTATGTTTTCAATTTCATTTGTATTTCTGAATCTATTATGAACAATATAACTGGTAAATTCAAGCTTGTAAGCTGGGCATGTTTCTATTATTGATCATCTATACTCAATTTACCATAAATATTTTTTTTTATTATTTTTATTTCATTATTATGTATTATTAGAGTATTGTTTTATTAAAATCTATATTCATAAGTCTACATATATTCGATGGCCCCTTCATACATTATTTGTACTAACCATGAGCATCAGACTTGTGGAACTGACTTCCTTTTTATCATAGGATCTTTGAACTAAAGTTTAAAAAAAGTTGCATTCCTTATAAATCATGCCTGATTTTTTATGACAGTTGAACAATAATGATGTAAGAAGAATGAAAATGATTATGATGATATTACTGACTATGATTGATGATCTGACAGTGACCACTGGTAACGGCTGGCTTCTGCTGATGAAGGGTGTTGCAGGAGTTCCTGGTAACCTCTACCAGTTGTGGTCAGGTACTGCAACGCTCAACCCCAACGTTCCAGAGGCCTCATACCTCACAGCACAGTATCCTGGTCACTACAAACCAGATTACTCTAACAACTGGGGGTCACTCTGTCTGGACCAGGTTAGACTGCCATATATTCTTTTACAAGTCTATATATGGGTGAACAGATGTTAAAAATGCTTCAACACAATATTTTCATAACCAATATGAACAATGAAGGACACACAATTTTTGGTGAACTTTTGGTTAATTGAAGCAAGTCACAGGTATCTATTGTGATCACTTGAAGAATAGAGTGTTTTATCGTAATTTTTAATGTCACTACCAACAGATTCTTAATCTGATTGTGAAGGAGGACAATAGGATTTAATTCTTGAAAATCTGTTATTACAAGTAGTCAATGCCACTTTCTGCAACTTTTCTGTTTATTACTAAACCTATGTTATGGTCAGCAAAATTAATGCTTGAAGTTCTTTTCTTTCATGTCATGGTGTCTGTAGGTGAAGGTATCAATCTACAACAAGGGTGTGGAGAAGGCCTGGATTGTTTTCAATGCCACAGGAGCTGACAAGATGAACTGGTATACCAAGGACCGAATCATTGATTCCAGTTGGTCTGATATCAAGACAGCTGCTAGCCAGTTTTCTATGGCTGGGTTAGTACATATCTTCTTCAAATTAATATTTACATTTTTGACCACATCAGTTTTGATTTTATTTTTCTTATTAGAAAACCAAGTTAACATAGATTTAATTATCCTTGTTAACAGAGACCCAACTTTTGGCCGCCAATTTTATGCCAGTGGAAATTCCAATGGGTGCGATTCATCTGGATGGATGATGATTTCTACTACGACTACTAATCCCTGTTTCTTCGAATCAGGAAGCAAGCCTGCTTTCTATTATGCTCCAGGACAGACCCAAGCAAGATGGGGATTTAGTAAGTTATGTCTATTTGAAATCCAGGGAATAAAAGATGATTTGTTATCAGTTCAAATAGGAAAATAGCTTGTGATAACAAGTATATATAAATTAAATGACAGCATTTTCATTATGCTGCCCAATATTGTATGAAATTACAAAAAAGACATTGTGTTTTAATATGTATATTATATATGTACCAAAACAAGTTTAATTTCCTTTTGTGCAGCTAAAGGAACTGGTGATGTCTTTGCAATCCAGGGCCACAGCACATGTAAGTTTCTGGTGTTATTTTCACTTTTTAAGTTTTAATCACAGACTCTGATTCAAAGATAACATCGTTTTGTACAGGATTGATGGGAATCGAGGTTCTATTATTTGATATAGAAACAGATAGAGTAAAGTCTTGAAATGAACTCTCGACGAATACAGTAATACATATGTATTTTAATTGATCAAAGCCTTATTGATGTACAAACAGGTAGAATATGGCGTTAACGTTTATATGTGCTACATATGGTTTGGATACTTATAGCTTGTTTGATAAAGAATAATTTAGAAGATAAGTTTGACGGATTCTTTTGTGTAATGTTATATCAGAGCATCTTTTGATCCCTATTTCATTGTACAAAAAATTAAACATGTGGGTTTTTTATCAATGTGTTCAAATTAAATATTTAACTATTTACAGGTCCGACAACACTTGTGATGCCTACAAATTCAGGATCAAGTAAGTAATCAGGGATTCCTTAATGACCAAAATAAAGCCTCAGATGTGATCAAAATTATGGTCTTAGGTGATAAAAACGTCGACGTTGTGTGTGATTAAAATTAAAGCAACAGGTGTGATTAAAATGATTGCGTCAGAATGTGGTCAAATTGATCTCAAAGTAACTGGCGTAAGTGTGATCAAAATGATTGTCACAGATGTGATAAAAATAACATATATTAGACCAAATTGATGGTGATTTATCACCTGATCTACAGAATCTTGCTTCAAACTTGGTCAATTGTATTGAAAAAAAACAGCAAGCTGTGAACAAAAGACAAGTTTAGACAGTTTACCAACAGTAATCTGTATGTACATTTAGCATTAGCTTCTAAAATGGCCTGAGAACTTTGTTATTATAATAACCATGTCTAGAAAGAAGACTGCAATCTTGAACTCACCAAACTGACCAATCAATTCCTGTCTAAAAGTGGTGTCGGGTATATAAATGGATGTCACAGTTTTTGTTTGCTGAATATATATGATAGTTTATCTGTAGATGTTTTATCATCACTATCTTTTGTAGTTGATCATAAAACTTTGATCTAGTTTACTGAAAATAATCTACAACTTTGTGCCATAGTGGTCTTTTTTTATATTACTTTTACCTAGTCAAAACACTATCCACATGAACTTTATAGAAAAACTTTTAAGCTATATTGTTTGAAAAACCTTAAAGCTTTATTGGGCGGAGTGATCACAAATTATATGTTAACTGAAAAACTTGTCATGCTTAATTAGGTGGAATTATCACAAATTATTCATAAACATTTTATATATACTATTTTGAAATATAATTCAAAACTTGTGTACAAAACAGTCTACTGTTAATATGAGTTTCAAATCATTAAAGGTAAAGAAGGTATTACCACCTTGCTAAGAAATAATTAGATTGATTTTATATATGTGGTTTGTTTCTGTGACAGGAAATGGCTGTACATACAAGGGTCAAACTTACAAAGCTGGAGATAACTGGGTGGATGATTGTAAATACAACTGTACCTGTGATTCTGATGTCACTGGTCACTACACCTGTAACGACTTGTAAGTATAGCTTAACCACTACGAGTAAACATATCAGGATTGATAATCTTAGAGTTGCCAACACTTCACAATATATATTTTACTACCAATACATGAAATGTAATTATGAAAGTTTTGCAGTCATGATCGCTAAATTTCTAAACATTCATATGACCTTCAATTGAAGTATTGGTTTGTTAGTACTGATGCCAGGGTTAAAGGAAATTTCATAACTCAAGGATGACCGTGCTGTATCTGTCAGCAGATAACCACACACTGAAAATGTCAATATTTGGAAAACAATATTTAGGCCCTCTCATTAGCTATGCAGCCTCCCCAGTTTGGTATGTTTTCCAGCAGTAGGAATTGCTTTCAGTTTAGCCACCAACTAACAAGAGATGTTGAATGTATTCGTTGCTTTATCAAAGCCATAGAAAATACCCAAGCAAATATTTGTGTTTATGTTGTTTTTCAAATCTAGAGTAAAGTTTAGTACTATATTGAATTGGTTGATCACACCCATCTGAGAGTCATGATGAAAAATAATTTACTTTCCAGATATATGTTTCCTTTACCGATATTCAATTGTTTTACCTTAAACGGATGATCGTTTAACCTAGAAAAAAATCTTACATGTTGGTGTTGACTTGCTTGGGCCTATTTCAGGGATAAACAAATGTTATATCACACTATCCTTATAAACATTTATATGTAAAGTAAAGATGTGGATATATTAATCAGTGTCCATACAGAATTATCATTGATTAATGTCTTAAGCAGTTTTGTATTTACTAATGTGATTATTTTCATTTGTTACAAGGTGTCCTGTCTATACCAATCTACCAAGCAGTCTGAAATTGGAAAAGGTGCCTGGACAGTGTTGTCCTAAAGTTGTATTCGTCTTCACTGGAACAATAATATCGTTTACTGCTCCTCCCAGTAAGTACGAGAATAGTTTTCTCATTTAGAATAGATATTGTTACTGGAGCTCTTCATTCTTCAAGTGCCCTGTAGAATCATCTGGTCTGTCTCTCCATTTTGATTTTGATGTACCTATACACATTCAGTACTGTAAATACACTTATATTGGAATAATTAAATCTTACACAAGATCAATTTTAAAAAATAACACACTTTTACAATTTGTAATTCACAATGGCTGAGTGGTCAGAAAGTTTTGGCGATTCTACCCAATTGTTCACTGACAATGTACTAGCTATTAACTCCTAATTTTGTTAAGAGGAATGTTTGAAATATGTTTTGGAAACTGGTTTGTAGTTACATGCTACAGCAGAAGGTGCTACATTCAGAGTGGTTAGCTATTCAAACTGCTTTTTACATTGCAAGAAATAACTTCATGTCATACGTACAATATACCTACAACAAACATAAACAAAAAATAGTAAAAAACATTGAAGCTGGAAACATTTGTTACTGGAAAATGTTTTATCATATAGAGTGTCTCTTACATATTATTCTTTAATTTCCATTTTGATTGCAGACATGTGCTTTTACAAGGGCAATTCTTATGGAACTGGGGAGAAATGGGATGATGGATGTGATTACAAATGTGTCTGTACAGATGCTGCAACGGGAAGATATAAGTGTACACAAAAGTAAGTCAGATAATTCACTTTTAAGATAGATCTGACAGGCCTAGAGATTGTCTTGTTGATTTGAATATTGAATATTAAGTTAAACCCATGATTGATATTGTGGTTTGTTTGTAAATTGTCCTGCAAATTCATTACCATTCTGATCCAACATGCATGACACAACAAATAATGAAGACATTGTATGATTATTAACAAGCCTTCATGACTGCAGGGGATTGATAAAAAAACCTCAAACCAAGATACAAGATTCTTGCATATCTCTCGTAGATTTTGCTGATGTATTTTTCAGATGGTTGAATTCCAACCTTCCATCATAAATAGGGGTTGATACTTTGAGTAAGAAAACTTTCTTTTCCACACACCCAGTTAGAAGAAAATAAATCGAAACAGTAAAAAAACAAATTTTTGTTAGCCGGGTTGCACATAGTGCAAATCTGGGTTATAGTATGGTGAGTGTCGAGCAGGTGGACAGGGAAAAGTGGTACCAGTTTTGTAGAATCAACTACTCCTAGAGTTTTTGACGTAGAAGTTTGAAACTTTGTAGGATGTTTATGTATATGTTGAAGATGTGCACTTTTTCTCAGAAACTACTACAAGAATCTTTCCGAAAATCCACATATAAATCACCTTGGGGCCCTTGATGTCCATTGTCTATTTTTTAGCTGCAACTTCTTTCTTCAAATGCCCTTCTTCTGCACCAATTCATAAAATACAACCAAACTTTCTCCCTTATAACTAATATTCTACATACTCAACAAATGAAACACCCTAAACTGTCTTATAAATACCATGTAACATTGTACTCATCCTGCAACCTGGCCAATTGTGGCTTTTTTCCCATTGAGCCTCTTGGCACCAAATAATGTAAATGCCTAGACAGATCCATTTTAAGACAAGATTGAAACATCAATTTCCTATTCCAGAAATTATTTTCCTATTTTCTTTGCATTCTAGATGTGTCACTTGGAACTTGCCACCAATATGTCATTTGAATGAACCAGCTCCAGGCAAATGCTGCAAGACACCTAATTGTCCATATTTTGTAACAATCAATTACCCACCTGACTACCAAGAAGAGTGAGACCTCCCCGTTGTGTGTCTCTTTCTCTACTTGGCAGTTTTGCTGTTGTTTTTATATTCTGTATCATTTTTCAATAAAATTAAACAAGAAGTGGTTTTAAGATTGTATTTACTTATATTGAAATTTGAAACCGAAAAATGATGTAAAGAATAGACAATATTACCGATGGAAAATTAACAAGACGACACTTGAAAAAGAACAAGAAGATAAGAACATGGTTACTGAAAGACAGAATGTATTTTGCTTCATCAGCAACACCCACCATTTAAGTCCATGCTAATCCAAGTAATGGTCATGTTTATAGCAAATTTTATGATGTTGAACATGTATATCAGTTGATATCGACAGCGCAGCTTCACAGTCTGCTAGATACAAATTTGATTATACGTCTTGTATATACTGAATGATTAATTAGAATATATTAGCAGATGTTGGGTATTTTTCTGACTGGTTAGTGATTAATTACAGAGTTTTGAGTATTGAAGCTTAAAAGAGAAATTATAAAATTCTAAATTGCTTGATTCAAATCTTTAAAATATAAAGAAGTAAGCTCACTACTGTTGGTAAAATTTGATAGAAACCTAGTGGAATAATAAATATGTTTGTCTATTGTTCTATTGGTTAATTAATTGACCTCATGACTATGCCAGTCCACATATATGAAAATGGTGTATCCATCTCCTGAATACCTAATAAATTGCTCTCCAACTTTTCCAAAAATCTGTGTTATACAGCTTAAATTCACTTCCCCATTCAATAGATGTGCTTTACTCTGAGTTACAACATCTGGTGTTCCTCTTCTTTCTTGTTCAATGAATTTTTTGTGAATCTCCTCAATTCTGAATTCCAAGAATCAGGTATCCGACCTTCCTCTATAATTGGAGTTTTCAGTGTTTTCAGGCGCTGAAAAAAATGGAGGGGTTTAATACTTGTTTATGTATACATTGTTAAATAATTTCCAAAGTTTTGCAGATAAAAGATTATATTTTATGTTATAATTTTTAGTGACTTAAGCTTCTTGATGTTATCTCAAAGGAATCATTCACTACAGAAATATTCAATACATTTCTACATGCATCTCATCATGGAAAAATATCGCACTACGCAAGTAGAAATTCAACACTTTCAGAATTGACAAACAAGTATTTTCGGTCAATAAGGTCTAGTTTTAACAGTTGTTTTATATATTTGAAGTCGACTTACCTCGACAAGCGTACCAGAGGTTCCCAGTAATTTATAAACCATAACGGCTGGAACGCAAACCATTGATGACAAGGACAACATAAGGCCGAAGGCTTGAGCGAGGGGCGGATAGGAATAGGAAGATCCTAAATTACCTAGTCGTAATGACGCAAGTTGCGATATGAACAGTCCCTTGAAACCAAACAGAAAATGCATATATTATCATGAAAATGATATTAAATACCAGAATTCTATGAACTATTCACAACGAAACGTGTAATTTTTGTACTTTTACATGGATTTTTTTTCTCTGCTACCTTGAAGTTACAGCGACATGCCATAAGTCTTTCATATTTTTTTATGATATATTCTTTATATTTCACACTTTTTTCCATGAATTTTCTTGACTTTAGGGATGGATTTCGACAATAATTGAACATTTTTTGCAAAATATTCATATTTTCTTATCTTAATATTAATATAATTTTCCGTTGTTTATTTCAGGAATAATACAAAATTATCTACACTGCCATTTTCCATATGACGCCATTTTCGTTTATACGCTTAACAAAGTGACGTCAAAATGGCATTCCAAAAATCGCATACTACAAATAAATTTACGATTTGTGTCTGAAGAAATGAAATATTAGTGCGAGCTCTTTTCCTTTAATCGAATGATGTATCTTACTGATTATTACCGTAGTCAGGAAGGGAGTGATGAACTTCAAGCAAATCCATAATAATCGGTTGATCTTGAAACCTAACATCATGTACAGGACGTCATCAAATCTATCGGCGCCTGTAAACAGCATTGCTCTATTTTTTTATTCTTCTTTTAAGTAGCTGACAGAAATGTTTGCTATAAAGTGAGTGACTGTTTGTTCGGGACGTTTTATGTCTTTGTATTCACGAGTGTAAACGATTAACATTAAATACGTGTACATTTGATTTCGTTTGTAGATATCAAAATCATTTAAGGCGTTTGCAGACAAAAGTAAAATTGATGAGATAAACAGTGATAGTTGGTTTGAGACTATTGTGTTTATAATGTGATATTGCTCTTGATAAAAAAAAAGGAAATGGGAAATTTGCCATGTCATTCAGATTCTAAAAAAATATTCGACTACCAATCATTTCCTATTTGATTTTCAAGTTAATAAATAATTCAAATATGGTTGGATTAAAACTATAGATAATGTTATTCTTAGGGTGGAAGTATTGCGCGGGTAGATAGGCATATGTTGTCAGGCTGAATACGTACCGAATACCCAACCAATTGCAATGCATTCCCAGAAACAGACCCACAGCAACACCATGCCACTAGCAGAGAAGTTGTCAAACAGGATCCAAATGTAAATTCCTCCCTATTTAAGTAGAGACAAAACACTGCAGTTAGAAAGCTACAAACCTTGTAATCTATACAAGGGTAGAAATAATAAATAATTATCGTTTTCTACCGAAATGTCTTGACTGGTACATCATTTTCGGTTTTTTTTTCTCCATTAGTAAGCAACGCTGATTATTATCACATTTTTTGTACGCTGGTCGTACCTATTTTAATTGACTTGATCATGGTCCGTCAATTTTTGCCTCACAAATGCAATTGATATTTACAATCCTACCAGAAAAATATATACCAGTAATATGTACCAATAGATAATTAAGAGAATGTTAACTGTTAAGTTTAATAGCTTCGGAAAATTCCTCGAGGTCTTACTCTTGTCGTCATAGACAACCCAACGAGGAACAGTGCCAGGCAGTATATGGCCGTCAATAACATGCGAGTCCAGGTCTTCCTATACCTCTCAGGAAGGGCGTCCACCATCATGGTCACGACTACTTCGACTCCGAGAAACTGTCATATATTTAAATTTTATAATTAGGTTCTAGACATCGACAGAAAACTAGGCAAAATAGTAGAGAACGAATATATATCTTTAAATTGTACAGTAGGGAAGGTTTTTACAAGAGACGACCACTTTGGAAAACTATTTGGTATTTATTCAGAATAAGTGTTGCTAATCATAATAATAGATATGTCGTACAAGGCTAAGGCACAACTAAGACCATGATAGACACGAACAAGGCATACTACATGTAGTGACTTCCAGGGATCTCGAAGGGTTGAGTAAAAGTGCCTTTCAATACGAATGAGATGCAGTATATGGCTAGAACTTAATTTAACTACATCACACAGCTGTTTCATCTTTCTATATGACTATTCTCAAAGTAACGCTTGTTGCCAAAATATCATACTTCGGAAATGAAGATAAGAAAATCACATTTGGCATTATCAAATATTAAAAACTTCGGTAGGTTTAAAGAAGACATGTTTGTGTTTTTCGCTAAGCATAGAGAAACTGTTATTGATGTGTAAACATACCAAGCTGTCCATACCAACCAAAAACAGCATAAAAAAGAACAGCACTGCCCAAAAGCTGGATCCTGGCATCAACGAAACTGCCTTCGGGTAGGTGAGGAAAGCCAATGCTGTACCTGTTAAATTATTAAGTAATCGTCACTATGGTTGTCTGGACACCTATGATAATAATCTGCATTACATGAACGCCAAATTCAGGCCTTATTTGAATTACAGGAGTCGGCAAAGTGGAAAGAACCTGCAGAAGAAACAAATTGTTTTCGACTTTCAGAAAGCAGCATGCACTGGGTTATTACCCAATTCTTCCTCCTAGTACATACGTGCTAATAAATTATCGCCGTTGGAAATCAGCTTGTGCAGAAAAAATATCTACTTATTCTATCAAGTCACCATGCTGGAAAAAATGCATTTAAACAAAATGTATAGTCGACATACATGAATGTCAAATAAGGTCTTCATAAGCTTATCGAATACATACAGCAACGCACAAGAACGAAGTTTTTTTTTGTAGGTGTGGAAAAACAACCTACTAGAAATTCTTATGGTAATTTTATTTCTGCGTAAAGGCAAGATGTAATTGAAATCAAAAAAAAAATATCTGGAAATTGACCTTATGCGGTAATTGTGTAATGATTCAGAAAGTAATAAAGCATGTGTAAAGACAAGATGTAATTGAAATTTAATTACCGAATAAAAACTAGACCGTTCGAAACAAATGCATATTTTATTGAAAAGTGAAACAAATTTGATGTAAACACTGCTTTTTGTACATGTTCGCGATAGAAAACCAGGCTCAATGAGCGGCAAGTTAGTTCATTAATGATGATATACTTGATCAAAAAGACAGAGACCTACGAAAATCAGGAATTTTGTCAACTGGCGTAGTAATAAGTTGTCAAATTACTCAGATTAATATCGTGTGATCCAATTTCTGACAAACTCATATGAACACGTCGGCAAAGTTCACTTTCAAATGTGCTGGTGGTGGAAAACACGTATCCTATTACTTGCAATGAGAGATGTCATTTTCACTTTACGGCGTATCACACTAAAATTTTGAGAGAGCGACAGTAGGTAATTTGAAGACCTTAAAATAGATATTGTGGTATACCGAAACGCACCTATGTACCCGCTTTGCTTTTAAAGCAACCCCATAAGAGTTTAATATGTGTTGTGGAGAAAGTAGAATCTTGTTTCCCCATGTCTTTTTAAGATGGCAGATGGAGCCCTGTACATATATGATCATGAAGTACTTTTCAGAAAGGAATAAAATTCTGCCTTTAGGAAATTGGAAGGAACAAGGTAAATGTACGAGTTTGGGGACTGGCATGTTAAAAGATAATATGAAATGGTACATATACTTATGGCTAACGCATGCGCGGTAAACATCTCATACGTAAATAAACAATGAAATAACAATGCCAGCAGCACACTCCTGCTATCTAACAACAATGCATTCTGCTAACATATTTTATGTCATTGTACTTGCTCTTAATTTATTTTAATTTATATCATGCATCGCGGAAGATGTCAACTGAAATAAAACAGTAGTAAAATAAAATCACTGTTATGACATCAAAGTTTTGATATAACATTTCTGATCCTTTCTCTTGGTATCACTTAGGCCATGGTATCTAAGTGTGATGAGCAATATTGCTGTTATCTATGAAATAACAGCGTGGTAATATACTTCATCGTGCTGCACTAAACAAAATAATTGAAAGAGAGAGGCGCTCGTGTACCTGAAGTCGATATATCTGAAATGTCAACTCCCTGTTCACGCGCCATAAATCCGAGAACTGAGAACACTGCGAATCCCCCTAGTATACTGGTGCCACTGTTGATGCATATGATGATGATACTGTCTCTAAAATAAAAAAATCGGACCAGCTAACAATTATAAGTCCTGAAAAGAAAAAACAAAACTAACTTCTATCGGAAAATTGCAGGTAAATTGTTAAACTAAGATTCTGATAATTTTTTTATTGCTTGCTTTAAAATTCCACTTAGGATTTAAGTGTTTTATTGAAAGACCAATTAATCTCCCTAAAACACAATACTTGAACAATATTAATGTAGATATAGACTGGTGATATTTTCTAGTAAAATGATGAAAAATTTCAACCGTAAGGATATTGTACAAAAGACACACAAGTGACTAGCACATTTAATACAAATAAATCTAAACATAATGAATTAAACTGCATGATATAGCTGTTTCGTGCTTCTGGAAATCCTATGTGGCGACTGACGTTAACACAAAGTGATCGAAAACGATGTCATAACAAAGACGGGGAGGCGCATTATTTCCGTGATTTGAATGATTTTGGTAACATGTGTTTTTATTATCTTAGAGGTACGCCAAGTGCATGTGTATATTCTGAGCCATGCCACTATTCGAATGAATTAAAACGAGGCAAGCAGGTTACGGAAAACCTTTGGAACGAACTAAAAGTTCACCAGCTGTGTACACGATCGTGCAGATGACACGCCAGTGACAAGCACCTTTTAATACAATTAAGAAAATATATGTTATCATTATCGGCATGAAAATGAATGATTTTACCTGTAAAAGTTATCATTAAACTTTTTGTAGCTTCCAAGTGTTATCAACCCGCCAAAGGCAACGGCAAGAGAAAAGAATATCTGAGTTCCTCCATCTATCCACACCTGATACATAAAAAAAGGGATAATTGATATTAAAATCGAGTGATTGAAGAGGATTCTAACTTGTACTCCCATGACTACTATATGTTTACTCTTGTTTTAGTGTTTGTGAAACATATATACATATGGACTCTTATTTTATAGTGTATTATGTCAGTAAGTTCTGATGTGTGGGCTTCCTGAAACGGGGCTGATAAAAACCACTGTAAAAATTGGTAATTAGCATAAGTGAGATATGTTTTGAAAATTTTGACGTATGTAGACTTTTAAGAATTCTGCTAAGTGGAGAGAGAATATTTCGCTCATGAGAGCAGGAATGCTAAATGAATGTGTTTTCAGTTTATAGGTCTTTCTAGTAGATGTGGCAAAGGTTTAAGTTATTATTGCTAATGGAGCGAGGATATGTCTTTTAACTACTAGAAATTCCTCGTTACTTCGGACAAACGAATGGAATCTAGTTGTGATAGAAAGGGTAAGTATACGCAACAACGCTGTTTGCATATGAATTAATTACTTAAATTAAGAGGATAAGGAAAATATTTAATTTTGAGAAATAAGAGGATGAGGAGAATATTTAGTTTTTAAAACAAACAAATACTACCTGTACATCACCAAGTCTTTCAAAATTAGGGATAAGGAAATAGGTTATCCCGTCAACTGCACCATCTAGCGTAAGTCCTCTCACTAACAAACATAACAGGACCACGTAAGGGAAAACTGCTGTAAAGTATACTACCTGTATCACAAAAAGAAAATGTGACAATGTTCTTCATTAGCAAGTCAGATACAAAAAATATAAAATACGAAAACTTTACATAATACCTTGAGTAATCTGTTTGTACGGAAATCGCTTTCATCTTGTAACAAGGAAAATATTGAATAAAGATAAATTTCGATAGGAAACATCAGCAATGCGTTTTGACGTCATCAGGCATGACTGTTCTGATTTCTGATACGTTCAAATATCTTTTGTGAAAGAAAATAAATGAAAAAAAACAATAACACAGAATCTTTAAGTTAACTTGTTCTTGTTTTTAATCCACGAGAATATTACAGAAAATAAAGATATGAAAATTCTTTTTAATTTTATGTGCCTACCTTACCGCTCCACTTAACACCTCTCCACACACAGAAGTAGATGATTACCCACACTATAAACAAACTAACAGCGATTTGCCACACTATTCCGCCACTCTCCTCTATCCCATTAGACATCTGGATAACATGCCGTCTACAACATGAAATGTTTTGATATTAGGACAAATGCATGAACTTACTGGAAGACAGAATGAAGTGAGAAATCTTGAACCATAACGAAGGCGAGGATAAATTAATTTCCTTTGAATACAACCGTTTCTTTTACCATGTTTATTTGCGTTTTGATGTTAATTTCAGAACTACTATGCCCAAAGGGTTTTGCATAAAATTGTGCTACTGTGTCAATTGTGATAAAAATCGATCTCCATACTAATTTCAAATGAATTATTACTGTAATAATAATTCATTGCAGACTTCATTGAGCAATTGTTTCTGTCTGAAGAACAAACCATACGAGGTATTCGTATACAACAAAACATCAGTAAATGGTGATTTTTTAAATAAACATTCTGTAGTTTTATTTACAAGACATGAAAAATTTACCATTGTGTAAATATAAATTAAAAGTACATGCTATATAAACTTATTTTCACTTCGATCATAAAATACTTTCACAATTGCTTACTCCCAGAATTCGACTGTTGGATCCACCGGTAGAAGGTCTGTTGAGTTTCTCACTAAACATTGATGCCTAGACGAATTGTACATGTCCAGTGACACATTGAGTTTGCTAAGACATGACGCTATTGTTGCCTCTTTTGAAATTGAACATCTGTAGAGATACAAAGACATTTAGTATGTTTTAAAATAACGCAATGCGAGTTTCCAGTCTTAATGACGATAAGGAGGAGGAAGAAGTAAGAGAAATGAGTTGGTAAAAATACCAAATATGAAAATATTTGTTTAAGGTACAAAAGCTGAATTAGTTATAAGTTCGAATCATTTGCCTTGTTAAAGACATCTTTCGTTAAACGCTTGGAACACCTGGTCTTATTTTCATTGTACATTTTCAGGAGTCTCCGTGTAAATATTGCTTTTGTTCATGTTTTGCCCTAGTTTTATGGAATTCGAGTTTGCATTATGTTGGCGTGTTGGTATTCAATTGGTGTTTTTTAAAATCAATTGTAATATGAGGAATATTTAATTTATTCAATAGCAAAATATCAACCACGAAAAAGTTTCTTAACATCAAGCTAGTTTTCACTTAGTGTATACATTGGTCATAGTAAGGTGATGTGCTTTGTACCAAATTCGAGGCCCTGGACCCCTCAATAACAGAGTTACTGCCATTTGTTGAAATTTCATGTACGCAGCATAAGTTTGCTTGTATTTAAAGCAGGATATTGAAACCTTGTTTATACACTGACCATGCTAAGACAATGTGCAGCGTGCAAAAAATCAGGGCTCTCAACCACTCAATTACAGAGTTATTGACCTTTGTTAACATTTCGTGTTCAGAGAACAACCTTAAATTGCTTGCATTTACACTAAAATAATGAAACTTGGTGTATACGTTGATCATACTATGATAAGGGATGTTCTTCAAAAGCCAACATTTTAACAATAGGATAGCGTTGTTGAAGGAAACAATGGCAATCATATACTGTTTCATATAAGATGCCCTTTTCTTACTGAATAATTGAAATTGACTTCATTCACCACTTAAACATATACTAAACAAAAAAAGAAAGGTAACACTACTTTATTCTGTGATTAATTAATTAACCCCTTCATAAATCCTTACCAATCATGTACGAATAAAGTAATTGATCAATTCTGATAAAACTGCAGTCATGGTTCATTATAAAACTTTGCGTTCAGTTGATTTTATTCGACTGTAAAGGACGTTGGGGTCAGTTTCAAAGGTAACAACATTAGTAACGGGTATGGCCACCGTTTGCGAAGTAAACAGCATTGCAGCGTTGTCGCATGGAACTCGTAAACTGGCGGATAATTCGAGGAGAGATATTGTTCTATTCAGCAATCAAGGCTTCGGCCAGCTCCTGCAAGTTTGACGGCTGATTTTGACGTTCTCTCACGCGTCGCCCAAGAACGTCCCAGACATGCTCAATCGGTGATAAATCAGGTGATTTAGATGGCCAATCTAACACCTGTACGTTATTCTGCTGCAAGAAAGTTCTGTCTACGCGACTGGTGTGCGCTGGTGCGTTATCCTGTTGAAAAATGGCGCCAACGCCATGGCGTCTTCAGAATGGCAAAACCACTGGTCTTAAAATTTCGTCCCGATATCGAATGCCGATTAAATTGCCATTTAACACAAGCCTGGTACGAGTCCCCCCACAAACACCACCCCAAACCATTACACTTCTGCCGCCAAAGCGGTCCCGTTCTGCGACGCAGCAGTTCGCAAAACACTCCCCTTGTCGCCTCCACACTCTGCACTTTCCGTCACCGTGTTGCAGACAAAACCTGGACTCATCTGAAAACAGAACATTGTTACATTGTCGTAAGGCCCAAGGACGGTGAACACGGGTCCAGTTACGCCGATTATTACGGTGACGTCACAACAAATTGGGTCCAGTGTAGGGACGCCGCGCTTTCAATTGGTAGGCCCTCAACCTGTTGCGGACTGTTTGGGGAGACACACGACGCCCAAGCAATGTCCTTGTAGTCTCTACTGCGGTTACGAATCGATTGCGCAAGTGTATCAATCGTATACAACGGTCATCCCTGGCGGTCGTTTTACGGGGTCGGCCGCTTCAGGGACGATCGGATGTTGACACAGTTTGGTTTAAACGACTTACCAACGCAAATTGTCTTAACACTGCAACCAAAATGCCGTGCAACTCGACGGCGAGACTCCCCAGCATGGATCATGCCAACAGCCCTTAATATGATTTAGAGAATAAAGTTGACTAAAAAGTGAGTATTGTTTAAATTTATCCTTAATTATTTATATGTAAAAAGAAATATAGTCATAAGAACATAAACCTGACGAAAAATAAATAAAAATGTAAGTAATGCCAGTTGCTGAGTGCAAACAGAAGAGGTTTCACAGGTAAATTAACCTGTTGGAACTAATATTGATTTAAGGGAAACGACTATACTCGCTATCAAAACAAACTGCCCTGTAGGGGATTAAGAATTGATAAAAAAAAATTCATTCTTGTCCTGGGCAAAACTTTGCCTGCATTAAAACTAGGACAAAAAAACTTAGAGTATACATTCAGCGTACAAAAACAATGTAAAATGCATCCGTATTAGAGACATCCACCCTTTCATTATATAGGTATTGCCTTAAGATAAAATTTTGTGTCCGGACCAAAAATTTGCTTTCATTGAAACAAGGACAATAAACTTGATGTATACTTGATCATACTTAAGGGATATACAGTTTATCAAAGGTCTTGGTAGAATGAGAACTGAAAATGACTGTAGATATCGACGTTTGACAACGTGTATAAAACTATAACAAGAATAATGTCTGTTTGGCTATTGCCAACTTAAGCCTTCCCCATAACTATTGCACAGTAAAAGGTCGGGCTTCCATATTTGGCATGTGTATTCCTTGTGACAAGACCTTTTTTGAAAAAACTTAAACCTTGGCCTTAACTATTGCACAATGAAGACACGTGTTTCACAAAATCTAGCATAGTGTTTCATAAATACGTCTTATTTGGCAATATTTTGGGACTTTTTGTAAAGTCTATATGTTAGGACGGCAGCAGGGTGTCATAGGCAAAGCGACGTACAAACGAACACTACTTTCGCTATTTTTACACTACATGACCTCACCAACGTCATAATTTGATCACGTCTCCTATATTCAAAGTTACACATGGAACAGCTAGTAACATTATTTTTTAACATAAGCAACTTGCAAAGAAACAGATATATGCCAAGTAATGAAGAAACAAGTTTTCCCTCGTGTGATATTTTGAAATTATTTTCACACTACATGTACATGTTTAGGCGACAGATCTCATCTTATTTCAATATCTTAATATCACTCATATACACCAATCATGTTTTAATTTTGGTTATCTTCAGAACAATACGGACACCTCCAGTCTCCCGCACGATACCGTTCAGTAAGATATGAGTGTACTAGCCCTTTCTCAAATATTTTCTTCCAAACTTCCAACGTATAAATTCTACTTTTCAACGGGCAACACGACGATGTAACAATGTTTGAAGATCGGTCGGGAAAGTTTCCACGCCGCCAACAGTTAGCCATTCCTATCGTATGGGTCATACTAAACACATATGCTGGGCTGAACAAAAAATATACCATACGTACAACTTGTAATCCTGCATATTATGTTTGATGTATAATTAAGAATTTGAATGTTTCTCTACTTCTCTAATCATACAAATAAATCATGATTCAGTCGTGCTGGTTGGGTTTCGGGACTTTTTGGGATGTACTTCGTCCCTGTCCTGAACGTACCCTCTGGGGTCCTCTACTGATGACATTATACAGACTTCATCAACCTATGTATTGCTCTGTAAGGTAACTCTTTTTATAAAAGGTCTGTTTAATTTGATACAAGTGTTACCTTTCAATATTCAAATGAAATCTTGCACATTTGACATGACAAGTTTCATAATGGGTGTTTATTGCGATCATCTTTTGTCCGGCGTCATGCGTTGCGCGTCGTTAACTTTTAACATTTTTCTTCTGGAAAACACCCGAGACCACTGCACTGAAATTTAACAAAAGCCTTTCAGGCCTTAATATGCATCAAAATCCAAAATTATATATAGGAAAATCATTTTTGAATATTATTTGTTTATGTTATGTTGGAATTAGTTAAAACCTGAATAGAATTACTAGCTTAAGATGACAGTTTGATGAAATGCACATATTGACCTCGACTGACCCCATGAGGTCGTTGGTCGGGGCTAAAAAAGGGTCGAATTGGCTGAAATTTCTTTTATATAGGAAAATTCAAATCTTGAGTTAAAAAAATAAAATTTCTTTTAATGCAAACTTGGTTAGAAGCCTTCGCATGGGACAGCAGGTAATATATACACAATGTACATTTACCATATGTGAAAAATATAGTTAGAGTAATATCCCTTTTTAACAAAATAATTTCTATGACATGTTACAAGAAGCATTGGGACTCAATTGACCGTTAAGGCCCTTGGGCCTCTTGTTTTCTTTTAAAGTGGCTAATCTCTGTCTTACTCCAAAATAAATAAACAGCCTGCACGAGAAACTCGAGTTGTTTTTAAAACTGGCCAAGACTTGTCAAACGGAAGTGACGTAATACAGTACATTAGGCCTATGTGTGCTATCAAACAGTTAGATGAGTCTAGAATACTTGGAGACTGACGGACAAATTTGAATGAGAATGATCATGACTTGACCAAGCGTGCGACATTTATCATTGCAAATGGGATAAACTTTTGAACGTACAATATCATAGTAGAGGATGGGGATGGAGGAAGGGGTCGTGGCTTTGTGAAGGAACCAAGGAAGTTTATGTTGATACTTTTAATAACTTTTTATTTTTGCTCCGGGCAAAAATATGACGCACGGACGGGCGGACAAAACGGAAACTATATGCTCTGCCGAAAAAAACTACCGGGAAAACATATGTAATAAGCACTTCGATGCTTCCGACATCATAACACAGACCGTCTTGACGTAATGACCTTATTGATATAAACTGCTATTTAAACTACATTTTTCGTAAGAATTGAAATCACAAATTGTTCGGAGCTCAAAAATTAACATTGAAGAAACATTTGTATGTCATATTCTTCTGATTCCAGGAAGCACTTTTGATAATTTTCCAGCCCTTTATGAATTAAGAAATATCAATACCTAAGCCACTTGACATAACCACTAACGCACACACCTGCATGCACGTTAAGAATACACCGATTGTTGAGAGTAACCTCTTAAAGTCCCCGTCCTTGAACATATTCAATTTTAAAAGGAAATGAATTAAAGATCTAATAAAATAGAAATAATGGTTCCAATTCAAATTATAGCTGGTTGGAGTTTATGCACCATCTATTCATATGTGTCCTTTGTATCAATTGCGATTATTTTCACAATTAAGTGTTGTGAATTTACACTCTCACTGGGATATCAATGCGGTTCGACAATAGGAGAAACATGAAACGAAAATCTTCAATATTACTTTTATGTTTGTGTCAATGCCGTTACATGGAAAGAAACTGGTACTTTGAGATTTGTACATCGCCCTGTTTTTTGTCGTTGAAACCTGGCAAGGCATGGTGCACGTTTATGATGAATATGCATATATATAATATGTACACAACAAATCCATTACACCGCGGTATTAGCGGACTGGGTTACCGATGGCGGATGATCTGCTAATGATTCTCGGGCTGTGATATTTCACACCGCTTATTCAAAACATTTCTGCTATTGCGTTAGGATTTGCGTATTGTGGAGTCCTAAGTGTGACAGTCGCTCTCTCTCTCTCTCTCTCTCTCTCTCTCTCTCTCTCTCTCTCTCTCTCTCTCTCTCTCTCTCTCTCTCTCTCTCTCTCTCTCTCTCTCTCTCTCTCTCTCTCTCTCTCTCTCTCTCTCTCTCTCTCTCATTTTATAACAAGAAATAGAAGCGTAACCTTTTCATATACTTACCATATGTTTAGTTAAGTCATTGTACACGTGCTTTCGTTGTCCTATTACTTATCATATCGTGTAGAATTTTTCTAACCAATGACAACTAAATATAAACAACTGTGGTATCTAGACTGAACCATGCATTTGTTTTTACTTTGTCCGCGATTCCATCTCAGGGGTGCTTTACAGAACGGCCATGTTCAAAGGTTTTATGGTAATTCAAATGTTCATATCACCAACTAAGATGGAAACAAATTTGGCCATATGATTAACAAGGTCAGGCGTGATATTTTAATCATATTTTCGCATATCAAACTGTAATTCTGTACATTATGTTATCTTAATCATACAAAGAGAAACATCACATTCTCTCCCATGTCGCTGTGTGTGTCTTTCTTAAACATCACATTCTAACGTGTCGCTGTTCGTGTCTTTGTTAAACATCACATTCTCTCCCATGTCGCTGTGTGTGTCTTTGTTAAACATCACATTCTCCCATGTCGCTGTTCGTGTCTTTGTCAAACATCACATTCTTCCATGTCGCTGTGTGTGTCTTTGTTAAACATCACATTCTCTCCCATGTCGCTGTGTGTGTCTTTGTTAAACATCACATTCTCTCCCATGTCGCTGTGTGTGTCTTTGTCAAACATCACATTCTCCCATGTCGCTGTGAGTGTTTTTGTTAAATATCACATTCTCTCATGACGCTGTGCGTGCCTTTCTTAAACATCACATTCTCTGCCATGTCGCTGTTAGTGTCTTTGTTAAACATCACATTCTAACGTGTCGCTGTGAGTGTCTTTGTTAAACTTCACATTCTCCCATGTCGCTGTTCGTGTCTTTCTTAAAACATCACTTTCTCCCATTTCGCTGTGAGTGTCTTTGTTAAATATCATTTTCTCCCATGTCGCTGTGCGTTTCATTGCTAAACGTCACATTCTCCCATGTCGCTGTTCGTGTCTTTGATAAACGTCACATTCTCCCATGTCGCTGTGCGTGTCTTTGTTAAATAGCATTTTCTCCCATGTCACTCTACGTGTCTTTGTTAAATATCACATTCTCTCCCATAAACGTCACATTCTAACGTGTGTGTGTCTTTGTTAAACACAGTCACGTTTCTCTCCAACATGTCAAGGTTGTAACTGCGTGTTTGTGTTTTTGTTAAAAAACATCACAAGTTCTATGAATTATAGGTAAATGTAGACTTCTGTGCATGTAGGAGGTCATTAATTATGACCGATTGAACTGTGATTGCAACCCACAAGTATATCGTACTCCGTACGGAGTGATACGCGGTTGGCAGTACATCAAAATATATCAAGATTGTCATCGTTATAGCTCGCCCATCTTATCACATGTCAAATTGAATATTCATTGTACATTGTACATTGTTGTATTGAAATAATTTTAACAGTATACCCCAAGGTGTCTATTACTTTATTAAGCATATTGTAAAATCGCTGCCCCTTTTTCGTGACAATCATGAATTGTAAAAATATAACTCTGCCGATTATCCAAATATCAAATCCAAATATGGCTCACACGTTGTGCTTCCTTTGAATGCTGGATCTGCGTAGTTGTAGTTCCAATCAATTTATACCAAAATGTACAGGTATATGAATTGTTAAGTATATCAAGCTTCCAAGAAAATGTGTTATGGAGACGTTCAAATACTTGAGCTGTAATTACAATTCTACGTAACGTGGCGTCATCCCTTTGTAATTTAACGCTAAAATTATATAATCTGAACGTCGTTGTATATCTATTCTGAACAATCGTATCTCAAAAGTATCTTATACCTTGATAGGGATACAATAATACGTTTGTTAAAATTACCAAGTAACCATTTGTTAAAATTGTAAGTCCATAGCATCACCTTGCATCCAATCAAATTATATGGATACATTAGTCATACTAAGAGGATCTACGTTGAACTAAATTCAGTGCCTGAAAATCCTTAATTACAGAATCATTGGCCTTTGTTAAAATTTTGTGTCCAATGAAGTCATTTTTGGGGATCATTCGTCAGTTATACTGATTCTCTTTTATTCTTGGCTTTTTAAGTCAAGCAACGATTATCATCTTTGTTTCGATTTTTTTGGTTCGTACCAGATAGAGCCATACCTCACAGTATTCCATTGGTTGTTGCAGTGAGTCCAAGGTAGTACAGCCTGCATACTCATGACGAGGTAGTATCCACCCCAGGCCAAAATTAGCATGTAGTAGGTGTTGTAGTACGTCATGATCACCATGGTAGCTACGCCGACACCTAAAATACACCGTTAATCTCATTATTTTGACGTAACAAAGGTCTGATCGAATGTTAACGTCAAATTGTATCCTCAAAGAACCGAAACATAACGGCATCTTCCAAATTGTTTTAAAATTCAACATCTCGCTCACGGAAAGTTCAAGTAAACAAACAATAATTTTAAGCTGAATGATACACTTTTGTCTGAGAGTAGCCAAAACGTAAAGGACAAAAGGACATGCCATTATAAAGGCGTGTTAACTGATGGTTTCAGTCACATGGATGTCATCAATACTGTTAAAATGAATCAAAGCCAGCTGAACAATACTTTTTTATGTTTGAAGATGTTTTGATTTCATAAAACACAGAAAAGGTAATTGTGACAAATAAATGACGAATAAATGAGTATAAAAAGAGGACAAAAAATGGGCAAATTCCTGGATGAGAAGAATAAGACCAGGTGTTCCAGAAAAGTACCTTTCGCTTCATCGACGAAACTTGCCATTAAAACGTTACCCCTTACATTCCGAGTACAAGATCAACAACAAAGGTACTACCATGTAAAATCATTTCACATCGAACATATCTCATTTAATTTACATATTTAAGCGAAAAGTCGTAAGGTTGATCACACTCATACCATCTTTAAAGTTAAAATAATATATCTATGTATATTTTAACATATGAGTTACAGTTGTATTTTGAATCAATTTTCAGTCAGATTTGTTATAAAACTATATTGTAGGTTACTTTTGAAAACTTGAACACGTTTTCTGAAAACTTACGACCAACATGATTGAAGATTATAACAAGAAATTCATGAGTTTTGAACAAAACAAACTCAGCATTTTAAGGAAAGTTTTTGGTTTACTGGTTTATATCAATGGCATGGGGCGGAAATCTAAGAGAATTGATGAAATTACCATTACATTTCATGCATGAATGAACAAGACGTGAAGTCCACTTATTGAAAACTTTCATTAAATCATTCAGGTTATATATGTTAGTTTAAACAACATTTAATATTCAACAGTTTTACACCTACATATGACAGGTATGTGATGGGAAATCAAGCTTAGAGCTTATATGCTATTGGTATGTTCATGGAGACGAGATGTAAATAATTCATTTTAAATTTGTGTCCATTTGTGTATTTTGTTCGGTCTTTCTGTAGTTTATTATGTCCAAGTAAATATCCTAAATTTGATCGTTGCTTTCGGTTTGAATTTTTAACAATCTGGTCATCAAGATATATGTTTTCTTCATATAGGGAAGGTTTTGTTTTATTTTCATTCTAAAGTTAAATATTTGAATATGAAATCCAATGTAACAGAGATCAATGACATATATATACGTGTAATCATCAATACTACCTTCAAACAGGGGACATATCTTCCAGACACCGACAGCACCTTGGCTCATATACTGTCCAAGTCCCAACTCCATAATCAGAACAGGTGCTGCACCGAAGACCAAAGAGAAGAGGTAAGGGACTAGAAACGCACCTGTAGAAACAGTGATACAAGAAGACGGAAATGAAATGTCAAGTAACGTAGTCGCAAATATGATAAGATGTTATATTTTATTGTTTCATTTTCTATGTTCAAGATAGTACAAAAATAACTATAAAGATCAGCAAGATACGTTTCTCAGCCACCTCTTAGGTTTCAATAATGTAAGCCATTAGTAAGCAGTTGATGCAGCAGATAATGTCATAATCTATATGAAAATCAAGTCGAATACTAGCAAGTTTTAGATTAGAACTTGAAAACATATTTTTTATCCATCACCATGCTTCTATATCTTACGTTGTGACTGTTCAACCTGTAGGATAATTTTAATATTGTCCGATCTGAGAAAGAAGCTATTATTTGCTCTTAAATTTCATGCTATAGATATTAATCCTGGACTCATAATTTCATGGTAAAGATATTTTGATACGTACTATAAAAGCACTGCAGTAGCAAGTCTATTCAGCTAATTTTTGATCGCACACATAGGTTTATAAGCCATTTTGATTACATTACTCATAAAATTAATTGATTCAAGTGTCAAACGAGTGAATCACAAAGGTCGAAGTTTTGTTCATTTTCCAATAAGGATGCCATTTAGAGTGATAAATCATCTTTTCCTTCTAAACTAAATCCCCGGTATCGTTCACACCCATGGAGTATTCATTGCTATCTTGATGTTCTTTTCTCTGGCAAAACTACTGAAAGACCGAATCTTGGTGTTAACCAGAAACTCAACACTTTTGAACTTTGAACCTTACTAAAACCGGAAGTAGACCTTTTTGGGAGAGTTTTCTTGGTAATGTACAAAATGTGTCCAAAACTGAAAGAGCAGATATGACGTCATGACGGTCATTTTGTTTTTTCGATGAATATAAAAAAAAAAAATCATCAAATGCTAGCAAACATTTGGGAAAATATTTTCCATTACAAGTAAACGAAATAGTCATTTTATATTGATGTAATGTAATTTTTAATGAATTGTCGACATTTTAAAAGATTAAAAGGGCGAATAACAACGTTGGCGGTAAATGCACAGAAAAAATTGAAGACATCAAAGTTTTAAGAACAACATTCTGCAGTCATCTGTAAAAGAATATTGTAAAACAATTTAAACATTAAAAGAAAAATATTGCGAGCTTTGATCAGCAGTGAGCATTTTAATCAACATTATTGTATGACTATGAAATGAAAAAAGTTGGATATGACAATTATTTATAAAATAATTGCTTGAAGTATGTACAACCAAAGGTTTTCGAATTGAATCTGTATGAAAGTTTTTAACAAATAACATCATGACAGCCATTTTGGATTTGTGATCTACTTGAAAATGCTGCAATAACTCCTTCAATCCACGTGCTATGTTATATATATATATATGAAGACTGTGATCACCTCTTTTACATAGAACCAGTCATAAAAACGGAAGAATTAACGTGATAAGAATAAAGTATCTTTTCACCATATCGTACTATACTTTAGGCCTGTGTTGATCGACTGTTCAGCAGTTTACACACAAGTCTTTGTCGGCTTCACGGATTAATTCATGCATGTTACTCCACAAATACTACGAGCATAGAGATATTGGGCGATGAAAAAGACATCAAGTTCGTAACACTTAACATCCGTCACAATTCACTAGTTCGGAAAACTTTATCTGTAAAATTTTAGAGTGTCGCATACCATGTTTGATGTTTTGATTCAGACAAATTCAGTTGTGAATTAATTGTCCGTTGAACGTTTACATTAAGTGCGCTAAATGTAGGAACTTCCAGTCTATCATTTCACACCAAGTTCATTCCTAATAGTAGTAAGCAGTGAACGATATTAAGAATGTCCTATATTAAGAGAGTTAAAACATTGCAAAGTAAGACAAATTGTGAGATGAATCTGTAAAACACAGGAGGCCCGATGGGCCTGAATCGCTCACATATTTTGAACCGTATAGTAGAGCTAAATAATGCATTAAAATGCATTATACAGCTGTGTTATTCTTGCTGCATATATGTTGAAATGCTTTGGAAATTATCAGATCTATGAAAATTGTGACGTTTATCTAATTATGGAGCTCATGCATCTCATCATCTAGAATTTGACTTTACTTTCGGTCTCTTTGGATTTTCCCCAGGTTCCAAAATTTAGACCCTATCATCACTGACGAGCCCTAGAAGGACGAAGCAGCTGTGAGGTGCAGTTTGCAACATTGTTATGTTCTACTGTATCTAATGCTAAAATTGTATGATAAACTGTTATTCACCTGTGTACCTTTTGTACAACATTCGAATGAATTGGAACATGAATGCAGGTTATTCTCAGGAACTAAAGGTCCATCAAAGTAGTGCAGTGTCTATCATAGTTAAAGATATTCCTGTATTATAGAATATTTGTCAGAATGCACATGTCCCAATCATTTCTAGCACACTTTTACAATTACATGCTGTCGTTGACATACATGAAGACAAATTAGATGTGCTTAGGTATGTGCAAGTGTATTCGTGGCAAAGTATATGGACAGAATGGAAAGTTTGGTTTATTACTTATATTTCTTTCGAAACAGTGGTGCCATTAAAGCAGGTGTCACTTACCTGGCTTTGTTTGACCGTGATTTCGTTATCCAAACTATAGGAAAAGGGTGTTTAAAGTTTATATCTATGATCCCCACCCCTCTGCTCAGGGGGGGGGGGTAACAAAACCATGGATACTTCAGAACAAATTGGAGCAGAATCGTGCAATTCCTACTAAAGAAGTAGTATTTTAAAGAATTTCCTTTATTTCTAAGAAGAAGAAAAAGTTAATTCTAGAAAAAAAATTAAAAGCGACACACCATTAATGCCCAATTGATTCCGCTTTACCCAAGGACGCAATCCTACAGAAGATGTAGGGTTTAGAAAAGCGTATTTCCCCTTATGGGCCCGACCCCTCGGGTTTCAGAATAATCGTTTTTCACTCATGGGTATTTCAGATCAAATTCGGACAGAATGCTGCTATTTCTAAAGACAAAGTCATTTCTTTAAAAGAATTTGCTCTGACTCCCCTATCGTCGACACAAATTTGAAGCGCCTTTATCTAAGTACGCTTCAGACCGGATTTGGAGAGGAGAAAGTCTATCGAAGGAGAAGGATTCCAAAGAATTTGTTAAATTTCCCCTTTCGGGCCCCAGAGATCAAAAATGAAAAATTGATTAACCTACTCGTAAGGATGCTTCTGACTATATTTGGTCAAAATCCGTTCAGTTGTACATGGCTAGAAGCTTTTAAAAGACGATAAGAGTGTAAGAATCTTCTCTTGCCGAACACACAACAACTTGCTGCCATGAATACGGTAGCATACGGCATGATTTATGTTTTGATGAATATGATTAATCGAATGAAATTCAATTTCTAATTTCAATAGTATGATGTATCTAAAACGTGGTCCCTTAATCTGTAAGATTGTACAAAATACACAAGTTGATAGCAAAAACAATGAATTAAACTGTATCATACAGATGTTTCGTCCTTCTAGGTTTCGTCAACGATACTTCACCATGCAGCTGTTTCGTCCTTCTAGGATTCGTCAGCGATGGTAAAGGCCTAAATTTTAAAAAGTGGGAAGCCACTGAGAGGAAAATCCAAAATGATAGAAAACAAATATAGAAAATTAGATTGGGAAGTGCACTTGCCCAATATTGCAATAAATTTTGCACGTAACTGATAATTTCAAAAGAACAACAAGTACATGTATATATTCTGAACCGTGCCACTTTTCGAATAAATGCAGACGTGCTAAAAGGACCTTAGCTCTTTGTAGATTGATGAAAAAACTTAACTAAGTAAACTGAAAAGAAATATTAATCCAGACCACGTCCATTAAATACTCCTCTAAGTGGATTGTTAATGTATCCCTCTATCCCATTGAGTCTTGAATCGATTTTAAAGAGAAAAAAAGGATCACAAGACTTTTATCGACTTCTCATTAAAACTGATGTAAACATTACAGGTCAACATAAATGGGGAAATATTTTTGATTTCAGTAAAGAGAAATGGAAAAAAATATACAGTATTCTGTTTAGATAAACCCAAAACACTAGACTCCGTTGGTTACAATTCAGGATTAATCACTTTATATTAACAACCAACTTATATGCACACAAAATTGGTATTTCAAATAACCCTAACTGTAATTTTTGTAATAGAGAAAGGGAGACAATTGTTCACATGTTATGGGAATGTAGTGAAGTTCAAAATTTTTTTGTCAGTTTTGAATCTGGTAAATGATACTGGCATCTACAATCGAGTAGATAATGAAGTACTTCTTATTATTAAATCTTATTGTAACACCGGTCAACAGATGAAAGACTCTTGGTGTATGTTTAGAAATTTATTGGTCCGAGGAGAAAGACCTATAATATAAATAAAAGACTTCTTACGATCACTTCCATATATAAAGAATCTCGCACCACTACAAAATCGAGGTAAGAATTCTGCTGTGTATTACCAGGGGTCTGGTAAATGACCAGCATAGGCAACGTAAGAGTGAAGCCTATACTACAATCGAGGGTAACAGTCCAATCACATCACAGTACATATATTATTATTAAATATTTATACATAATATAGAACCAGAACTGTACATAGTACATTATCGGTAATGGCTTTAGTTAATGTTATAAAAGAAAATTATACTGTCCAAAAGTCCATTTCAACTGTTAAAGGCAATTCTTCCTTACAAATCTTTTCAAATGAATGGAGTAAATGGAAAAAACTAATAGATATTGCTTAAAACTCGGCAGTTTTCAGGCTGATGACTTCTTCATCTATCCCATTTTTTTATATACATAAACTCAATACTGTTCCTTCCATATCATGCGTGTTCTAATTTCTCCTTTGTCGTTCTTCTTAATGCCTTCCTCTTGTCTTCTGCTCTTACACTTGTCACTACTAATGCATACTTCTCTTCTATTTTCTTTTTCTTTTTCTTTTTTTTCTTTCTTGTATGCTTTGCAACACAGTTGCTTTGTTGTAGAAGTATTTGATTATTTCCATGGGTTGCGGAAGCCCTCCTCTTAGATGAATATCTCAGAATATATGATAATAACTTATTTTTTTCTCTCTTACTCTATTTTATTCTTTTACTTTCTTCTTCCTCAAAAAAAACAATACAATGTACTGTAACACTTCTATACCTCCTCACAACAACATTTCTCTATGATAATATTATAAATGTAAGTATGCCGATATAGCTAATATGATTAACCACTTTAGAAGTGGTTTGCTGATTCTGATATTTATACACCTGTAATATATAGTTGTATACCTACACTGTATTTGATTTACAGGTGTGGTTGTAGGTACATGTACGTAAGCTTCTATGTGCGAGTGCGGTGTATGTACATGATGCATATATATATTTATTATATTTGCTGTTAGGTGTACGGTGCACGTATGCTTTACGTGTACATATTATGTGTTTATGTGCATGTATTCTCTTGATGTACATCTGTATGTGTGTGGTCAAGTATACATGCAATCATGGAGGTGAAAATGTTTGTGTGGAGGAGTGTTTCTCACATGTATAACTGTATCAGTTCATTTTATTGAATAAAAAAAATTAATTATAAAAAAAATACTCACGAACAAATCCTAATACAGTAAAACCAGTTCATATTTCTATTGAATTCTATGTTTATAAAAAGGGAGAAAATAGAACACGAGGTAAACTACCCACCAACTTTAAGTGGTCTAGGTTTGCAACAAAAGAAAACCTAAAGCGCATTGGCTTCATGTCAGGATAATATTTCATCATCAAGAAAAACGGTTTTTTCGACCGCTTTTTCTAAAGACGAAACCCAATTATAAACAGCATTTCTTTAATGGCTCTTTTGTCAGCATAAGGTTGAGATTACAGGGTACCTAGTGAAGAAAACTGGTTTTACGTCGTATCTTGAATCTTTAATACATGAACCCTTGCTTCCTTTCTAATTTTGATTCACATCTTGAGTTGATATCTTTACTGAACATTTGGTCTAGAAGAATTACAATATGTCTAATGAGACATTGTGAAACTAGACAACGTATTATGTAAAACATGTCACAAACACTACCTTAGCAGACCTTATCAACACATATGTGGGATTTCTTTTTTGTTAGTGCTGCATAAACTTTAGCTTATCTAATTTCAGCCAGTGGGAGTATTTTAATGGAAAACACGTTAAGTAAATACTACGCCTTTGTTTATCATGAAAAACCGTCATATTTCACACTATGGTATTTATTGCTAATGACTGATTTGCCGGTATGAAAGATTTATTTCACGAAGACAATGATGATAGCAAGTACTAAAATCAGTCTTCTTGTAGATATAGGTTAGGCATGTTCCTATAGTATAGCCAAAACATCATCAAGCAGCTGTTTCGCCTTACTAGCAACCCCAGTGATACTGTAGTCAAAAACCTAATCAAATAACAATTTTCATAACAAACACGATTACTATAAACTCGATACATTTTGTTTGAGAAAACGAAAACAGTGTAAATAAAGGAACTTCTGTGATAGACTCTGCAAATTGGAGATATACAAAGATTAATACATTAGCTAGTAAAGACAAGAAAAGTAAAACGATATTTACCTCCACCATTCTTGTAACACAGAGAAGGAAATCGCCAAATATTTCCCAAACCAACGGCATATCCAACACAGGATAAAAGAAATTCTGAATTCCTCGTCCATGTTACCCGCGCCATAACGAAACTATTTAAATCTAGGTATTACTCGCATATTCTTCCCCACTAACTACCCAAGTCTATTGTTGGATGTCTGCACAGCGTATGTCGTTTAACCGGTGCGGTGGGTTTTTTTTTCGTTGAAGACCACAGGTTATATATGTTACTTGTTGACGGAATGTCTATGCTGTCAGCTGGATATCAATGCTGCTATCTATCAATGTTTTCAACTCTTTCAACTTCACAGTGCAGCGGAAGAAGGTATTATATCACAAGTGATATGTATTTTGTTTTTGTGGTGATTCTTTGTTCATATCAAGTACCGATATGTCAACAGAAACTCAATAACACAAGGGCAGAGTTAAGTGTTCACATATGAAAGAGTATAAAGAGAATAAAACAATGTGTTCCGAAGGAGTAAGCGTCCTCTGCTCAATCAGCGAAATCGCCATGTACATTTTGTCAATCCAAGAAACTGATGTCACGTTCCAAACTGAGAACAAATTTATAACCACGGAACAAGCAAGCACACTAACGAACATTAATCACATAACTTTATATCGAACAAGAAAATCTCATTTCTCGATTAGATCCTGGAAATGAACATAAAACTTCCCAGTTTTCTCCATTAGGCAGCGTCCCTCGAAACCTTGTGTCATGAGTTTGTTTTGTAGGCTATGTTCCTGAATAGTTCCAAAAGATAGGGCAGACCCAACACGTCGGTTTAAGTTAAAGTTTATATTCTATTAGTCCTATATGAATTCACACATTACTACAGTCAATATACGAAGAAGTCATCGTCAGAGGCGTATAAAAATACACCCCTGAATTTGGTTTAAAATAAATTAAACTGCGAGAAGATCCAGAATTTGAAAATACATTTGAAAAGTACAATCGATTATTACTGTAACAATTAAAATTTGAAGATTAACAACTAAAAAATCTTGATCAAGAATTCGAATCGGACGGGATCTACAACATCTACTGTTAACTATATTTTTTCAATAACCCATTACACTAAGCAATAGAAGATGTTACAGCATAAATCCAGGTTCATATTCTTCAAATTACAAGTCCATGATTGTTTACGAGTCCAATGTAATGACATACAATGTACTCAATACGATACTAGCACAACAACTTAATTAAATCTTCCTTTAAAGTCAATTTTGTCTGGTAAAATCAGAAACGTTTAATACAGGGATATGAGATTGTTGTTGTACTTTCCTAAGATGTTTCGAGTGCTAGAAAATGCATGTTTGTATCTGTTTTGATATCTGATCATTTTGGTTGTCACGAAACGAGTTAGTCCTTTTGTATACGTTGATGCTTTCTGTACGATGCTTGTATTATGGAAAATATTGAATACTGTGAAATATTGTGTCAATCAGAGTTAATAAGCCTTGCTGTGTTGATATACCATTTTTCTTCAAAAGTTCCTAAATAATCTTTTTTTTCAAAACAAACAGTATAGTAGAAATCTCAGTTTTCAAATCGCGTTAAGTTTTGTGACAAATACTTTCTGCTGACTTTAGATTTTTTAAAAACAAACAAACATAAACAAAACGCGTGTTTGAGCTTTTAACAACTACATTGGAGAAAGTTATTTGTAAATTCGTGGCCCTAAAAGCTTCAACAATTTTCTGTATGGCCGTCCTTTAAACTTTTTAGTATTATTTCCGTTACAAAGATGTGATTTCCTTTAACTGGCCGACAAAATGGCTCTGGTTAGACTAGTCAGTGCAAAGACAAGCGTATATTTTGAAGTGAATAGACACAGGTAAATAAGATATGGAATGATTTCACGGCTCAAAGAACAAACACTAAAGCTAACATCATAAAAGCATTGACGAAGACATGGCTTACTATTCTTATACAACTGGTCCATAGGATTTTTTTCCAGGTAATATTGAAACCCAACATTATCTACTAAATGCTGATACAATGTTCCTTTTGGGGAATTCTGTAATCACCAAATTTTTCCTCTTTTAACTTGTACAGTTTCAGTTTCGTTATTTCATAATCACCTAATTCTAAGTTATTCAATTCTGATGGTATATTTGTAATCTAATCTTCTTTATCAACTATTCTACATTGGAAGTCTACCTTATTCGTAATATACAAGGTCATTTTACTCACACCTAGTGATTTTTTTACAAAAAAATTGAACTTTTTCAACTTTTTAGGTTTTATGAAAACCCCATACTTCAGTTGCATACCTAAATACACTAGTTACATAGGTGTCGAGTACAGAATATAATGTTTCAGTATTGAATTAGTTTTTTTTTTAAATTTACTTGATAACGCAAAATAGGCTTTTCCTCCCTTCCTGCAACTTGTTGTTGAGTTTTATGAAATTTTCCGTTAAAATAAAAAAGCATTGAATTCATTAACAACCTCTACTTCGCTATAGTCTTAGAACCATCTCTCTTATGTTTAACAATACCACCACTCCTGAAAACTACCATTTTACTTTTCTGTACGTTGAGGATAAACTTTCATTAATTGTTATATGTACATAGAGCAACTAACATAGATTGTAGAGCATGCGGTGTTTCTGCAATAAGAAGTGTATCGGCAGCGTACATGAATAAAAATAATGATATCATACCAGTTCCAACTGGTTGACACTTTTCTTTTATAAAATTAATTTCGCCGTCATTGACAAATAAACAGTATAAAATTGGCGAGAACTTCTTGGAAGAGAGCGATCCTGTTCGAAAAATATCCTTAAGTATGGTCGCTGTATTTAACACATTATTTACCTTTTCCGATACAGGGATTGTATGATCTTCAACAATTGATCTTGAACTCCGTGTTTAGTTATTTAACACCACTACCCTCTATCTATAAGGTCGAAAACTTTTTTGTAATCAACGGAAAAACATAATAACTTTTTTTTACTTAGAGATTTATTATTTTACAGTTGAGTCACCAGCTTTAAAACCAAACTGGGCATCAGTAATAATAGAATTTTCTTCATCCCATTGTACAAGCCAGCAAGAGTGATTAGTATAAGTTGTAAAAACTTGGTTTAGAAATGTTGTAAAATAAATAATGTTTATTATTCAGTTATTGTAAATTTTCATTATTCCATGTACACACCATAGCGTAAAGGCCAACTATAATGAACGTTAGATTTATATATAAATAAATGTAACCAGTCGAATGTAATGACTACTGATTTCAATTCCTTTTTATCGATCGTTTATCTTACGCGTGACTACGAACCACATTTACGTTGAGCTTTTGATTATATCTCATGAAACAAGAGAAAATGCTGAACAACTTTTATTCTTCGTAAATGTTGTTTTGAAAAATATTTTTATGCTTTTTGCGAGTTGAAAATACAACACTTTTCCGAATGTCCTAGATTGATGACGTCGTGTGATGGTGGGCGTAAATGTCTTTTTGCGGGTCCGGTTTTTACTCCACATATTTTTAAATAAAGAACGAGATATTTCACTCGAATTTCGATACATGAATCCCTAATATCCGAATTCTTTTGCTTGTATATCTTGCGTCTGTATTGATGTAGAAGCGATTGAAAATCACTTTTGTAAACATGCCTTAATTTACGGTCGTTGCCAATCCAATTCAGGAAATTCTTTAGACGTTTCTGTGAGATGACACATTTACAATATAAAGAATACCGTATTCAGATTACACAGACGTAAGAAAAAACATGCAGCACTTGCAATATCGCACTATACATGTTAAGGCACTTACTCCACATGTACTATGAACAATTTTTTTCGTGACGGATTACTGAAGTGTGTGAAACATCGACCAGTGGGACCAACATTTATTCACATGCTCTGCGATAGCTTTATGTAATTGTGTGCTTCAGCTGTCGATCATATATTTTTTTCATTAAATAAACAAACATCCAATTTTGTAAAGATCAGTAATAACAACAGTCCAATAGATAAAGTTGACTTTATTAATTTACATAACAGATTTAACGTTCGTTACTACCGACTTTTGGCCTTTCTACTTGTCACGGGACGCGATAAATTTGACAATCAGGTTTTTATGCATATAAAATAATGTGTGTACTCAACTTACACAAGTTAATAAATATTAATTTATTAATAAAGGTGTTCCATCCATGTTCATTATAAAGTCCAAACTTTTGGTAAAGGAGACATTTCCGAAGAATAATGCATCCTATCTATGTAAATAGTTATATATTTAACAAACAATATTCAATGATAAAATACGACATAATTCATAAAGGTGTAACTTCCATTACATCAGTTTCCGGTCTCTGACACGATCGTCGTGCATAAGACGGCGATGACACCACGGAGATAGATCGAAGTCCATGGTAACACATTGTTATTATAGGTTGATATGCTGGCGTGTATCTTGTCAAAATCTTGCAAAATTTAGGCTTATTAAAAAACATGCTTCAGTGAAGCCATAAATCATGCCGTTAAAATGTTGATAAACTTGCGCTCAATTTTAAGCAGTGCCGATTTTGTGTTAATTTAAATTTGTTTTGTTATCCACTCAATGTTTACGTTAAATGCTATGCCACCCACCTTAATATGTTGATATCGTCTTGTTTTTTCACATCAGTAATTTTGCTAAAATTTTGCCGGCGACAAGACTATGCCAATCATTTTTTTTTTTTATATAGTTTATGTGATAATTGTGGTGTTAGCCATTACATTGTATGATACAGACTATACTTATAGTTAGGTCAATATTGCAGTATAGTGTTCTGATATAGACTATAGGACAGCCTCGTTTTGAGAGAGAGCTCGACGGCTGCCATGATGTAAACACCAGTGCTGAATAAATGTCCAGTGTTCCTGCAAAATACATGTCCTCCTCGTTGTAATCAATAAGAGAACAATAATGAGTTATAATAAGTTTAACAAGAGGCTTATATAGTCAAAGTCACGGTTAATATCTCACCATAGTTACATAAACATATCATGTTGAAAATCTGACATTTTATCACATCAATGCGTTTGCTGATAGCAGTCGCCGACAAGACTACAACAATCATT